CTGCATCCCCTTCTGCTGTGTGGCTGGGCAGGAAGCAGAGAACTGGGAGAATGGTAACAAACTGATAAAACCCCACACCCCTATGCATCCCGTTTTCCAAGGTTTCTCAGGATTGACACCCAGCTTCCTCTGAGATGTCACTCAGAACCGCAAAGGACATTTAGTCAGGTGACCGAGCCTCGGGGCCCTGAGTGGAATGAGCGCTCTGTCACTGAGGGAAGAGAGGGCCATGCCGACGGCCTGCAGCGGGCTCTGCCGTGGAGAGGCCCTGCCGTGTGCCGTCCGTCCCAGCTGCTCGGGAGGCAATGGGCTCGGCTGTGTCCTGAGCTCCCCGAGTGCAGGGACCCAGCGTCCCAGCATCTGGGGCTGGGCAGGTGCCCACAGAAAGGTCTCGGGAAGAGTCCACTGCCACGCCCCTGCACTGACACAGCACAGCTGCTCACACCTGTCTCTCTGCTGCTCGCATCCACGCCCAGCACCCGACAGCCCCACCCACCCATGGTCCCCACCCACCCGGACCTTCAGAGGGTCATGGCCTCTCCCTCGCTCCTGCCCCTCAGTCCGTCTCACGCAGCCTCACCTTCGACCCCTCTCCTAGAACCAGACAGGGTGGAGGATGCTGGGAAACATGGTCCTGGCACATCCCAGCATCCTCCCGGACGGTGCCAAGGATCGGCCTGGGCCCTCGGAGGCGGCGGCTGCTGGCAATGGGCGAGTGAGGCCCTGGAAGGAGGGGTCGGGCAGGGCGGGTGACGGCAGGCGTGTGTGTGGGGGGGGGGCAAGGTGCTCCCTGGTTCTTTGGGTACAAGTCTAGGCCCTGGAGGGCACTGGACCCTGGGGAAGAAGGGCCACCCCACCTGGCTGGGTGGGGGCGCGCAGCTCACCACAGAGCTCCCCACTTGCCGAGCCGTCAGGCCCGCTGCGGCGAGGACGCCCCGCACAGACGCTGGCCCACCGAGGGAGCCCTCTCTTGCTGCCCACCTGTTGTCCAGGGGGCACCACCGATCGCCTGTCTCGAGTTTCTTTCATTGTATGGTACTGATTATGCTGCTACAGCTGTCCTGACTCTCCCCCTTGACCCCTGTCCTCCCAGTGCCCCCACTTCCTCAGGCTGTCCCCGCCTTCGGTCACGTCACGGGCCCTGCGTGTAAGTTCCGTAGCCGCTCCCTGTCCTGTGCTGCACTTTACACCCCGTGGCTGCCCTGTGACTGCCCGTCCGTACTTCCAGATCCCCTCGCCCCTTCACCCATCCCCCACGCCGCCCTCCCATCTGGGAACCTTCCAGTAACTCACTTCTTTTCTCCTGCTGCTTTTAAGATTCTCTCTTCATCTTTAACCTCTGGCATTCTGATTGCTTTTGCAGTGGGCCTCTTTGGGTTCATCTTGTTTGGGACTCTCTGTGCTTCCTGGACTTGCATGTCTATTTCCTTCACCAAATTAAGGAGATTTTCTGTCATCATTTTTTCAAGTAGATTTCTGACTCCTTGCTCCTTCTCTTCTCCTTCTGGCACCCTATGCTGTGCATGTTGGAACGCTGGAAGTTGTCCCAGGGGCTGCTTACACTGTCCTCACGTTTCTGGATTCTTTCTCCTTGTTCTGAGTGGTTGTTTCTGCCTCCTTAGGTTCCAGAGCATTGATTTGATGCTCGGCTTCACCCACTGTTATTTCCCTGTAAATTGTTCTTTATTTCAGTGAGTCGATCACTTCTGACTGGGTTTTTTTATACTGCTGAGGTCCTCACTCAGTTCCCTGATGTCTCAAGGTTTTAAAGCCCTGCCATGCCGTATTCTGGAAATTTCCTTAATCAAATTAGAGATTCTGTGATCTTCCAAAATTTCCTCTGGATGATTTCCACTTTATCTTTTAAAAAATATTTTGTTAATTTATTTTTATAGAGAGGGGGAGGGAGGGAGAAAGAGAAGGAGAGAAACATCAGTGCGTGGTTGCCTCTCACATGCCCCCCACTGGGGACCTGGCCCACAACCCAGGCATGTGTCCCGGCTGGGACTCAAACTGGCGACCCTCTGGTTCACAGCCCGGCACTCAGTCACTGAGCCACACCAGCAGGGGCCCATTTTAACATCTAAATCTGTAAGTCATAGGAACCCTTACGAGTTGTGTTCGTGTTTCCCTGCCTGTTACACCCCCTCCTCCCCGAACTTGAGGGTTGCGGCCGGCACACCGCGGACACCAGGCCCCTGCCGTCCTGCACCCGGCCCTCCCACGCTGGCCACGCATGGTGAAGCCGTGTGGCCTGGTGCTCCGGTTACTGACTTCTGTCCCTGGCACATGTGTTCCTGAAGATGAGCAAAGGGAGGCTGTCCGTGCAAGAGAAGCGACTGACAGCGTTCACGACCAACGACAACACCAAGCCTTCAGGGGGAAGTGGAAACTCTGAGACCCTCGGCCTCTGCCACGGGCGCACAGCACATTCCCCGAGGGGCCGCCTCTCTGCAGACTGACGTGGTGCCAGCCAGAGCAGCTTCCGGCGGTTTTGTGAGCTGCGTGAGCGTGAAGGCCTGCGCGGCTCGGCGAGCGGTGCTTTCCGGGCGCCCGTGGACGCAGGTCCCCCATGCGCAAGGTGGAGCCCGGACTCTGTGAGGCACAGACTCGAATGTTCCCCATGTGGTTTCAGAGTCCACGCTGCAACTGCCCTCAACTGCCCGTGAGGGTCAGCGACTGCAGACGTTGTTAAAGAACAGTGTGCACCTACTGGCGCGAGGCTGCTTCCCCGCAGACGCCGGCCCAGGCGCACTCGCGTGGGCCAGAGGCGCAGGGAGCTCGGGGGACTCTTCTCCTGGGAACTGTACCGGAAATCTCGTTCGCACGGCTGTTCCTGGTGTTAACACGGAACGGGTTTGTGGTTATTCGGACAGAAGTGAGTGCTCCGTAAGGCTGAGGTCCGGGTTCCGGTAAGGGGGTCTTGCAGGCGGTCACGTGGGTGATGTCACTGCCTGTATCACAGGTTCCATTCCTTGACATTCTTCCCACGTCAATGCCGACAGCCGCACGCCAGCCTCCCGCGGGGACTCATGCCCCGGCGTGGCTGTGCGTTTCCCGGCGCCTCCCTGGGGCCGAGCGGGCCTTCCCTGGACTTTGGCGGGACTCTTCTCTCATGTGAAATTAAAGTAAGCGTGTCCCTTTCAAAACAAACAGAACGCCCCGCACTGCTGAGAGCGCACTCGTCCTGACAGGAACGAGCGCAGACACTACCCGGGGGCTTTCAGGAGTGTGCCTCTCCGCGGGCTCGGTGTTCCGGACGTTTCCACACGCCCGCACAGCGCTCCTCGTGCAAGCCCTCCACCTGCCTGGCTAAACTCGCCCCTGGGCAGTCGGCCCACGGTCCACAACCACGGCTGCCAAGGGGGTGTTGTCCGCGCGGGTGCTGGACGGGTGCGGGGTGGGCCGAAGAGCTGCTCCTCTTCGTGGGTTTGGTTTTCCGGGCGTACGAAGGCACTCTTGGGGAACACGGCCAACTTTCACGTCTTCACGCATCTCCCGGCAGACCGCTTCCTCGTCTCAGGGAGCACCGACGCCCCGGATGGGCGCAGCAAGAGGGGGGCGGCGTCTGGCGGCGTCTGGCGGCGTCTGCGTGTCCACGTTCCCCGGGCTGTTGTGCTCAACCTGCCCGACACGCACAGCATTTGCGGAGTCATAGTCCCCCCTTCGCGGGCCACGCAGCCCAGAAGAGACGGGAAGGCGGTTGCAGACAGGGTCACAAAGGGCGAGAGCCTGGCGGTCCCCCTGCCAGGCTGCTCCGGTGCCAAGCAGAGCAAGCAGTGCCACTCACCAAGGACCCAGCAGGCACCAGCCCCAAACGCTGACGGGGGAGGGGCAGGGGTGGGGAGAAAACAGACCAACTACACCCGAATACAAATGAGGAGACCCTGAGTACGCCCGAGGGGCACAGCCACCGATGCAGGGACGCGAAGAGTTTACGTGGAAATGCTGCACAACGAGACCCTCGGTGCCACCTCGGGGGCCAGCACCCGGCCAGGCCACACGCAAGGCAGGGCCCCCGGGCAGGCCCCGTGCGGCCCCAACCACGGCCTCCCGTGGGGTCGCGTCCAAGGCAGGCAGGCGCACACCCGGGCCAGAGGTCAGCTGGGCGATCGCCCCAAACTCGGGTCTTCGACGTGACACGTTGCCCACACCCCCTGGCCGTGCGGAGCTGCAGCTGCTGGGCATGTCGCTCCCCAACGGCGGCTCGGGGATGTCATGCGGCCGCCGGAACAGGCTCGGGTGGGAATGCCCCACCGCATGGGCAGACGGGCCTCTGCCTCCGGCCCACAGCCAGGGGCGCGCGTCCAGGACCGGCAGCGCAGAGGGTCCCCCCGCCCCCGCTCTGCCCCTCGCCTCCACGCCCTGGGGGCCCCTGCCCAGCAGACCTCAGGGCCCCAGAACAGCCATGGCAGCCTCCCCGAAGGCCCCTTCATCCCCGCCCCCCGCAGCTGGCCCAGCCCAGCCAGAGGGGCTTCTCTAGACCGAAGGTCAAACCCTGTGGCCTGCCACTAACCCGCTGCGCCACCCCAGTCCTGCTGCGTGGGCAGCTCTGTGCTCGATCCCCAGCAGAATGACACACTCCTGCACCCAGGCTCCTTTGTGACCAGTGACCGAAGGCCAGAGGGGCTGAGGAGCTTCTAGAAAGATCTTCCAGCCGGCCAGCCGAGGGGTGGGGGCGGCGAGGCCAGCTCCTCCCCAGCTCTGAGCCTGGCCCCTGTTCCTATGATCACAACCGTGCTGAGCTCGGTGTCCCCCCAAGGCGTACGCTCCTAGGATGCGCCCGTCTCAGAGGCACTGCGCCACCGCGAGGGAACGGGAGGCCACGGGCAGCTGTCGTCACCTTTATTGGGGCTCCGAGGAGGTGGCAGAGGCGGCGGCTGGCCCCCCCCCGAGTCAGAGGCTGTCCTGGGCAGGGGGCCCTGGTGAGGGAGAGACCCCGCTCCCTCCGGGCGGGAAGGAGGGATCACACACACAGCATCAAACGCCACGTCCAGCACCACCGACGGTGACTGTGGTGGAGAGTGGACTGGAGCGCGTTCTCCCCGGGGAGACCCCCGGGGGGCCCTGGCCCAGGTCCGAGGAGGGGCTCGGGGCCGCCTAGCCGCTGGCCTTGGCGACGAGCCTCTCCAGCAGGCTCATCATGCGCTCCTGCAGCTGCAGGCCCTGCACCTGCAGCAGGTTCTGCTGGTCCAGCACGCGGCGCACCTCCCGGCACGTCTCCTCCACCGCGCGGCCCAGCCGCCGCTGCTCCTCCAGCATGGCCTCCAGCAGCCGCAGCTTCTTCTTCTGCAGCTGGCAGCTCTGCACCTTGCGCTTCTTTGCTGGCCGCTCGTCCGACCTGGGAGAACAGCGTCAGAGCGTGAGTGGCTGCCACAGAGCCCGGCACCAGGGCCCCCCGCCCTCCAGCGACCCCACCGCACCGACGGGGAACGAAGGTCCCAGGGAGCCTGGCCACTCCCTCAGTGCCCAGCGGCCATGACAGTGAGAGGGCTGCGGGGACCCGATGGCCTGGTCACAGGCCACACAAATGCCCTTGGTCTGGGATGGGGACCCCCCCAAAACACTGGGCTGGGCAGGCGGGGCAGCAGGGGCCCGTGGCAGGGCTCAGGCACCCCTGGGTGGGACAGGTGCTGGGCTCTGTGGCTCCCCCTTGAAGTCAGGGATCACCAGTCCCAGCTGGCCTCGGGCAGATGGGGACACTGAGGTCCCAGGAAGAAAGGTCCTGGGCCCCCTCCTTTCCCAGCTGCCTGGAAGCGAGAGTGGGAGGGCAGGAGGACGGGCATCGGGGTGCGGGGTTAGGGACCATGGAGGCATGGTGTCCTACCCCAGGACCAGAAACGCTGGTGGACAGGAGGTGAAGTCGGCCCAGGCCGGGGCCCTCCCTGGGGCTCTCTGCTGTGGGTGGTGGGCCCCCCGGCTGAACCGACCCCCCTGGTGGGCAGAGAGCTGCCCCATCCTACCAGACTCCACAAACAAGGCCCTACCTGTCCCCTGCTTCGGAGGAGTGACCCAGCCAACCCTAGGGGCAGAAAAGGGGGGCTCTCGGTCCCCTGTCCGAGCCCGGGGGCCACACGCGGGGCTGCTGTGAGTCTGGGACCTGGGCGGGGCCCCCGGGAGCAGCGGGCAGGGGTGGCAAGCGGCCCTGGTCATGCGGCCTGGCTGTCCACAAAGGTGTTGGTGTCGCGGTCCTGGCTGAGAAGTCCCCTCCAGGGAAGTAGCACTGGGCCGATCGAACAGTAGCCCCGACACCAGGGGTGTCAGAATTGAAGGGATCCCCCAGAGATGCCTCCCTTGCCCACCCCATCTGACAGACTTGAAAACTGGGGTTTGGGGGAGCAGGGCCATGGCTCAAGCGCGTACCTCCTGCTCTTTCTGCTCGCCGGCCAACTCCCGCTCACCCTAGAAAACCCGCCCCAGGTGGCCCCTGTCCTGGCTCTCCCTGCCTGCCTGTCTGTGGGCAGCTTGAGGGCAGGGTCGCCGGGCAGGAAGCACATGACGGACGGAGAGGGGACAGGCACAGCCCTGCAACCAGGTCGCGAGACCACTCTGAAGGCTCAGCCCCACACTCTCCCTGGCACTGAGAGGAAGGGCTGGGCCGGCAAAGGCAGGGAAGAGGGACCTAGGGTGGTGTCTGCTTGGGGGTGAGGGGGCCCAGAAGCAGAAGCCGACGGGCAGGCAGGGCAGGTGCCCAGGGGGCTGTGAGGGGCCCTGCGCTCCCCGATGCTCCCAGCCGTGCTTGGAGAAGCTACTGACATCGCCCTGTCTTACAGAAGGGGACCGAGGCCCAGAGAGGTCAAGAACTTTCCACACAGCTCCAAGTGAGGCAGCAGGAGACAGAGCCAGCCCGGGGCCGGACTGCCCACCTGCCTTCCTGCGCAGCCTGCTGCCGAGGCCTCCCTGCCCCCGGGCCTGCTCGCCGGCCAGACAGCCTGAAGCCCCTCTGCCGGCGGCGGGAGAGGGGGGACATACTACCTGAACTTAAGGGACAGTAAGCTGGAGGAGCTGGAGGAGCGTCCGTCCTGGAGGCCGCCTTCGTAGGAGCACTGGTTATACGGTAAGTACAGAGGAGTGGACTTAGCCGACGGCGACAGGGACTCCTCGGTCTGGGACGCGGAGGGCCCCGGCGGCTGGCCGTCCGGCAGCTGGCCATCACAGCACTCAGGGACCTTGGCCAGAATCCTATCAATGGCTAGGTAATAGGGCCAGTCGGGCAGGGTGGACTCGCTATCTGTCATGCATTTTAATTTCCTGCAACGAGACACAAGAGCCAAGGGTGAGACACAGACCTCTCCCGCCCGCCCGTCCGGCCCGCAGGGGCACCGTGGCTCCGGGCCCGGGGCCACGTGGCGTGGGCGGCCACCACTCTTGGGCAGAGGGGCCTCCCCAGAAAAGTCAGCCGGCTCCGGGGCCAGGTGACCCTGGACTTGGAAAGGATGAGACTCAGAGCCTCGGCAGCTTCAGACGTTAAAAGCCCCAACGTGAGCAGGGCTGTGACCTCAGGTCAACTCCGACTGCGGCTCCGAATGCGGGTCCGCTCGCCTCGCCACGGCATACGCACTCCCTACACTGAACAAGGACTGCTTCAGGGGGGCCGGCGGCCAGGGCAGGGCGCCGCGGTGTAATGATACATGCCAAGCACACACGGGCGCAGTGCACTGCGATGCACAGACGTGAAACATCCTAACACAGCGAACACGTGTTTCCAGGGAGGCCGCCTTGGGGTGAGGGAGCTCAGGAGTCGGGAGCTCGGGCCTCAGTCCACAACCAGTCCGGTCCGAGTCTGTCTCTCGTGCCCACCACTTTGCTGTGTGACCTTGGGCAGGTTCGTTAACCTCTCTGAGCCTCCATTTTCACATCAGTAAAATGGGGGGGATCAAAGTGGGCTCCTCCCCCCACTGTAGGCAGGGGTCATAGACAATGCCTGGGGCCTGGCAAAGAGCCGTCCGGAGAGCGTATTGGCTGAAGGTGCCAGGGGGCAGCAGCGGGCGCCAACATGGCTGCCGCTCACTCCGCCTGTTCCCCGCACTCAGACCTCAGGCCGAGGATCTACACAGCCCAGCTCCGCCCGCCACGGGCCCGAGCCCAGCCCGGGCCCTGTGTCCTGCCCTCCCTGCAGACAGGCCCCGGGCCTCGGCCGTCCTCTGGAGGTGATGGGTGCGGACATGGGGCTGCCCAGGAGCTGGGCGGCCCTGGCCAGGCCGGGCAAGAAGGCACAAGGCAGGTGGGCGGGGCGGGGCGGGGGGCTCTCTCCCCTGTCAGACCATGGGCTTCCTGAGGTCTGGGCCTCCCCCAGGCCCCAGCCCCGGCCAGCTCCTGCCCCGAGTGGGCCAGGGCGTGCGTGCGAGGAACAGCATGCTGCTCAGTCTTCCCCGATATCCTCCGCCCGAGGGCCGCTCAGACGTGGGGCCTAGAGCCAACCTCCGCCGGGCGCTTCTCCGGAGGCCCCACACCAGCCAGCCCACCACTTCGGGGAGAGAAGAAAGACCTGCCCCCAGCACAGGTGGTCCCAAGTTCCAACGAGCCCTGGGCCACGGAGCCCGCCACCCTCAGGCGTCCTTATCCTGACACCCTCTGTATGTAAAGAGCTACTGAAAAAAACTGAGGGGACCCCTCAGGGGGTGAGCCTGGGTGGGAACTGCTCGGCCAGGTGCTGGGGCCCTGCTGCTGGGTCGGGCAAGTCCCTCTCCTGCTCTGGGCCCATTTCTCCCTTGGCGGACGGGCGCTGTGAGGGCCTGACTGCTTCATAAACTGCGCCCCCCCCCCCCCGCCCCAGGCTGCACCCTCACCTCCTGAGGCGGCCCTGGCCCACAGCCCACCTACAGGCACAGAGCCGAACCCCTGCCCTGGGACCCGCAGGCCTTCGGGGTGAGGGAGCCGGTGACGCAGCCCCTCACCACCCTGGGCAGAGGCACATAGCTCAGCCCTGGGGGCCCTGCCGGCCACAGCTGGGCCTCACCGCTGCTTCTTCCCCAGCAGCTTGTGCTGGTCCAGGCCCGGCAGGGCGTCAGAAATGGGGTCCGGACAGGGCCGGAGTCCGGACCCACTCCTCCTGAGGTCAAAGTTACAACATCACACCGATGAGGCTGGAAACAGCCTCTGGCTGTCCAGGGCCCGAGGAGCCTGCATGTCCCCAGAGTCCAGGAGGGCCGGGAGCCGTGGGCCAGCGAGGGGGTCGTCTCCTCGCCCATACGGGGAGGGGCACAGGGATGGCCCCCCCCAGTGACGTGTGGAGCCCGAGGCAACCCTACAGGGCCCAGCCTGCACTCCACCCTAGTGACCACTGGGGGGGAGGGGAGACACCAGGGCAGGGACCAGTGGGGCCTCCCAGGACAGCCCCTCACTTCCGGGCACTCGCAGGCCCCAGGGCAGCCCCAGGCCCGCCCCTGCCCTGACAGCCCACCCACGGGGCCCTGTGCACTGGGACCACTCTACTCCCAGCCCCTCGCTCCTGCTTGACCTTCAGCCCTGACCCCTGACCCTCTCTGCACTGGGTGCCCCTCTGCGGGTTGGCCTGGGCCCCCTGAGCCCCGAGGTGCGAGGCCCAGGGCCGCACTCCGCTCCCTCCCTGGACCCTGCCCTGCCGGGCCCGGAGCCCGCTTGCCCGCAGTTCTCCTCAGGCCACCAAGGTGGGGGCCTGGGGGGCCGTGTGGAGGCAGAGCTGGGGCCAGGGCCGGGTCCCCAGTGCTTCCTGCCACAAACCAGGCCCCTCCTCTGAGTGGGACCCTCCGGGGCACTCAGAGGTTCCCGGCCGGCCCTGATGGTCCCCAGCCCAGGCCCGGGAGGTGCCGTGTCCCCAGCGGGCTCCATGGGTGTGGAAGTGACCGAGCCTCGGGCCTCACTTTCCCTGGCCTGTTCAGCAGCGTCCCGCCACCCTGCCGTGCGGAGCCAGGCCTGCCAGGAGGTCCGCAGGCCCCTGCCTGGGTTGGGGGTGTGCAGGCCACGAGGCAGCTTGCAGGCCCTGGGGAAAGGGCTGGCAGAGGCCCTGGGCAGCTGGGACTGGTCCCAGCCCAGCCTCCGCTGGACCTCGTTCCCCCCACCTGCCCACTGGGAGTCTGCACCTGTGGTCGGTGTCCGCCCCGTCGAGCCCGGTGAGGCTGGATGCCACCTGTTTCCCAAGGGCGATGCCCCAGGCAGGCCGGCGGGCAGCCATCTGTCCTGGGCGTGGGCACGGTGGCGGGTGCAGTGGTGGGCGCGACCTACCTGTACTGGAAGGTCATGTTGGTGATCTTGATCTTGATCTCCTCGCCCAGCCGGCGCTCGCCGGTCATCTCCAGCAGCTTGCTGGCCATCTTCTCGTACACCTTGGCGTTGCGTTTGGTCTGCTTGAGCTCGTCGAAGAACTCCTCCCAGACGAGCAGGAGGCCGCGCATCTCGGCGTCAGTCCAGTTGCGGGCCCGCCGGTGCTTCTCCGTCTGTGGGGACGCAAGGCGCACGGGCACCTCAGCCGCGGCCATGCCGGGGGTGCCCGAGGGGTGGAGGGTGCGGGCCCGGGACGGCCCACGGCCCGCGCTCCGTGCACAGGAGCCCCGCTCCGGGAAGACAGCTCCACACTCAAAATGGGGCCTACATCTGACAGGCAGGAATTTAGTTAAAAGCTTTTAAACGGTAAACGTCATTTTGATGTCACGTTTCCATAGCAACAGAGCAACTGCATAAGCTACAACAACAGAAACCTTTTAACTGAAAGCGCAGGAATCAGGGCCACTGTGACGGGCCATCAATATTGTGGCGGGCGGGCCAGGCTCCCGGCCCCACTGCGGCCCCAGCTTCGCCACCAGACCTCCATGGCCAAGGCCACGTGGAGCCGGCGCCTACGCTGGGCCAGGCTGCCCCAGCCCCTGAGGGGTGGGATCCAGGTCACAGCCCCCTCCTCAGCCTGGTCCCAGCTCACGAAGGCAGGCTGGGGAGAGGGGAGTCGGGGTGGGCCAAGACAAGGTGATGGGGGGCTGACGGGGGCCCTGAGAGACTTGGGAGGACGGGCAGAGGGGGGAGGCGGAGCGAGCCAGGAACGGGCACCCTCGGGGGCGTGCTGGGGCTCCCCTGCCCCCGGCCCATGTGCAGGGTCCCTGGACACCACGCCCCTGCTTTCTAGCAGGGACCACAAATGCATGAATGCCCCACGCCCACAGGCTCTGCCCCCTTGGCGTGCCCACCTCCCTCCCTGAAGGGGACGCTGTCGGCCAGCCTGGGTGATACAGGTTGGGCAGAGCAGCCAGGACCATTCTTGAGGCCAATGGCAGCTGGGAGCAGGGGTGTGTCCCCCCTGCCCCGGACAGCCCCACTTCAGCCCAGGCCCCTCAGCCGGGGCAGCCAGACCTGCCTCTCCTGCCGCCCTGGGCGCCCACAGGGGAGGGTCTGGGAAAGGCTGGCTGAGTGACATGGGAGCGAAGAAGGGCCAGACCTCTGGTCACCCCCTCAGCAACCACCTGGACTTCACCGCGCACTTGCCGGCAGTTCTCCGCAGCCCTGTGCTGACGGCATCTCCACTCGGGGCCCCCTGCTCACCTGAGGCCCTTCCCCCCACCCCCCACCAAGGCCGGCTGCCTATTTTACTCCCCGCTCCAGTGGGGTGACCTGGTGAACACCCCGCCCACGTGTGGGCTCTCCGGAGGAGGGCTGGCACCGCTGCTAATTCCCATTTTCAGGCAACAAGCCTGAGGCCAGAAAGGTGAGCTCACCCCACGGGCCAAGAGCCTGGAAGCCGGGAGGGTGAGGTGATGGGCTGGAAGGACGAGGTCACTCCTCCCCCAGCGCAGCCAGCGCAGCCTGCTGCAGCCCCCGACACTCCCCACCATCTCCCGGGTTCTTCTGGGCCCCTGGTGCCGACCCTCAGCCGAGGTGGCCGCCTGCACTGGCTGGGCCCCCTTGCCTCTCGTGGGGCCTCTCAGGGCTTGACAGAGGCTCGTCCTGATGCCCCGAGGGCCGGGGACATGGACAGGGGCTCCAGCACCGTGGTGGGAGCAGAGGGGGAAAGGGCACAGCGAGACAGCTCACACCGGGATGGGACTGCCCAGTGGGGCAGGGGCTGGAGGGCTGAGGTCCCGGCCCAGCAGCCACAGGCAGAACACCAGGGCAAGAGAGCCTGTGGGGACAACAGGGAGAAAGTGCCACCTACAGGCGTCACCATTCAAACCTTAACAGGTAAAAGCAAGTGGCCAGTCAGCACGAGCCCATCACACCTGTTAGGCCCCAACCGCCAGGTGGCACCCCAGAGCCACCCTAGGGACCGGGCCTAACACCCTCAGGAGTCTGGTGTGGCCTTAGATCGGGAGGTCCCCAGGGTGGGCCGCCACTGGGATGCCCCCTGCCCTGCAGTCACAGCTGGAAGGGCAGTGGGTGACCAGGCTACATGTGGTGTCTCAGCAGGGTCCTGAGTAGAGGCCTGGTCCTGCCACCAGCTCCCAGGAGAGCCCCATCCTCCCTGGGCCCGCACTCAGCAGTTCGGGGAAGGACTGGGAACCCCAGGGCCCCTAGAGGGGTGGCTGTGACCCTGGCTCCTGCTTTGGAGGGCACTGCATCAGCCATCGAACCAGAGGCGGAGCTGGGCTGCAGGGGCTGGGAAACTCTCAGAAACCACAGGGACGCTCGTGGTGTCCCAAGTGTGGGCAGCTCCATGAAGCAGCCAAATGCTGCACCCCTGGGTCCCGGACCCCCACCTTGTGCAGGGAGCCCAGCCAGCTGCCGAGGGCCACGTGGAGGCCAGGCCTGGCGTGCACCCTGTACACGCTGGGGGGCTCCAGGAGCTGGGGCAGGAGCGGGGGCTTCCTGAGAAGAGGCTTCCTCCCCTTGCCACGGTGGCCAGGCTGTAGCTTGCTGCGGACAAGCCCCACCTGCCAGGGGATCAGCCGCTGCTTCCCAGGGTACGTGGGGCTCTCTTTGGAAATAGCAGGTGTGCCAGCTGGGGTCAGCTGTCCAGGCTTGGCCTGGGGAGGGGGTGGAGCTTAGGCAACTCTGAAGGGTGAGAGGCCCTGGAGTTACTGTGATGCAGAGAACATGAACTTGGGAGGTGAAGTCACCCCCATCTAATGTTTAGAGCAACTGAGTGCAGTAACTTATGGCCACATGGCCTGTCCACCTGGCTTTGGCAGCCAAATGCTTTTGCTGTCCCTGTGCCTCAGGGGGGCAGGGACACAGAGTCACCAGAAAATCTCAGGAAGCCCTGAGGCCGGGCCCAGGCTCTGCCATCTGTCCAAAAACCCACCCCAAGGCCGACTCAGGACTGTCCTGCCAAGGGCCTGGAAGGACCACCCCCCCTGGACTGTGACCTATGGGATGTCAGTGGACACCTCCAAGGCACCTGCCAGGAAGGAACAGCTCCTGGCCTGCAGCTTTCTGTGCGGGATGGGCATGAATCTGTGACAGAGATCCCCAGTGCCAAGGGCCCAGGCACCCAGGGCCTGCCGGCCAATGCCCAGGACACACATCTCGGTGGGGCAGGTCAGGGAGCAGCAGCCGCTCTGGGTGGAAGGACCCGTCAGGTCCAGTGGCCACCCAGCACGGCCCAGGAGCACAGGCGCCCAGGGTTGGGCCGGTGGGCAGGAGCGCAGGTTGCAGCCCTGGAGCCTGCCCCTGCCATCCCTCCAGGGCCCTGGACCATCGTGGAAGCAGGCCCACAGCCAGGCACATGTGGTCCCCGTGTAACTGCATCATATCACGCAGCCAGTGGGCATCAGTGGCCCGAGTCTGCTGGGCAGAAGGACCACCATGCCGGGGTCTATGGGCCACGTCCCCACCAACCCAATTCAGGGCCTCCTCTGAGGGCTCAGGTGTCTGCTCCCCCGGCACAGCCCAGATGCTCCAGAAGCAAAGCAGGCCTTGCACAGCTCAGGATTTAAAGTCTCCTTTAATTCAATGTACAGTGTTTGCAGCAGTATAAAAAACTTAAACAGGCATCTCAGGTCAGTCCTCCCCACCTGGTTCAGAAGGGGACGGTCAGGTCTGGGCCAGGCTCCCGCACGCCCATCACAGCCCCGCACTGCGCAGAGCGGGCCGAAACAGCCGGGGCCGGAATCTGCAGCCGGGCAGCGTCGCTGTCCAGGGCCGGGTGCTCCCAGAAGCACTCGAGGCGAGGAGGCCCCCGGCACTGCATCAACACGTACAGGCTCGTGGGGCAGCACAGCCAGAACCTTCAGGGCCACCTTCAGTTGTCGCCGCTCTGAGCAGGCCCCTCCCTGCTGAGCGTGGGCCACAGCTCAGGGCCGGTGCAGGGTGGTCCGGGCCTTGGAGGCTCCTCAGGCCCCTCCCCAACAGAACAACTCCAGTCTCTCCAGGCCGGCAGCCGGTTTCGGGCCTTCGCTGAAGAGGGGGGGACCACGCAAGCCGGAGAGAGGATGTAAGCTAGAAAAGACACTAGTTCTGCTCCGAAACGAGAGCACACCAAGCCCATGGTGGCCCATGGTGACCCACGGCCCAGCTCTTCCTGCTGCTCCGAGTGCGACCCACCCACCGCACGGCAGGAGGCACGTCTGGGGGCGCTTCAGGGCGCAGAGCCTGCTGGTGCCGCACTCTCGGTGCCTGGACGCAGTCTAGCGTCATTCGTACCCCCTGAAAGGCCGCCGCCACTGGCAATGTGGGAGGGAGCGGCAGTGAAGGGCACTGGCGGCTGGAAAGGCCACCTGCCCCCACGCGGCGGGCTCCAGGTGAAGGTCCTGCGGGAATGGACAGGGCTGCCCCTACAGGCCCTGCATGTCTGCGCCCTGAGACACACGTGCCTCTGCCGACGTGCAGAGCGTGTTCTCGTGCGGCAAGAACGCCGCTCACTAGCGCACAGCCGTCCCAAGCTGCCGCACAGGCTCACCTCTGGGCCGGCACCCACGGCAGAGCTGGGCCCCACGTCACAAACAAGGGGTGGCCACTAAAACCCCCAGTGAGCCCAGGGGTAGGAACCCCGAGGGGGTCCCAGCTCTGCATCACAGTGGCCTTTCTCAGTGTTTCTGGTGAGACATCTCACGGGCAACAGTGGTGGCCAGGGCCGTGCCCGCCCTTTGAGCAGCTGGAGCCCGTGCTCACAAACGCTCTGGTGGGTTTTCTAGGGAAAAGCCAGGAGGAGAGACAGGGAGGCCACGGGAGCGAGGGGGGAGGCTTTTCCCCCACCCCCGGCCCACGCCCCCACCACATGCCCCTCGGCCAGGGCTCTGCTTGGGACTGCCAGGAAAAGCCAAGGACTGTCCTGAGGAGGGCCCACAGACTCCGCTGGTGTGCGTGAGCCACGGGCCAAGACCTGCAGGGAAGGCAGGGAGAGGGGAGCTGCTCCAGGGTAGGGGCAGGGAGCCGAAGGGGGTGGAAGCCCTGTGCAGCCCACGGCGGGCGGCGAGGCGCCGGGAACCCTGCCCCACGTCTCCTCTGCAGACATCCAGGGTTTCAAAATCACCTGCACTTGCCATGTGGAGCCCTCAAGCCCCGCTGGCACTGGAGCTCCTGACCAAACAGCCAGCCTACCTCTGGGGACAGGGGTGCCGAGCAGGCAGGGCCCCACCCCAGCCAGTCCGAGCTCCAGGCCAAGGCCCACCTGGCTCTCCAGGCCTCATGTGCATGGGTGTTTTGACTACTCTGAGCCTGGAAACAGAAAGCCAGTCCAGGGGCTCGGGCCTGCATACAGGCAACAGCTGGAGGGAGAGTCAGCCACAGCCCGGCCCTGTCTCTCCCCTGCCCCGTAGGTGGAGCCCTGCCACCCCGGCATGAACTGGATCCCCTAGGCTAAGAGGAGGCACTGGCGTCTGTCTCTGACAGTTGCTCAGATGCTGAGTTTGCTCTTGTCCAAGAGGGGTGCACCTATGGGGCCCTCAGGCCAGGCACAGGTCTGGGCCCTGCACACAGAGGCCCTGGGGGAAGCAGGTCCCTGGGAGGACAGCAGCCGAGCGCCAGCTGGGGACAGGAGCCAGAAGATGTCAGGGCCAGTGGCTCTGGGTACAACAGAGGCTGCTCACAATGAGGTGGCCAGCCTGGTCAGCGCATGTCCCGGGAGATCGCCCCTTTCCCAGCAGCGCCCCAAGGAGGGGCCTCCCACACCGGACAGCTGAGAGTTGGGCTGCACTCGGGGTCTGGGCAGCCGTCCGTGCCGGAATTGGTACCACATTCCGGTCGAGGTGACAGCACAGGAATGGAGGGGTTGAGGGGGGCCACAGAATGTTGGCGTGCTGAGGAGTCGGGTATCGGGAGCCGCTGGACAGAGGGAGCAACGTGAGGAGAGGAGAGCCCAGGTGTTCGCTCCCTCGGGGCTGCGGGGCCGAACAGATGTCACACGGGCATAGAAAGGTACCTTAAAATTAATCTCTTTACTGATACAATTAAGCTTTAAGTCCTGAGAAGAAACCAGGAAGGGAGTGTGGCTCTGGGCCCATGCTCCCCACCCCCGTGAACTCCGCCAGGAGCAGCGCCTGTGAGACAGCAGGGGCGGCCGGCCGACCTGCACGAGCAAGAGGACTCGAGTCCTGGACACGAGAGCAGCCGAGGCCAGGCCCCGAGGGCTGGGCTGGCCGCTGGAGGAAGGTGCACACTCACCGGCATCGACACTAGCACACGGGAGGGCCAGCCTGTGCCTCCTGTGAGGCCGAAGCTCAGCCCACACTCGACCACCGCACGCCCGCACGCGGCCTCCCTGCAAGAGCGCGGCAGCCCAAGGTGCGACCGACCCTGAGCCCGACACTGTCTGTGTCCCCAGGAGCTCAGCACGAGGCCACCTTGTGAACGTTCTGCAAACAGGCCAGCAGCCGCTGGTAAGGGGTTCCCGGCGTGGCCACCACCTCGAACACAGACTGGAAGGCCCGGCGGTCCAGCTCCTCCTCAATCTGGTGTCTGTAGAAATCCGCAGCCACCAGGCAGAAAAGGTTGACGTCCACCTGCTCCAGCCTGCCCATCCTGCTGATGACGTGGGGGAGCCTGCGGAGGCGTTAAGGAACGCGGCTGCAGAGTGGGGGTGCCTGGCACAGGCCCACGGACGGGCGGGCAGAGCGGGCCTGGGCCGTGCCTGCAACCCCTGCCTCCCACTCCGGCTCCTGCAGCGAGCCCACGCTGGCGCCCACACTGTCTGGATGAAAGGCAGCACCCCCCGGTAGGGGCGGATTGGGGCAGGCAGGAGGGGCTGGCCAGGGAGCTGTTCCCCTCGGCAGCACTCACCTGGCCTGGCTCCCCACACGCACGCACCGGTGACTGGTGCTCCTGCTCCCCCTGCTCCCCCTAATCCCGCAGACGGAGGGCAGAGGCATGGCCACCCTGCCCAGGCCGCAAGGCACACGGAGCGAAAGCCGCCACGAGCACCAGGACAGTGGTCTGCTCAGAGGCTCTGGGGAACTCCCCCTTTCGGCAGCCAGCACTCTCAGCGGTGGGAACAGGATCTTCCTTCGGGCGGGTCTGTGGGGACCTCTGCCCCACCCCCACCACCTGGCCCCTCCTGGTCAGTGCAGTAAGCGTGCTGTCGACTGTGTCAACTCTTCACTCACTTGGGGCTCCACGCGAACGCCGCCCACTGTCTGGCGGCCTGGGCAGGGGTTGGGCCCACAGCGTCAGCACAGAGCCACAACCCAGATGCCAACAGCCATGTGAGGACGGGCAGGCCGTGCCCCTAGCCCAGCCCAGCGCCCCGGGAAGGATACACTGCCGAGACCCACGGGCTGGTGGACGCACTGACGAAAAAGCAGGAGAGGCTCCACACGGCCATGGCGACCGGGGCCCTCTGCGTGAAGTTGGAGAGGGACAGCATGACCCAGTCCCGGACCATGGACGACTGCCCCGTGCCATGCAGGGTCTGGAACACCTGCAGGGGGGTGGGGGGGACTGCACGTCAGGGGGCCCGCAGCAGCACTGCCCGCCCATGCCCAGCAGACCCCGGCCCTGCACCTGGTACACCACGGTGGCCATGAACTGCGGGTAGGGCTGCTGGTTGGACAGAAACTCCCCGATGACTTTATTCATTACGTCTTGGGGCGGGAAGAAGTCGTCTAAGAACTGCGGGAGGATCCGGGCCACCACACGGGCTTCGCAGGGAAAGCCTTTCCTGATCCTGCGAGGAGGGGCTCTGTCAGGGGCCGCCAGCCCCCAGCTCTGACCCCGCAGCTCCGCAGCTGGGGGCTTTCTCTGTACCTGATCTCCCCCAGCCATGTACCCCTGCTGCCTCCTGACACCCCCGCAGTCTGCACCGGACTGGCAATGCTCTGGACACGGGGACTCAGCCCTCAGTGCCGACAGCGCAGACGGAGACCTGTGTGCACTGGAGGCCTGCACCTCCTTCCAGACGTGCCCATCGCCGCCCGCATGCCCAGCGCATGGGCCGCTGCTCTTCCGCCAGCCACGGAGAGTGGCGGGCTGAGCACCTGCACCACGCCTGCTGAACCACGTCCCTGGGCCTCCCCAGCACAGGTGGAGCGGGAAGGCTGACTGCACGTGCCCTCTCAGACGTGGACCAGGCGCCCGGCTCTGCTCTGTGAAAGCCCCAGTGGCCTCCCAGTGGCCAAGTGGTGGCCTTGTACGGCAGAGCCGGCCTCCCCAGAGCCACACCCATCGCACCCCCTGGACTGACTGGGGGCAACACTCGGAGCCCTGTCAGCAGGAAAAGCCCGAGGCAGCTCACGGCCCACTTTCCAGAACTGGCAAGCCGAGCAGACCCTGCCACCGGCACACAGTGTGGGGCAATGGGGCTCAGCCCCTCAGACGTGCGGGTGCCGGCTGGCTAACGCTTCCTGGGTCTGCCAAACACGCCTCCTGAAGGTGTTCCAAGGCGGCGCCTGCCCCGTGGCCCAGAGAGTGACCGGGTGAGCTGCTGGGACCACAGGCTCCCATCCCTGAAGGCAGCCGTGTCCGACAGGCAGTCTTGTCGCTGCTCAGGGCCCCGAGCCCAGCCCACCCTGGTCCCACAGATGTGCCTGACACCCACACAGCTGAGTGCTGCCCCGCCTTCCAGGCAGGTGGGCCGCCAGCAGGTGGCCTGGGAGCCGGTCAACTCCACACTCCTGAGTGCCGGTGTCCGAGAAACGCTCTCTCCCACGAAGCCCTGAGCCAGGACGTGCTCGGCCAGGACGTGCATGGGAAGGACAGCAGTGGCTGAGAGGACCACAGGTGCTGTCGCAGGAAAGCAGCCGCTCCCTGCAGTTCGGGGCAGTGGCGGGCGCCCCTCCTCACCTGTCGAAAAGCACGGACACGCGTTCCATGGCCACGATCACGGACTCACTGTCGGGGGTGGCAGGGCTGGGCTCGGAGGTCCGGCCTGGACTGGCCTTCTCCTTCCCTGAAATAGGCGGTTTGGAGCTGCTGTGGGGTCTGAGAGACGGGTGGGCTTTGGAGACAGCCCCCAAGCTCACCCAGCAGTTCAGGGGCACTGTGAGGTGACCTGAAAGCAGGCAAGGGAGCCCCGGCAGCCCCCAGGGTGCAGCAGCCCAGCCTCAGACCCGCTCCCCAGGCAGATCTGCCTCCAGCACAGCACTTCGGCCTGGCGCTGGACTCTGAATGTTCTCGGAACTGCGGGGCCCTGCGGTCGTGTCCCAGGAAGCAGCGGCGGCAGGAGGTCGGCCCCACTACTCACCTGTGTACATGCAGGTGAGCATCAGGCCCAGGGCGGCCATGGCCCGGTGCGGGCTGTGCACGTTCACTCTGTCCACACTGAGCTTGACCAGGGACTCTGCGTCCAGCCGGGAGAGCTGCTCGGACAGCAGGAGGCGCTCCAGGCCCCGCAGGACGCAGTGGTAGACAGTGGACGGAGTGGACTCCTCACTTCCGGACAACATCACCCCACACATCTGCACGAGAAGGGTGATGTCCGGGCCAAGCGCCGTCTCAGGCCCCTGCCACCCTGCTCCTGTCCCAGATCGACCCTCTCCCAGCGGTCCCGCCCCCGGGGGAGAGGCCGGGGCTGCACACCTGTATGATGGATGCAGAAAACTCGGGCCCCACGTCCAGCGGGTAGTTCTCGACCAGGTAGAAGGCGGTGGCGCACATCACCAGCACGTGCTGCTGGCTGTGGACATTCACGCAGCTGGAAATGCCGGATGGCGGCCAAGTTCAGCCACACAGGTGGTCTGCAGCCAGCCAGCGTGGGTGGGATCCCTGTGTCTGCAACCTCCGCCACCGTCCCCAGGAGAAGGGTGCCCACACGCGATCTGCCCAGGGTCTGACACCCGCAGGGACCCCAGCGCTCCGACAATGGTGTTCCGCGCAGCCCGCACCAGGCCCGCCCAGCCCACCCCACTCACTGGGCCGCGCCTCGCAGGCCGGAGAGGAGGTGGTCGCAAACGACCGGGATGAGCTGCTTGGCGGTGTCGTCCAGCAGGTCGCACTCCAGCACGTAGAGCAGGCCATGCAGCGCCCCCGTCTTGCAGGGCAGGTGGCCGCTCCTGAGCGTGCTCTCCAGCAGCCGGCTGACCGGCTCTGCCACCGCCTTGTCCTAGCACACAGGCAGAGGTGGCGGCTGACCCCACGGGGACAGAGAGCCCAGGCGGGGCTGACCTCTGCCCCCGTGGGACAGCAGCGCATTGCAGGCCTGCGGCTGAGCTCTGGGAGGCCCACCTGCAGGGTTGCTGTCCAGAACCCCGGGTGTTGGGAGGGCCCCCAGCCCCGCCTGTCTGTGCTGACACCCCCTCCTCCGGGAGCTGCGGGACCGGCCCCCGTGAGAGTCCCAGCCCTGAGTCCCGAGGGGCCTCCCTGGTGGACACACCCCACATGCTGCCACAGTGCAGCACGTGGGTACTGGCGTGTCCCGTGCAACTCTGGAAGAGGGTTCGGGACGCTGAGCCCTGTCTCCTCTGCACCGGGCCCTGTTCCCTGTCCCCCTGCACTGGTTTGGCCCTGCGTTCTGTCACTCGTGGGTCATGGCCACAACTGCAGGCAAATCTGCGAGGCCCTAAGTGCAAACTCGGGGTGGTCTCAGGGCCCCGACCACTGTCTGGACACACTGCCGCCAGCTCCACTCAGTGTCCGGGACACAGTGAGGGGCCTGGGGGTCTCCACACCGAGCTCTCCCCACAAGGAGACCTCACCGACAGCACAGGGCAGAGGGGTGGCAACAGCTGGGGTTCACAGACCAGCCCCCAGAAGGGCCCCCCGCCCCGGGCTCGTTCCTCAAAAGCAGCAAGGAGGCTGTCTGGCCACGTGGTCCCCAAGACCCCTGTCTTTGTGTCCCTGTGTTGGGGTCCTCCCCAGCACCCACAGACTGCCAGACACCTCCAAAGAACTGCTGCCACCTGTACCTCCAGGGCCCAGCTCTGCAAGCAGCAGCACCGGGACCCAGTGAGGGGCAGAGACCTCACAGGAGCCGGAGGGAAGCCCCGCCCACGGCAGCACCGAGGAGTCCCTGACCTCACCCTGCCTGAGGCCCCTCTTCACAGCCTGGACCCCTCCTCTGACTCCCTGAGGACGTGACCTATGCCCCGGGGCCCGGGCCTGAGCGCAATGACACCGCCGCAAGCAAAGGCACCGCCACGGCTTGGCTCCAAGTCCCACAAACGCTTGCACAGGCCTCCCCACCCAGAGGGTGCAGCTGCAACGGGCTCTCACAGGGAGCCATGTCCCACCGCTCCTGGTCCCTGGGCGGGTGCCCGGATGGGGGTGCCTGCTCTTGTGCTCTGGCCCCGAGAAACAAATTCTAGGGGGAAGGAGAGTCGGGGGCTGACGTGGGCCTCCCCCACCCCCGCCCGGTGGCCCTGAAGCAAGTTGGCTAATAGCCTGGCCTCAGCCCTGAAGAGGGCTGACGTCCGTGGCGACCTTTCTCTCACACCAAGCTGCCGTTCTTCCACGGGCTTGGGGCCACGCTCACACACCTCTGTGCATCGGAGCAGCGGGCGCCGTGGGGGGCTGACCGCACAGAAAGTGGCCGAGTCCTGACCCACCACAGGTAGGATCAGGGAAGCTCTAAAGAAGGCCCCGTCTGTCCTGTGGTGCCAAAGACTGCAATGCCCCAACTTCAGGCTGGAGACGCAGGGCGACTACGTCACAGCGGTCCCAGGAGGGAGGGCCGGTCGGCAGAAAGCACGTGGTCTGCAGCCCATCAGAGAAGGGGGCTCGGGAGCTGCAGGCCACTGTGGTGGAAAGAGTCCCATCTCCACTACCCTTATACCCAGCTCCTGGGCAGGCGCCGCCCTGAGAACCTCGCCATCGAAGGGTCCCCAGGGCGGGGTTCGCCCACCACAGCACACTTCATGGCGCCCTGCCAAGAGGGCCCACGATGTCACACACTCGCTGTGGACCTCCAGGCAGACCTCCCAAGGCTGCGGCTGCTCCCACGGCACCCGGCCCCTGTGCGGCGGCCCCCGCGCACCCTCAGCTCACCATTCCCAGGACGGCAGCCGCCTTGCAGGTGGCGGGCACCAGGTACTGGAGGAGAATCTCGTCTTCGGAAGGGTGCGCTCTCCGCAGCTCGGTCAGCGTCAGGTACATCATCTCGAACTGGCTGCGCTCCGTGAACAAGTCTGAGACCACCAGGAGCTGAGGACAGCAAAGGGCCCCGCTCTCAGGACAGCGCAGGGCAGCGGGTGCCGGGCATTCCTGAGCCGTGCCCACGCGGAGAGACTGGCAAACACCGGCCCGAAACATGGTGCAGCCTGACGGGAACGCGGCCTGGCCGCTGCTGCCACGCACGAGCCCCACGTCTGCCGGGTCAGAGACTCCAGGCCCTTCACACCTCCAAAGCCTCAGGACGCAGGAGTTGCTTCAGACACGAATGCCTCACCAGTGACTCTCTGTCTCTCCCAAAACGCCTCACTCTTCAACATTCGGTTCTTCCCTCGACACGTAAAAAAGGTGTCAGTGAGGGGTGAAGGCCCCAGGCTCTGGGAGAGCGTGCGGAGCAGGGCCCTCTCAGCGCCACCGGCGAGCCTGCAGGGGACACTGGGCTCGCCTGGCAACGCTACTTCCGCAATAACCTTAAGACTCATTTTCCTTCCGAACACGCGGTGCCACGTTCTGGAAGCCAGCTGATAGTAACAGGCTGAATGCAGGGCAGACGCAAGAGTCCAGCTGTTCTCTAAAAGCCAGACACTAAAGAGACTTGCAGTAATGTGAAACAATTCTCTTCTCACCAATTAGAAAAGTTATTTTAAAATAGAAATTATCATTAAAACACCAGTAGTTAATTTCTTACTTAAAAGTTAAACACATTTATTAATGATACTTTGATGTGTTTGAAAACATCAAGTTGTAAACTCTTATTAAAATAAAAAATGAAGTTCTTAAAAACCTAGACCAGCTAGAAAACAACTTAAAGACCTTTCACGGTGTACTGAGGCAAACCCGGCGTGACACGCCCCACTCAGCACTGCTCAGAACCGTCCTCTGGTGCAAATGCCAAAAGGCTACGCTGCACAGGCAAGGCGGCGGTTCCGGGGAACTGGTCTCGGTGCCGACCCGCCGGCCTGGCCCGGGGAACAGCTGCCGGTGGCGGCAGAGCCGGTGAGCCAACTCTCAGGTGTAGCTTCCGGGACCGTGACACCGATAGACACGCCCACACCAAGGATCTCCGGGGCCCCAAGAGCATGAAGGGCGCAGACAGTCCGAGGTGGGGGCCCGCAGGCTGAGGCACAGGCCCGAGGTAGGGGCCCACGGACCAGGGCCGGGGCCTGCAGACCCGAGGACAGTAGCCCGCTCCCTGAGAGTGTCGCCCACCATGGACCTCACATGTGCCAACAGACGGCCACTCCTACCAGGGGGGGAGAATGCGGTCAGGGCACCATGCTAGAGATGGTGAGCTGTGTGTGCACACAGGGGCACCCCTGTAAACTGTGTGTGTCCAGGTGTGCACACAGGGGCACCCCTGCGCTGTACACTCCGGGGGGGGATGGGGCAAACTCACAGAGCGAACCACTTCGCTGACCAGGGCCACGGGGATCCTCCGGGCTGAACTTGACGGCAGGACCCAGCGGCTGTACAGCTCGAGCAGGAACTGGGAGCAGGAGTGGATGTCGACCCCAGCCCGGTGCTTCCTGCAGGGTGTGGACACAGGTGACCCCCACACACGGCCTGACAGTGTCACCCAAGGGGCACCCAAACCAATCCCATGACTAGTAAACACCAAACCGCTTAAAACCGGAAGGGGGAAGGAGACCTGGAGTTGACTGGAGACAGGGGCGGTGACGAAGGGGCGGGGACGTCGGCCTCCTCCTCCTCCTCCTCGTCCCACTCCTCCTCCCTCAGGGGTGTGATGCTGTTCCCCAGCCACACTGAGTGGATGGACACCTTCAACAGACACAGGACACTCGGGTCACGCTCGGGGGCTGGGCAGCAGGCTCCCTGAGGCCCGGGGTCCTGGGACCTGAGCAGACCCTGGCCCGGACAGGGTGCTTCAGGACGCCCCACCTTCCAGATGGAAGACGTGGAATGAGGGGAGCAGCTAAGGGTGGGCAGGAAAGAGCCCCAGAGAAGGACACGGCACCTCCAAGGGACATGTGACTGAAGTCCGGCAGAAAACGGAGCTGCCGGGGGCTCCTTTCCCAAACCGGTCCTGCCACCCTGGCTGTCACGGGGGCGAACCTCACTTTTTGAAGGATCTGCTAAGACAAGCATCCCCCCAACCAAAGGGGAGGCGACTGTTCTGGAGATGGCAGGGTGGGAGGGACTTGGGAGGCTTGGGGGGAGAACCCAAGGGGCAGAGCAAAGCCACCCGCCACCTCAAACACACTGCGCTCCCTCCTGACAGCCACTCGTCACCCAGGCTGCTAGAGAGCAGCCACCGGCTGGCTGCACACTACTCACGCCCACGGCCGGTGACACCAGCCCCAAGGCCTACTCTGCAGCGACAGCGGGTGCCCCCTCCCAGTCCCCGCCCTGCCCCTGACCGAGGAGAGCCAGGACCCCCAGCAGCAGACCCCCAAGGTCTGCAGGCCTCGAGGAGCAGTGGCTGCCCCTGCTGCCCGCCAGACACTCTTCTCCTCCAAGCGGTGGCAGCTCAGGCCAGGGCATGGTGACAGGCACCAGGACACCGTGTGCAGCTCTCGGGGCGAGTGGAGACGCGGACGCTGAAGGAAGGACACAGCAGGCAAACGCCACAGGCCCCAGAACAAAGCCCCAGCCCAGGCTCCTCGCCCCCAGCCTGGCCCTCGGACACTCCCACCAGGTGACCCAGACAAAAGGCTGCCCCCTGCTCCATCTCGGGGCTCAGACCTCTCTGCAGAAGACAAAGAGCACATTGCGTGGGGAAAAGCAGGGTGGTCCTGGGTGTCCCACGGGGCCCGTGGCCCCGAGCTGTGAGAATGCCATGCGACACTGTCCTGACCAACTCACTCTGAAACGGAGGCTAACAGGGCTCTCCGGCGCCAGCTGCTTGCTGACTGGACACCACATGGAGGAAGAACGTGGCCGCCACGGGGCCAGCACCTCACCCCCGTGTCCTCACGGCCTGCCTCACCACTCCTGACCTTGCTGTCGCGTGCACCACTGCACCCATTTTTCTGATGAAGCACAGTTCAAAGAGACCCACCCAGCAGGTGGGGGGCCTGGTGCCCAGCCGCACGGGGCCATGGGACCGTGCCTCCCTCAGCGGGTGTGCGGGGGGCCCGCCCTCGGGGCCTTTCTCTCCCAGGTCTCACGCACACTGCTGCACTGTGTGTGCACATCTGCACGGTCAGCACCCCGAGTAACCCTGTGTCCTTCTGGGAATAAGCAAGACGGGTGCAAGTGACCCTCCCTCTGGTTTATTTAGAACACACTGAAGGCGTTCCATGGCCCCGTCTGCAGACACAGGGCAGCGTGGGGAGTGCAACTGACCTGGCCCAGCTGGTAGCCCACACTGCCCAGCTCCCGCTCCGCGTTGGTCTGCAGCAGGAGTTTGTCGTGGCTGATGAGGGCACCTGCAGGGCAACAGAACCGTCAGGCTGGCCGCCTTGGGCACCATCGAGGCCGGCGGGAAGGTGCAGCAGTGGAGCCCAGAGCTGGCAGGACACTGAGGCACCGCAGGACTGTCCCCAGTTCTCCCTGACACACGACCTGGCTGCGGCTGAGCTGGGAAAACTCGGGAGTCAGTGGCTGCGCATAAAGCCACAGGCGGCCCCTCCTGGGACCCTGCCTTGGTGCTGCGCCCTCTGGAGGTGTGGCTGGTCCCCCCTCATCCACCGGCCCAGACGAATGGGCCCACCCTTCCTTCTGGGGTTGTCACCCCACCCCCGCCCCTCAGCAGCCTCTGCTGTCGTGAGCTCTGTCCTCTGTGCCTCCTGCTGTGACAGCGATGCCATGCCTCATTCCCGTCACCCACAAGCTCCTCCAGGGACCCCAGTTCACACACAGTCCAGTTTGACCCACAGGAGGGGTCTGAGGGCTGTAACTTCCACACGCAACCTTGTCCAATGGATGCTTTCAGGACACTGAAACTTGCAGCATCTCACAACTCCTCAAACTCCTAGGAACTGAGCCTAAAACCCGACTGTTCAGCAACAGACACATGTGCACTAAAGGGAAGATCCCACAACACTCCCCTCCTCTACAATGACAGACCCCTGCGCCCACCCCGGGCAGGTGTGCCCAGGCTCCTGGTCCTGGGAGGCGCGGGTGCCAACGGCTCGGGGCAGCGTGAGCTACAGGAACACCTGCAACACGCCACACCTGGCTGTCTAGTTGGGGGCACGGACCTCGTTCCCCTCAGACTGTCAGATAAAACCGCCGCTACAACAATGGCCGTCCGGTGAGGATGAGTCAAAATTGTACCTATTTCTTTTGGCAGATCGGCAAAAAATACATCCTTGGCGTGCTGCAAATTTTTGTAATTAGTTGACGGGCGCCATGCCACAAGATGAAAGAGGCTAAAAGTCACCGCGCTAAGTGAACAGCCTCCACGCAGAACCAGGACTCGGCCTTTCTGCCTGACCGCTGCGGTCTGCGTGCCAGCCGCGTGGCTGGCTCTGGCCAAGGACGAGCGCCCCACCCCCGGGTACCTGTAGTGGCAGGGGACAGAGATGGCACAGGGTCCCACGCCTGGTACAAGTGGTGGGTGGCAACATTCTCTCTCTTCGAAACCATTGCTTGAATCTCCTGCTCAACAATTCCTCTGATCACACTCAGCTTCCTCCCAAACCTGGAATTCAGGACGAAGGCTCAGCGTTGGGGAAAGAGGCGGCTGCCCCACCCAAGGACACCGTCTCTGCTGGCACTCCCTGCCCTGCGCCCCCTCGCTCTGCTCTGTCACTGTCACGCATCACGTTTGGGCTGCACCTCTCACCGTGATGCAGATGTGCAGTGGTTTTGTTTTTAATTTCAGCAACGAGGGGCAGTGCCCTGGGGAGGATGCAGCCCACCCTGGTGGGGCAGGGTGCCCCGAAGGCCCCTCTATGGCTACGCCCTGGAGACACATGCCCCTCAGCAAACCTGGTGTCGAGAGCTTTCAGGGGCTTGTTCCGCGGCTGCTGCTCCAAACAGCTCACGGCCGGGTTGCCGGCCACGGGCACGGTCATCGCGCTCAGCACCAGGGAGGTGATGGCCCGCACGGCCAGGACGTTGATCTGTGTCCTCTCCGTGTCCTCCTGCAGCAACAGCCACACCCAACTACGTCACAGGCGGCCGGACACCAGACCCCAGAGCTCTCAGGCCATGTGGCCTTGAGGGAAGGGGCCCTGAGCACTGCGGAGGGACGGGCCCAGAGCCAGCGTCCTGTCCCACCTGCCAGCGCCCACCACAGACAGACACATGCACCGGGACTTGCAACAAAGCCAGGCTGCCACTCCCACACACACCCTGCAAATAAGAGCTCCTTACATTTCCTCACTAGTGTTAGAAACTCTGCACTTGACAACCCGGTAGCTTTTGCACGTGGACTTAGGGACAATGTTGGTGGCCCAACATCCACCCACGGGGACTGTCCCTCCAGGGGCCAGCCACAGCTCCCCCCAGAGTGAAGGGCCTGCATCCCTTGACTCTGCATTTCAAGGCCTCAGGCTCTGCTGTATCGAACACTGGCTGCTACTAACACCACGTCAGTGAGGGGACACCCGGCAACTCCCGGCGACACCTCTGCAGAGACAGACGCACACAGGCGCCTGCTGGCTCGGCCTGCACGTGGGCACTGAGCCCTCGTGCGGGCGTCAGCCCCTGGGGGACGATGGGGAGCCCCCGGGACCACCCCAGCCATGGGGTCTGCGCAGGACACCCGGCCTCGGGGAGGCTTGTTCCTGCCCTGGGACATTGGCCCGAATGCAATCCAGTGACCCATGAGAACCACGTGAGACAGGAAAAATGAGCGCACTGCCCTCCTCTGCCCACCAGGAACGGCTCATGAGTTGCCACAGCTGCGGGCGCCAGCCAGTGGACACACAGGCCTGCAAGGGACCTTACTTCCGGTGGGCTCTCCTCCTGCTCCATCACCAGGGGCTGCGTCACCAGGACACCGAGCAGGGTGGCCCACGTCTCCTCAAACTGGGTCCGACTGGTCCACCCTGCGGATGTAAATGCTACGTGAGAAGGCCGCGCGCCCCCCCCACCTGGAGCAAGCAGGGCCCCGGTGCCCCAGACAGCAGCCCTCTCGACCCTCAGGACAGCCCCCGTCCACCAGCAAGGACACAGACGCACGCACGGCAGGGTCAAGCGGAGGCAGCCGAGTGTAACGGAGCCGGGAAGTGCCCGTGGAGGCTCCCAGATGCACTCGTAGCACCGCCTGCCACACTGAGCACCACGCATGTGCAGTGTGGCATCTGCCCCTGCGCGTCCGTGTGACTGAAACTGGGGGTCCACCTGGCACTGGTCCCAGAGGAGTGTGGTCCAGAGAGGGCAGCAGGACCCCGGGCGTCCGCACCACAGGCACTGCTGGGGGAGCAGCTGCGTCTGAGGGCTGCACTCCACGGTCCCACTCATCACCGGGAGGGGTAGGTGCCACACTGCCTGCCCTGGGGCTACAAGGGACAGGCTCTCCTTGCTAAGCTGACACAGAGAAAGAGGCTAAGACATGGGTCACAGGCACACACACTTAAGTAAACACAGACAGACAGGTGTGGGAATTCACACAGGGCGAAGAGCAGGACAACACTGCAAAACTGCCCCGGGTCCCTGGTCCATCAGACAGCCTCCACTCAAGGACAGCTCAGGGAGGACAGGCTGGCACTGGGCGGTGGCGAGGTAGGGGCTGCCTGGTGACAATCTCCAAGGAGAGAAAGAAAAACGGCCCCCGGGGCAGCCAGCCTTGGGCTGTTACTCAGAGTCACACAGCGTCTGGTGACTGAAGGAAAAGGCAGGTGCAGCAGGCACCTGCTGCCCAGACCTTCAGGGTCAGACTCCGCATCTGCGGAAGCCCGAGGCAGGGAGGCCACAGGGGCCACACGGAGACGCAGACTGGGCTGCCAGGTGCCTGCACCAGACTCTGAGACACACGCTCCTGGGAACAACCTAGCAGGGCACTGCCCTTCAGGACCTGCTACCCACGACCCCCACCAGACCACAGATAAGCAGTGGGGACACAAAGATGCCACCCCGGCCTTGCTGTAGAGAGCAGAGAAGACTACGGACAGGACGGCTCGGTGTGCCGGCACCAGGCACCTCCGAGAGTCTGTACACGGGTAGCAGATCCAGGGAGCAGGCAGCACCCACGGAGCCGGGGCCCAGCAGCCGGATGACCCGCCCACCCGAGCCCAGTGCTCTCTCTTCTTCGAAGTCGCCCCCAAGTCCCCCCAGGCTGGCTCCCTCGAGCCCATCAGCACATCTTCCACGGCAGGATGCAGAGAGAGTCGGCGGCAGTGCTTTGAGGTGGGGCCTCATACGTAGATCAGCCCCACACCACCGATTACCAGGGCACCCACCTGGACTTCAAACAAGCCCAAGACATAAAAACCTGGATCAAATTCTCTGACACACACGAGCTGGGGTGGAGTTTCTCAATGCGACACTCAGAATGCACACCCATGAGCAGGCCACGCCCAGTCCTTTCGTGGGTAAGACCACCAGAGCGCTCTGGAGCACTGGGCCCCCCCTTGTTGCCATGCGTTGGGCTCTGAGCAGGAGCCCGCACTACCTAGAGTGTTGATGCGGAAGACGAACTCTCGGAAGACCTCCTTTTCCTGGAGGAACTCCACGGGGACCTCGGGGAAGGCTGTGCCGAAGTCCCCTCCTGGCGTAGGGGACCACCCAAGTTTCCAGACCTGAGTGGGCAAGAAGAAAGGAAGTCACTGAGCTGCAGACCCCACAACATGCTGTCACAGCTGCCCCCAGAGCATGCCCCACCTCGGGCAGTGGGCTGCCACCCCGTGCGGGAAGGACCCTGCCGCCGCCTGCCTCCCGGTGGTCTGTGCTGGCATGTTCCCGTCGCCCTGTTTTAGAAGAGCCAGCACTCCTGCCAACCCCAGCGGTACATGAGGCTTGAGGAAGCCAGGCAGGCAGCAGCATGAGACGTAGTGCGCAGGCCACCAGGGGTGAGGCGGTACCTGAGCCTGCGATCCAGGTCACCAGGGGGGTCCCAGGCCAGGGGCCTGCCTTTGCAGAGAAACGCGCAGACTCACCAGCGGGGGGATGCGCGTGTAGCTGTTGACGAGGGGCAGGCGGGCCAGGCTGACGATGATGTTCCTGAGCACCGGCGTGAGGAACGCGGGGGTGCTGCTGTTCCTTTTATGCCCCAAGGCCAGCACAGACGGCAGAGACTCCACCATTTCGGCCACCATCCTGCAGGCTGCGGTAACGTACTCAGGGCCTAGACAAACACCGCAGTGAGGAAAGGTCAGGATGCACGCCCAAACCGACCCCTCCGCCCTCCCAGAGCGGAGGGTGCGCCGAGCGGACCCATGTCTAGGGCTGCGTGTGAGCACTTCCCACGGCCCACGGAGTCCCTCGGCTAGTCGACTTCCTCACGCAGAGAAGGCACTCTCCCGGGGCTTGAGGTGTCAAACCCAAGCCGAGAGACACGATTGACTTTGATCAGATTTACTAGACCATCTTTAAAGGACGCTGTCCCACAGAGGTGAGAAAGAGGCTTCTTTTCTGGCCAGGAAAAGTGCACCAGCGCGCACAGGGCGCCCACCGTTCCCTGAGCTCGCACTACATGCCCTCCGGCCGGCGGCTGCCTACCCTGACTCGGACCCTTCCTGTGCCTGAACTGTCTTCAGAGCAATGGAAATTCACACTTGAACTGATCATGAGACGTTCACTGGGCACCAGGAGTGAGCCCAGCACTTGCTGTGGTGCTTGCTGGGGGTAGCACTGTCCTTGTCCTCCTGGCGGGGTAAGGGACTTGCTGAAGTCATGCAGCTAGACAGCGGCCAGCCAGCAGGGCGGCGAGGCCCGCGGGCAGCCACGTGAGACCACAGAGGAAGGGTCCCCGGAGCACAGCTCCAAGGCACGTCATTGGAGGGGGCCTGGCCGCGTAAGGAACCCCACCGCTTCCGCATGCTGCATGACTGCAAAGCCGGGAGCAGGAAACCAGAAGAAAAATTGCTACGCTCAAATCTAACGACAGGAAAACGCCATTATTACCTGGGACTGCACAAAAGCTGGCAAAAAACCCAAAAACCAAAAACACAAGGCATTCATGTACTAGCTACGAAAAAGGCATGTTTCCTAACTCGGTGGAGCGTAGAGAAGACTCCGGGGGTTCGAGCAGGTGTTCTCATGAGACGCAGCCCAGAGCCACTGGGGAACAGCTGCAGCTGGCACCCGGCCAGACCCCCCGTGGAGGGCTGGGAGGGCCCCGGAGCCTGGAGGCCCTGGTGACAGCAAGCAGTCACCCGGCCGAGAAGCCCCCTCCCACTCCGCCTTGCCGTCATCTTCAGAGTGAAACACGGGAACTGAGAGAAGGCACAGGAAGAACTGGGCTGCCCGGCCCAAGTCGGGACGGACTAAGTGACCGGGACGAGCACTTTCTGTTTCTGTAGGCAAAGCAGGGACGTCCGTTTAAACATCCACACGGAGAAGTGGCTGAAACAGACGAGCAGGGGGCCTGATGTTCGGGTGGGTGTTTCCACGAACTTGTTTAAGTTCCTTAGTGTTTCCATGTGTTCACTCGCCACAAAGCAAACACCTGCTGGTCACTTACAACAGGGAGGACCGAGGAGGAAACGTGCCTCAAAGGGCCAGAGTCTGAGTGAGCGACTCAACGAGGCCGTAGGTGCACAGAGAACCTAGTGCCGACACGGGAGAGCAGGTGAGAGAGAGAGAATGGAGGCATGGATGGGGGGCAAGGGGTCCCCCCCGGAAGTGTGACGCCCCTGCTGAGTTTGGAGGGTGAGTGGCAGCTGCAGCGCCACGCCCCCCACTGTGGGGAGCAGCCAAGGGACACAGCTAGGTCGGCCTGCAAGGGCTCGTGTGCACCGCCAGGACTGTCTCTCCTGTGAACGAGTTTCGAGCCCCCAAAAGCACAGTGATGAACAGACCTGGACACTTGCTCCGGGTGTGCGAGTCTGCGTCCTCTCCGGCCGCTGCCGGGGCCGCTGTCCTCCTTTCTGGACCAAGAAGCTGGTCCCCAGGCTGCACCGTAACTAAAACCATAACAGAACATACGAAAGAATTTCCGAACACTTTACCATTCCTTCTCGTTCGAATTTCATCTTTGTGCAGCATCGAAACATTTCAAAGGGACAGACTCTGTCAAATGAGGCCCAGATGTCCCCAGACTGACTCGGACAGCGCCGGACAAGGCTAGTCTTAGGTGTCAGTGTCACGATCCACCTCAAATGCACGAGGAGCTGGGCTTTCGCTGTCTGCAGCTGCCCCGGCCCAACAGCTGTCCCATGTGGGGCGCCCCCTGCTGCAGGAGGGGCTTCGCGACCCTGGGGAGGCTGGATCTGATAAGGCGTTCCCGGGCCCTCCATTCTCAAGGGGGCCACAAACACACAGGTGAAAACAATTTGAACAATGAAACTTTAAAAACGCCACTCTATAATGTTCACTTCAAAAACACAAAACTTCAAAACATCCTCCACCCTATAAAATATAACGTCAGTTTGCTCAAAATTTTGGTTCATGGCCCTTGTTGAGGACACTATCCCTTGAAGAGATTAACTCGTTTTTATTTTACGACACGTAGGTAGAAACAAGCACTTTGACTGTAATAGAACACAAGCAACCTCATTAGTCTACGATCATTTAGGACTAAAAGCAGGAAACAGTCAGCTAGTATCAGCGCTCAGAGCCATGAAGTTACACGTATCTGATGAAAGCTGGAACTCCAAAATTGCAACAAGATGACCACAAAAGCACATTCAAGTTAAGTCCTAGTGCAGAGTTCAAGGCCCTGAAGATCAAGGCCCATGTTGTACCCCCACCTCCACCCCCGGTTCCTTAACTTGGCACCTGGCAAGCAGGCAGAACAACGTAACTGTGAGCAGATGTGCAGAGGGACAGAGGACAGAAGCCTGCCCAGGTCACGGACTCACTGGCTTCCAGGATGAAGTGGACGCAGTGGATGAGCGAGCAGGCGTGGGTCACCATCTCCGAGGAGGCCAGCAGGCTCCAGAGGCTGGGCAGCCGCAGGGCCAGGCAGCAGCAGTCCAGGCCCGCCTGGAGGTCCAGGCTCAGAGGGACGTGCTCGTGGACCAGATGCCAGGACAGCGCCTGCGGGGGAAGGGCGACGTCACAGAGGCTCAGGCCCTGCTTCCCTCCTGCTGCGGGGACTGCCAGGGCAGCAGACGACTCCGGCTGTCCCGGAACCAGCGGAGGCTCTGGAGGCCGGCCAGTCCCAGCAACTCTACCCTTCCAGAGAGAGGGGCTGGCACGTCCACTCTGTTCCGCTCAGTCCTGAGCACTCGCTCCGCACAGTCCCCGGGGCCCCCCCTCTGCCAGAACGCCCACCCCGACCTGGCTGCGCCTTTTCCCTTCAGCCCTGCGAGCTCCTCTGGAAATGCTCCCCTGGCCATGCTCCTGCCGGCTCTATCTCAGGACCCCCAAAGCACTGGCCTCTGTCACGGTCTAGGAAGGTCAATCTAAGAGCTTGGGTTCCAGAAATAGCCACCCTTGGCCTCAGATGCCAGACAGGCTACACCCTAGCTGGGTGAGACGATCTGCGCCCGCCCTCGTCTACAGAGTGGGAAGCAGAGCCCGCGTCGCAGGCTGCAGAGAGACCCGAGTGATGCAGTACAGGCGGGCACGGCAGGCGCACAAGGGCTGGCAGGGCTCACGCCACAGCAGCCCCATGCTCGCCCTTCTCCTGCCCACACCAAGACCCAGAGGACGTGGCCTGGCTTCCAGCTGATGCCTGTTCGAACCCACGAACAGCAGACAGCACAGTCCCTCCTGGCGCCACCTGCTGCTGCGCAGGGGCCAGCAACGCAGCTTGGCTCTGGCTCCTTTCCAAACACATCTGACAGGCAATACGCTCACGATGCACACGTTTCAGGGGAAATGTAAGTGCTGACAGAGGGTCAACCCCTGTGGCTGAAAATGCAAGCATACTGCTCAACTTGAAACCAAACAAATGCATCTGACGAGTACTTCTCCAGTGGCGAAGGTCGGGAAGCACGTCACACCTGTGTGCCTCGTCCCCTGGGAAGGAACTCAAACAAAGCGTCTACGCTCTGAGTCAAAGGCAGTTAGAAGCCAGGGCACAGGTTCCCTCCTCGCGTGTGCTGGCCCCACTGTGCTGTGGAGACCCCGAAGGCCTGAGCTCGGCCCTCGCCCACACTGGCTTCTCCTGACCTTCCCCTCCCCTCCTCTCTGACCAGCGCCCTCCCCCCTCAGCCTGCTCCAGGACAGGCGAGAGCCTCCGCAGGTCAGGGAAGACGGCTTCAGGCCCGAGAGCCTCTCTCTGTCAGCTCTGCGGGCAGCAGAGGGAGCGCCGTGTTGCAGACAGCATGCGACAACTGCGCCAGCATGCGGCAAGAGCCTGGGGAAGGTGACGGGCGGACACGGGCCGACAGCGAGCAGGCGTGACCGGAGGCGGCAAAGGGCGCACCTGACTGTGCGCAGCCCCGGGTTCCCAGATGAAACTGCCGTCCTCTCTCAGGTGCTGGTGCCAGGCACCCTTCCCTGTGCACAGGGACACCAAGCTCCCAAGCCCTCTCACCTCCAGGGTCGTGACCACAAACTTCACAGTGTCCCTCTCCTTCTCCGGAGGAAGGTGCAAGTGGCCAGGCAGCTTGGGGGACACCAGCAGGTACTGGGCCAGGGCACGGGCCAGTGTGGTCAGGGAGCGGTACAGCACGGCGTCCCCTGAAACAGAAGCTCTTCCTGGGGGGACGAAGTCTGGCAGAGGCCCGTGACCTCTGAGAGGCAGTCGGCAATTTTCGGACACGCTTCCTCGGACGCACACGCCCACACCCTCCCGACCTGCGCGCTCACTGCGGGTGCAAACACACCCGCAGGGCTCGCAGCCCTGGCCAGGCCAACTCACCGCACGGCGGCCAGCACACCAAAAGCCACGCCGGGCTGGGCCCCAGCGCGCCCCTCGGCAACCTCTGCGAGTGCATCTGACACCTTGTCAGCACTCGCCGCACGTTTCCCCGTGCAGAGCACCACCCTGGCCCCACCGCGCTCCTCACACCACAAGACGCTGTTACTCTGATTACCGAACAGATCGCTCAGCTGGCTCCAGTAGGCGGCGGGCTCCGCGGGCAGGAAGGGCTGGAAGACGTGGTGGGCAGCGGGGAGCTGCTGAACCACGCTGGTGACACGGTCCAGAGTTGCCACACGAGCCGCTTCGAAAAGGGGGCTCTTCTGGCCCCCGGAGACCTCGCGCGCGCCCAGGCCCAGGCACGGGGTGAGCAGGCTCACGTTGAACTCCTGCGCGAAGGTGGCAAAGGTTCAGCAACAGCAGGCTCTTGACCGGGCGAGAGATACAACAGGAGGAAGGGTCGTGCACACACGTCTGAGAACACAGACCTATTCGCAGGGAGAACATCCCACTCCTACGAATAATCACACGACTCGGTAAACACGCTCAGGGCTGGTTTCTTTTCGGTGCTTTAATCAGAACAAACTGTTCTCATTTTATCATGCCTTCTAATCTGCTTGAAATCAAAAACTGAATGGCAAGACTTGAACTGAAAAAAATCCAAAATTAAGCCGATGGGCCACCTGAGAGACAGGCAAAGCACCCAACACGCCCAAGGTTTGAAAAAGCAGGCGACACTCAAAAGCCCCTGAGATTAAACCAAGGTGCCGCACAAATGCTACAATTCCAGTCGAAAAAACAGCATTTTTTATGGTGTTGCAATTTGTACCATTGGGCCAACTTTTAAAAACCGTTTAAAGATTTTTTTTGGCAGTTTTCAGGCAGAATCTCAATCTTCAGTCGATAACCAAGAAGATACATGTCACCGTCAGTGACTAAAACTGAACGTGCATTCTGGCCAGAACCTTTAAAAGCTGTTGAAAGTCCAATGACCAAATTTGGAAAATTCCACAAATTGGTCAGGAGACCGATTGTTGAGCAAATCAGCTTTCACTGACTGGATCTTCAAATGACTATCAGCAAACTGATTTGGGGCTAGTCCTCCTGTTTTGTTTTTTCCAACATAGCTTATCTTGAAGCTGGTGGGGAGTTAGTCCTTGGGGCACACTCTGTCCCCACCACTGGCCCAACCTTCATGACCCCCACCCGTCCCTGCTGTTCCTTCACTCCCACTCAGGGAGCCTCAGGGCAACTGGGCGCAGGGGACTGAGGAGGAGCCCACTAAGGCTGAGCCGGACGACAGAGACGGGGCCGCACGCCTCACAGGCCCCGCCGGAGCGCGGAGTGCAGGCGGGGACCTCGCGAGGAAGGGGAGGCCTCGCTGCACGTGCGGGGCACGGAGTGCCTCGCTTGAGACCAGTCTCCGGAACGCCGCGCCAGCACTCAGGGCCTCTCCTCACACCCACAAGAACAAGTGAGGGCAGTGGCCTGTGGTGTGCAGGAGCCCACTTCCTTTACACACGTGAAGAGACTGGAGCACAAACTGACCCCTCCTGGGCTCTAACGGGACAGACACTGCAACCCGCCCTGCCTGGACTACGGGCCCTGGCCAGCACGGCAGAGCCGAGTGGCTGCAGGACGACAGGAGCAATCAAGCACGTCTATGCAACAGCAGAGGGGTGCCCGCGGCCCGCTGCGCCCCGCCGTACCGAGTTCAGCATGAACGCACTCATGTCACCTGCAGGGATCCGATTCACCAGCTCCGCTCCCTCCAGCAGCGCAGAGTCGGACCTCGTCCAGCACTGGGATCTTACCAGGCGCAGGTACCAGTCCTGGGAAGGGGGAAGGTTGGTGTAGCCTGCAGAGGGGCGGGGCTTCGGTGCCACTGGACGCGTGCTGCCCACCCCGCCCCAGACCAGAGGGCTCGCGGCCTCCCTGGACGGCATACTCAGGTCCGTGACCATGACCTCTGGCTTGGCCGTGCAAGCTGCTCCCCAAACCATAGAGCTATTTCAAAGGCTTGTCTTTGAACTTGCTCCGCTGTCTGGAAACCTGCTCCTTCTCCCCTTCACCTGGCGAACAGTCGACTGTCCTTCCACTCGGCACTGGCACCGAAGGCCGCAGACCTTCCCCGTGTCCCGCCCTCACTGCCTGGCGTTGCACTGTCACCTGCTCCGGGTGCAGCTTTGCCCCACGCTCGGGGCCAGCCCAGCAGAAAAACTTAACAAACCAAACCTGAGGACAGAGACCTGAGCTTCTGCTACAGTGTGCCTGGGCTGTGAAACCGGACTCACATTCAAAGTGACCCCTCCAGGGAAGCAGAGTGCCAAGCTGCACTGAGGACCCAAACGGTCCCCAGCCGTGAGTGGTGAAGGGGAGGGTAACTTACAGGACTCTCAGGGCGGCGGGGTCAGCACAGTCCCAACCTCAGGCAGCCAGCAGGTGTCAGGAGACGGAGCCGGGCCAAGCGGGCCTGTGCTCGAAACCCAGTGCTGGCCGCGGCCACCCAATGCCTGCTCCTCTCAGTGATGACCCTGGTGGCCCCTCCAGAGTGTCCAAGAAAGCATTTCCTTTCTCACCCACGCCCCTGCCAACAACCTGGGCTGGACCTCAGGCACCGTGTCAGCGACAGAACCCTGCACACCGCTGGAAGGACCAGCGCAGGCCAGGGGTCTGCTGGAGCTGTGCCAAGTGCCGCTACATCTCAAGAACTGAACCGCCACTGCACACTCAGTGCCTGGACAGAGCCCCTGGGTCTCACGTGGACATGGCGGACACTTACTTTGTCCGGACGCACGGTCTCCAGTGCCAGGGGCCCGTCCCCATCCAGAGGGTGGGCTGTGACTGGAGGAGAGGGGCCACGGGACCCGGGGGCGGTGGCGAGACGCAGCCTGTCCAGCAGGGAGTAGAGCCTCTGGTGCCTGGAAGCAAGCGCGTGGGTGAGAGCCCCGCCCCGTGGGGGACACCCGGGGGCGGCATGCTCGTCACGATGCACACTCAGGCCTTGCCCACGCTCTTGGGCCACGGCACATGCGTGCGTGCATGCGTGCCTGTTCTGAGAACCTGGTCTGCAGACAGACGCTGCGTCAGGTGGACGTGGGTGAGCGCTAGTGAAGGCAGGTTTATAAATGCAAATGGACCATGCGCTTGGACCGCACGCTCAGCTGCCTAGCAGGATGAGGTTTACACCAATTACGCGGAGAAGGGCCACCCGCTCTGGCTTAGGGCACCTGTTGTCCTCCTTGGCCAGGCCCAGTGCCAGCTCTGGGGCCGCATAAGGACAACTGTCCAAACTCCCACCGCCAGCTATCGGAGTGACATGCACACTGCAACACGGATTGGCCTGGCACACTGAGAAGTGACCCCCAAACAGGTCCGACCCCCAGGTCACACCCTCCCCAGTTAAAGACGCCTCCAGCAGGCACGCTTCAGGCTGAGCCACAGGGACTTATTGTGCTCTCTCTCTCGTTCCACAACCCCCACCCACCCCCCGGGAGAAAAAAAACTAAAAGCCTGTCTTAATCTACTTTGCAGTCATAGGAACATGTGTACTTATACAACAGATATTGTAATTTCTGATACAAGCTTCTGAAGACTTTGCATACAAATCAGGTGGTAAACAGCTGCAAAGAAACAAAAATTTAACAAGATGCACACCAAGCACCGGTAAGGTCTCTGTGAGCCCACAGCTCTTACTCGGCAAGGACAGCACGTCCTGCGGTCTCGCTGAGGGAAGGCCGGCAACGCCCGCCGCCCTCCCCTGCAGCATGGCGAGCAGAGGCACCGGGCGCTCTCGCACAGCCGCGGGGCCACGGCAAGTGGCTCTGCTGCCAGGGCAGACCTCTCAGACAGCGAGGCCCTCTGTAGTGAACCTGTCCAAGAAGCACATCAGCCTCTCGTCCTGTGTGTCTGTTCCGAGAGCAAGGAGCACCTCCGAGTTACCTCTGCGCCAGGCCGCTGCTCTGAAGGTGCTCCTGGATTCGGTGCAGTTCCTCTGCCGGGAGCTGGGCCGTGCTGGTCTGCAGAGGACAGGAGCGTGTCAGGGGCTCCGAGACACGCCTCGAACCCAAACCACCTTGTGCTCACTCTCAGAGGGGAGCCTGGGGGGCGTCCACCATCACAGAGGCAGACGGGGGCGGGGGACCGGACGGACACGAAGCACCCGTGTCACACACACTGATGACTGCTCGCACACGCCGCACGTCTCAGTGACCAGAAGGAGGACGTGCCTGCGGGGGGAGACCCCGGCCGACAGTGCGACCCGCCTGCTTGGGTTCGACAAAGACCAGTGTCAGTGTTTCGTTCGGTACCTGTACATTTGCAGCCAAAAGCATTTCCACCCGGCGACAAGCAAGGGTGTCAACCATGCGAGCCAGCACACGGAACGGCGTGCACAAAAGCTTGTCCACATACAGCGTTAGCACGGCGCCCGACTGGCTGAGGTGGATCCCTTCCAAGCACTGAAGGGTTTTCTTCAGGGTGGTCGGCTGGTGTTGGAGAGAGGGAGGTCAGCGGGTCAAAAGCAACACCCTACACACAGGCCCGGGAAACAGAGACTGACAACTGCCGCAACAACCGGGAGAGACTTACGGCGGAGAGGTTCTCACAGCGGGACTGAATGGCCTGGATGAAAAGGCCGCTGGCAGCAGAGTTCCGGTGGACGGCGCTGATGAAGTCCTGCACGGGAGGCTCGTGGGACAGGCTGATCAGGTCCTGGATGTGGTTCACAACGAGCCATGTCAGGTGCTCGGAGTCGTGCAGGTTCTGACACTGTGGGAGACGAAAGTCAGGGCTCACTGTCCAGCAGGCCCCCGAGGACGGACATTGGAGCCACCGGCAAGGCCAGAGGCGTGCAGGGGAGGTGAACTCCGAACCCAACCCTCACTGAAGAGGGCCAGGGTGGCCGCCGCGCATCAGCGGGAAGGACCCCCTTCGCAGAGCTCGTCACCTCCATCTCCCGCCGTGGCTGAGACCGGTCCAAGGGAGACCCCACAGGAAATGGGACCCCGCAGTCCAGCTCCAAGGGACACTAGCCAATGGCTGGAAGAAGGAGTGTGTGGCCCAGGGCTGTGGGGGAGTCACCAGGCATCTGCCACAGCGGGCACGACCCCCGTGGGTCCCCGGAGCACAGCAACAGTGAGGGCTGCCCCGTCCACGGCCATCCCTGCTCTGTCCCCGGCTCTGGCCCGGCCTGCTGAGTGTGCTCCCCAGTGACTCTGGCTCCAGTCTTGTGAGAGGGCAGTGGCAAAGGAGCGTCCCCATCACTGTCCCCGTTTTACTAGAATTCCTGACCCCAAAACAGGAATGGACCCCACATACCAATTAGAAAGGAAACGAGACTAACCCATTTCGAGATACGTATGTGTTGTGTAACTGTATCATTTCTCAGAAATGCGACAAGATAAAACCACTGTTCCAACATCAAGAACGTAAAGCAAAACCGAACACTAACAACCTGCTGCCCAAACAAGGAAAACCACAGGGAGGCCGCGCCCGGCTGAGGAAGGCGCTCCGGACCGCCCTCTCCAGTCCGGGGTGCTGGCTGTGCTTTGCCGACGACGGCACTGCGCGCACGCTGCCATCCGAGACACGCGCACTCTCCACGGTGGTGTGGAAACAGCGCCACCCCCACCAAAGCGTCACAGATGGAAGGGTCTGACTCGAGTGGCAGAATCACAAGGAATTTCTTTTCTTCTGTTTACTTTTTGGAAATTTTCTATGTTAAACATGTGATAGTAGTTTTCTGGTTAAAAGTTCAAGTTAATTTTAAAAAAGAGTAACATTCGGAGACTTTTAGAAAATGTAGCAATGAGCATCTAACTCTTCCACAGCCTGGAAAACTGTCCCCAGACTCCTCCCTGGTCAGCAGCAGCTCGATCACGCTGTCAGCACGCTCCCACGGCTTCCCGGGGACATACCGCCCAGCACCCCCGGGGTGCGGGGCGCACTCCACGGGCACGCCACAGTGGCAGCTGAACGGGGCCTCCCACGGCCCGCTCCCAGCCCTGTGGCCCAACGGCTGTATCGGGTCCCCATCATGCAGCCAGGCGAGGCTGAGCAGGAGCCCGGCTTCGCCAGGCCGGGGCCGTCGGTGTGCCCTGACTGTCTTCGGGGACGGTCCCGGGACCTGCGCCACCCCCATGTGACTGCACTTACGACATAATCGCAGAAGAGGATGAGGGCCCCGCGCCGGACGATTTCCCTGTTGCACATTCCCAGTTTGGATGCCAAGTCGGAGTCCTCCTCTTCCTCAGACATCTGGGGACCCAGGGACTTCGTGCTGGACAGGCTGCGTCTTCTAGAAGGAGCAACAGACCCACTGACGAGGTTTCTGGGCCGCAGCGAGCTCACTCTCAGAACCCTGAAGGTGGTCAGGGCTGGGGTCGTGGCTGGGTCTGCAGCCGGCATTTAAGTGCTGCCACGGCAGAGTGTGCGTGTGTGACACACACTCAGTCGCTCACCCGAGTGACAGCAGAGCGCATGTGGGGCACTGAAGAAACGAGGCCTTCACAGGCAGGAACGACACCTGACCGACAGTCAAGTGCACGGGGATTGCGCGTCTGCCAGCCCCCGCACTTCGAGCTCGCTGCCTGCTGGAACCCCGGCTCCGGCGGGCATGACACAGCGGGCAGGCCAGAAGACCCCGAGGCTCCGCCTGTGAGTGAACGGCCAGCGACAGGCTGCCGCTCCCGATGGGCCCGGCGCCCGGCTCTCACAGAGCCGGTCCTAGAGCTCCCACACTGTGAAGGCCCCCACACGCCCCACCCCTCCTCCGCACTGTCTTCTCCCCAGGCAGATGGGAATCACACGCCACGAGACTCCCGCTTCTCCCCCAACCCTGAACCGCAGCACTGCCACCCCCGCACAGACAGCCCTCTGCCGTCTGGGTCTGACCTCAGAGAGCACTGACCCTGCGGCGGTGAGCCTGTGCGTCTCCACCAAGGCTCAGGCGGCAGGCAGAGGTCGTCCTGGCAGGATGGGACTATTCAGAACTGGGTCTACTTCCGCTGCCCCACCTCCGAGTTTATTTAGCAGGGAACTGGCATGAGGAGTTCTGCAGGTCGAAAAGTGTTAAAAACCGCCCTCTCTGTCTGAAGAACGGACAGACCGTGGTTCACCCGCATGGTGGAGCGGCCCTCAGCCAGCACAAGGGACGAGTCTCCCACACACGCAGCACCACGCAGGAGCCTGCAGTGCGCGTGCGGAGTGTGAGCACGCAGCCAGCCTCGAGGCTGCGTCAATAAACCGCATTTGAACGGCATCCTGCCCCAGGCTCGGTACAGGAACAGACGCGCCCAGGGGAGGGAGACGGGGCACAGGAGAGCACACTCTGTGTCGGAAGCGACTCGGCTGGGAGAACCCTTCCCCGGCCAGCCCTCCGGCCGGTCCCCTGCAACTGGCCCCAAGCGTGCCTGCGACGGCTCAGGGTGAGGAGCCTCCGGGTGTGAAGGGCACAGTCTCTGACCCCAGTATTAGCAGGAGACAAGAAGGTCTGGCGTCAGCCCAACTGGGTCCCAACAAGTGGCGGGCAGTGCCCTGGGACCTCGCGCCAAATCCAGGGCTGCACGCCCAGGCCTCAGGGCACAACTGGGGAAGTGGCTGCCACAGCACTGCAAGTGGGACCCCAACCGTCCGCCAGGGGCGCGGATCAAAGGCAAGTCCTAGCCCTGTGCAGTCCCCATCCTGGCAGCCTGTCCCCAGAGTGGCCGTGCTGCCCAGTGCGGCTGGGAGCTGGGGGCAGGTGTCACGTCACAACGTGACTGAGTGACAGCTGGGGAGTCCACGTATGAAAACAGCAGTCATCCTCTGTATTTCCTACTTCTAGTCGTTCCTTGCCATTGCCTTCCAGACACGTAGACCCGCCCCCCGCAGCGCACGTGGAGGACGGGCGGGGTGTAACCCACGACAGCGCCGGGCGCGAGGTCCTCAGGGGCTGAGTGCTCACCACACTGCGGGCCGTCAGTGTCCCCTATGTGTGACCACTAAGGCCTTCTGTCTTCATGACAGTCAACTGCAGGTGGGGCGCAGAACCCACTAGTCTTATTCCAGGACAAAAGAGGGGACAACACAAAATGCTACAGAAAGAGAAACGTGGAGAGGACCAGGAAAGCCTGGCGCAGAGCACACTGCCCGCACTTGGGCCGACCCGCAGTTTGCACTCCGGCCGACCCGCAGTTTGCACTCGGGCCGACCCGCAGTTTGCACTCCGGCGCCGAGGGGGGCGCCTGGCGAACCCCAGACCACGCTCGCCTTCCTTTGCTCACTTCTCTCGACACGGGCTGTCTGGTGCAGACTTTCTGCCACCCTGGCTCAGGAAGCCCAGTCCCCGGGCCCAGAGGGTTCTGACACAACCGCAGACTGACCCCAGGCACACAGGTCTGGGGAGGACCTGGAAGTGCCAATGGGGGCATCACCAAGGTGACGAAGGACCCTTGGAAGGTTCCACTCCTACCAGCACAAGAGGATGAGACGCAGTGTGAGGACAGACGTGGAGGAGCGAGAGGGCCAGAAGGACCGGGGCCCGCGCACCCAGCCACGGCTGGCACCCTGACACGGGAGATACCCCACGCCCAGCCCAGCCGGCCAGCAGCTGCCACCGCTGACCCCGGGCAGCCCTCAGGGCTGTTCACGTGTTGCTGGCACCAGAGGCCAATGACCAGGTCTGCCTTTGCCTTCTCTGGTTTAAAAAGTTCAGTGACAGGTTTGCAGTTCCTAACGCCTCTGCAGCCTCGGTGCCTTGCACACCACGGGGAGTGAAGCCTAACTCCTCCGCCCCGAGAAACACCAAGTGGTTTCCCAACATAAGAAGTTCCAGGAGCCCAACAGAAAAGACAGCACAACCGGAGGGCCCAGCCCTCGTGGGGGAACAGAGGGAACGGGGTCTCGGCGGGGAGGGGAGCGTCTCCGTGCAGCGGCGGTGCGCTTGCGTGGGAAGCATCGGTGCGGCAGGTATCGGGGCGCAGCCCGCACCTCTGCAGACCGGAACACACCATGGGACAAAGTCCCACGTCGGGGTGGGGGATAAACTGCACTTACTTTATTCTGTTTTTTGTTTTAAGGGAAAAACGCCTCCTCCCTTCTGGCACCTGAAATCCCTTGGGCAGGGAGAGGGGCCAGGGCCAGCCCCTAGAAAGTACCATTCAAAGGTATGTTCTAAAACATGACGTATGCAGGGTAAAACTTATAAAATACGTGCAACACTTAGTTCCCCAAAAAGGAAAATACAGGGTATCGTGGTAAATTGAAAAAGACCTAAATACAAGGACAGACCGCACTCGAAGACCAGATGAGTCACCACCACGGGGACAACGGGTCCTCCCAAACCAGCCTGCAGGCTCTCGGAGGCCCCAGTCTGGGCCCCAGCGAGCGCCCCGTGGACACTTCGGGAGCTGACTCTGAAATGCCAACATGGAAAGGCAAGGCCTAGAATGACCAGGACCGTGCTGGAAAGAACAAAACCTCGGGCTGCCCGAGGTCTCTGCGCCGCCGACACAGTGAGCAACAAAGGGCCGCACGCACGGCCTCCATGGGCTTCCAACAGCAGCGCCAGGGCCAGACGAAAGCGAGCGGCAGTCTCTTCAACAGAACGCTGAAAGAACTGTCCCCGTAGGGAGAAAATGGCTCTCCAGCTTTACATGTAGTCATTCACAAAAATTAATCTGAAAGCTAAAAGGCGAAGGTCCGAGAGCTCCAGAAGAATCGGGAGAAAGCCTCCAGGATCTGAGGTTGGCAGGGCTGCTGCCTCCCTCTGCCCGTCCCCACACGGGGCACGAGTGACAGGCAGTGGGGCCACCAGCACCGGCCATTCCTGAAAGCGGGACTGGACCGGCCGCTGGGATCCCTCAGCCCCACACGGCTCAGCGCCCCCAGAGTGCAGGCAGTGGGCCGCACCGTGGTGGTACGGCAGTCTCTCACTGCCCAGTGTTCTCTCCTCACCGTGGGCTCTGGAGCCTTCCAGAGACATCGTGTGGAAGCCTCTGGGCGGGGGGTGCATCTCTATTTCCACGTAGTAGGACTGTCTGAGCGAGAGAGTGCCTAGACATGGAGGCTTAAACCTGAAAACTTTCTGCAAAAACGGGGCCACCCACAATCAAGTACTTAATGAGTCTTTGTAAATAATAAAAAATCGGGTATCTCCAAGCAGTTTGGAATGCTGCCAAATATTACTTCATTATCTGAGGATAACCAAAACCACATTTAAAGGGGAAGGAGGGAGAAAGGGAGAGAACACCAATGTTTGGTTGCCTCTTGCAAGCCTCCTACTGGGGACCTGGCCTGCAACCCAGGCATGTGCCCTAGACTGGGAATCGAACCAGGACCCTTTGGTTCACAGGCCTGCCCTCAATCTACTGAGCTATGCCAGCCAGGGAAAATAATTATATCCAGGCAACAAACTAAGCAAACAAGCAGAACAGAAACAGAATCATAGATACGGACGTGATTTGGAGGGTTATCAGTGGGGAGGGGGATGCAAGAAAAGATACAGGGAATGAGAAGCATAATTAGTAGGTACAGAACGGGAAGGGGAGGTCAAAACAGTGTAAGAAATGGAGAAGCCAAACAACTTACATGCATGACCCATGGGCATGAACTAAGTGGGGGGACTGCTGGAGGGAAGAGGGGACACAGGGAGAAGTGGGGCAAAGGGGGGAAATTGGGACAACTGAAACAGCCGGTAAAATATGCTCTTTTAAAGAAGAAAGAACGGGGCAATTCTGAACGCCTCCCCTGGCCAGACCACATTTTCCCACAACGGTGTCTGTGGAAGGAAGGTGAAGACACAGCAAAATCCTGATAAAGCCTCATGGACACGGGGCCGAGCCACAAGCCTCCCTGAGGCCGGGCCCAGCCCGGCGGGCAGACGCACCTGGGGGTCTGCTGCACCTCGGCCCACCAGCGGTAGTCGGTGTGGCTGACGAGCAGCAGGATCTGGCACCAGAGCAGCACCAGGGCGGGGTGCGTGGGGACCATGGAGCGCACCCGAGCATTCAAGCTCTCCAGGCTGTAGAAACTGCCCTCAGCGCCGTCCGCGGTGAAGAGTCTAGAGGCGGCTGCTGTGATTCTCCGGAACATCCCTAGGAACAAACCCAGAGAAACACTGATTAAGGAAAAACGTCTCTGTGGCTCCCCACGGTCCAACACTGTGCAGTTGGATTTCAAGATCAGTGCAGGCTCTTTCTGGCGTGGGATGTTCAGAGGAGCCAGCAGGCCCCCCCGCACCCACGCCTGCTGACCCGAGGGCTCCTGGGCTGTTGAGAACTGAGGGCAGCAACCCAGGGGTCACGTGGGCCACGACCAATGACAGAGAAAGCAAACAGACGGTGCCCCATGCCAGTCCTGGAGCTGCACTCTACAGGCTCCTGAGGGCTGAGGGCCAGGTGGGCTCCAGGCCACCACGAGGCGTCCTCGGACTTGGACTCTTCACAGCCCCCTGCTCAGGGCCTAGAAGAATCCCCTGTGGGAATTAATGAGTTTCTCCCTAGGACCATCCCCCCCCCACACTCCCAGGCTGACCCGCACCCCGAGGGCCACACACTGCAGAGCACGGCCAGGGAACAGCTCCTGTCCGGGCCTTGCGTCTCCTGACATCACGCTGGGGAGGGGAAATCTCGTCTCTGGTTTAAATGCCAATACACTGCAGATGCATGGGTGTCTGAAACAAGGACACCCAGAAGGCAGATGTCCTCCCTCCCACTCGTGACTAATTACTCCTGCAACCTGAGATGAGGGAAGAGACTCGCACAAGTGCGACGGGAAGACTGAGTGCTCCGCTTGTCTCTGGTCTCCCTTGCCAGGGTTCCCCTCCGGCTGCTTCGTGGTCAGCACTGCCCACCTCCACCCCCAAGCCCAGCCTGGTCCCCCCCTCTGTGCTCACTCTGACCGCGTGGGCTCCTGTTGGGGTCAATGGGCACAAAGAAGAGGCGCATCTTCCCAGAAGGGACCCTGGAGCCAGGCCAGGAGCGCGGAGTGACAAACCGCACGTGTCAGTTTTACTGCACAAGCACAGGAAACCATGGTCGGGACGGAATGGTTCCACGCTGTCGTCAGGGGGAGCCACCGGAACAACTCCCATCCCACGGTGACAGGAGGAACCGAAGAGGCCTGTGGGAAGGCTCTGCCCCGTCTGCAGAGCCCGGGGCAGCACCTGCGGGGGGTGGCACTGGGGGAGGGTGGCACGCACAAGGGCTGATGACGTCTGTGGACAGCACCCCCAGCTGTGCGGGGCTGGCACTGCACCAGGTCACCCGCAGAGAGATTTGAACAAAGGGACGTGTGTCACTTTCAGGCCCAAGTGATGACACCACGTTCTGCCCCCCTCTCCTCCAGAACTCGCCTGCAGAAGGCACCGTCTGCCCACGGGAGAACGTTATTCCTGGCACTGTAACCATTAGCGGGCCTCGCCCTTCACACGAGCCACGTTTCAAGTGCTCACAGCCACGGGTGGCTGGAGGCAATGCAATGGTACAGAAAAAGCATCCCAGGATGCAGGGGACCCTGGTGGACAGCGCTTGGGGCACCCTAAAAACCCCTCTCCCAATTTCTGAGGAGAGGAAGAGGTGGTCAGAGCCACGGGCCAGTGAGCCCCTCAGGGACACAGAAAGCCCCAGTCCAGGCACCTGAGGACACAGGACATGCCACTCGGACCCAAGGAGAAAGGAACATCCTCAGAGATGAACTGGCGTCCTGAGGTCAGACCCAAACCCATCCACGGCCAAACACGGCAACGACCTGCACCTGAGAAGGACCTGTCAGCCACCAGGCACGCTCACCGTCCCACTCCAGCTCACTGCCGGGGATCGACCAAACGGTCTCCAAACAAAACACACCCACGGGCGCAACGGAGGGGGGCTTGCAACCGAACCCCATCGCCTCCACCGAACCGGCCATGAAGACCCCTCCTCCCCTGGACTCCGGGCAGGGGGCGCCCAGGCCCTCCTGCCCCCCAGTACCCCTCTGTCCCTGACCTCCCAGTCTCACTGGCCTCCGGGACTGTCCAGTTTCGCAGTCACTGTCCAGCAGTGCCCACCACGTGACCCCGTTACTGGAAACACCAACACTTGTGACAACGTGCCCACAGACTGTCCTCCCTGCCAGACTGCGCGCCCCACAAAGGCAAGCGCCACATCAGCCTTCCTGACCACTGGCACCATGGCCTGGGGTGGTGGCTGGCACAATGCATGTGGTCGAAGGGCTGGGGGCTGAAGATGGCGACCACCAGCTGCCCTCGGGCACACACCTGAGAGCACGCACCCCTCTCGGACACAGCGCTGCCCTCCCCCAGACAGGGTGCTGCCCACGCTCGATGCAGGGCTAGAGCCCGTGGCTCCCCCTTTTTAACTCACACCAGGTGATGTGAAAGTAACAAAGACAACTTGGTCTCCTAAATAACAGGAGGAAGCTCTCAGGTTTGCTCTCCTCCCCAACAGAACGTTTCCCGACACCCCCGACCAGCGCCTGCCGGGCAGCAGGGGCCGGGGTGATGCCGCAGCGAGCCACTGGGCGGCACCTACCGGACTTGAAGATGTGAATCAGACACATGAGCAGCGTGCCCAGCTCCTGGCAGTAGAAGGTGTGCTGCTGCTCGCTCATCTCCACTCGCGGCTGCTTGGTGGCGATGTCCTCCAGGAGAATGCCGACCAGCTGCAGGAGGAACCTGGGAGGACAGGGGAGGGTGCCGGTGAGCAGGGCAACGTGACCAAGCCCCGGGCTGTGGCAGATGTGCAGACTCGCTCACGGGACACGCAGTCTGCAGAGCCAAAGTGGGAGGAGAGTGCAACGAGCCGCGGGACAGAGCCCCTCTGCCGCTGGTGCGCCCCTGGGGCCCCGCCCCTCAGAAGACTGGCAGGCAGGGCGGTGGGCAGGGTGCCGGCAGCCCACAGCAGCACTGGAGATTCTGATCTCATGCATCTGAGCCACCTGGTCCGTGCAACATGGGGGAGCCGCAGACTTCAGTGGACCTTGCAAACGGGGCACCATGAGGGCTCCTGGGCTCGGCTCTGTACACGGGCACCCTACCGATGACCCTGACGGGGCGCTGAGCACGCGTGCAGTGGCCCCAGCTGGAAGGTGCTCGGGGCAGAAACTGCACCCACAGCAGGTCCTCTGAGCCCCGCTGCCTTGCTGAGCACCCCGAGTCGGGCCAGGACAGAGGCACCCACACTTGTCCAGCACAGCGTTTGTGGCGCCTGAATCGGCATCACTGCCCTCAAGAAGCCCACAAACAACTAGGGGGCAGACACACTTTGATACCATCGTGTCCCGTGGGGAGCACTCGGGGGCAGCCGCCCTGGGGGGGGGAGACAGTAAGAGCAACATCCAATGGGCAGGTCGAGACTCCAAATTCTCGGCAGGCACCACTGCCCCCGACTGTGGGCAGCCCCCCTGTGCAGTCTGTCTGGGGACCTGTGACAGGACGCAGGCTGCCTGCACCCAGCTCGCAGAGCTGAAGGGGACGAGCTGGTCCTGGCTTTCCAACCCCACGGAACCATGGGACATGCAGAAGGACAGGGATGAGAAAAAGTGTCAGGTGCACAGCGTACCTGGAGAATGTTTCTTCCGGCGAGTTCTTCTCTCGTCTCCCTTCGCTGTGTTCTTCTGCTACTGAATCACTGTCCCCATCTCTTAACCTATTAATTACGGGACAGGAGACCAGATGCGGAGAGAAGGACAGCTCCTGAATGCGAGAGAGAACGATATCTTCTGTGGACTGGGAGATCAGAACCCTCAGGATGGCCAGGATTCCTGAGATCCACAGCTGGACAGTGCTCACAGAGGCCTGAGGGAAAGAAACCAGACTGCAGTTAAAGAAAAAGAAAGAATGACATTTTTCCCGATCACCGACTTCATGAGTGATAATTACTCCCTCGCCATCCCACCAAAAAACCTCTCTTCTAAAGTGTGGCCCCAGACAGGCTGCACCCCCCACCCAGTTGGGAACCTGTTTAAATGCAAGTCCTCAGGCCGCTCCCTGGCCCAGCAGAGCCCGGTGGCGGGGACGAATGGCGCTGCCACAGCAGGGGTACTCACCAGCGTGGCTGGAGTGACGAACATGCTCCGCAACAGCATGTCCACAGGCCGGAGGGAGGAAGGGGCCAGAATCTCAAATAAAGTGTTCAATACTCCGAGGGCTTCGTGGGAGTCGATGTGCATCTATCACCAAAACGCCACCACTTACGCCCAGGTGTGGGCAGCTCCTGGCCCGGCAGCCCCGCCCACCTGCCAACACCACCTGGCGCTCCAGATGTTTTCGCCCTGGCGGGCAACCCAGCACCCACTTTTTAGAACACCCGGTATCTGCTACATTCCCCCACAAAGCGGGTCTTTTCACACAGGTTTTTATTATGTGGTCAACATACACTTTCTGTAAGAATCAAATGCATGAAAGAACAAACTCAGCTGGAGTCCCACCTCGATACAATCACCAGCCACACCAGGGAGCCAGCCCCCCACACACAGCAGCCCTAAGCGGGTCCAAAACACACCGTCTCATCTCTTCTGTGCCTTTCCTGCGCCCCGTCCCCACAGCACCGGTCAGTAACAAACGCTAACAAGTCTGCACACTTTTCTTAACTCTTTCCACTGCTTCACAGAGAGCTTTCTGCTGAATGTCCTTGATTTTTTCCCCTTAAAAACACAACGGAGAACTCTCAAGACCACAGGCTTTTGACCACAACGTCTGTGGGTACAAACATTCCCACCCAAGTCTCTACCACCCTCTGATGATGACGGGGTGTCGGTTTTGGCCATCGCCCAGTCCTGCCACCCTTCCCCAGCTTGTCTACAGAGTCGGCCTCTCTGCACAGAGAGGTGACTCTTCCTGTTCTGCACCGAGCCGTACCTGAACCATGAGGGGACAGCAGGAGACCTGTGTGCTCGCCGCCCCTGGGCCTGGCTCTGTCCAGCCCAGACCCCCCCTGCAGAGGCCACCTGTGGCCTCGTCCCTCCCACTGCCTGGCCCGCACCAGGGTGTGGTGCACCTCCCTGCTCTGCCCTCCTGCGCTCCCGGAGTCTGTTCTCAACTCTCAGACCACATGGTGCCGCTCCCTGTACCAAACGCTCCGCAGCTCGGCTGGCTGCAGCACCAGCTACACCAAGAGGCCCCATGTGACCCCCTCCGAGCCCTCCCCCAAAGCGGCCCCTTGCTCTCTTCAGTTCCAACAGGATGTTCTGACCTCAGGGGCGACGACGTTCTCTGCCTAGGGATCTGCTGTGACATCAAGCTCGCCTGAACTCCACTGAGGGAGCCGTGTGACCCCACCTGGCCACCCCCACCCCACCGACCGCCCCTGACACCCCCCCCAATGGGCTTTCTGCCTGTCTCCCGCACCGCCCGCTCCGGTTAAACCGTCCCTCCCGAGGACGGGGTCTCTTCACCGGCTGTGGGCACCAGGGTGCCTGTGCCAGCACTGTATGTGAACCCCGCGCGTCCCTGTGCTTGGCCCCCCGGCGGGCACTGCGGCACAGCCGCGCCGCACAGCACCACAGGGTAGGAACGGTGCTGGGCTCTGCCTGCGCGCCCCGGCCCCCCCTCCCTGGGACCGTGCCGGTGACAGGCGGGAGAGCAGGGCGAGGCTTGTGGGGAGTTACTCTAAACGACGTATCTCCAAGCATGGAACTGTGACCACACAGAGACACCGCACTCCACCATCTATCAGAGCTTCCACCTGGCGTCTCACAGAGGCCCGGACGCCTCCGTCTGAGGGGCTTCCGGTGACACGTCCACGTGAAGGCAGAACAGGGCTGACGTCACGCGGACAGAACAGCCACAGGTGCCTACACGCTCCCACCAGACGCCACGAGCACTGTGCAACCCAGATGCTTCCTTAGCCAGGCAGCCGGACGGGCAGTGTGGCTGCTGGGGGTGGCCAGGGAGCTGAAGACCCAGAGCCTCGCCGCAGCTGGTGCGCTATCCTCGGGGACCCAACCTGGTGACCTAGGTGTTGCTGACAATGGGTGCAATGCCTCCTGTCCTCTGCCACTTGGTGGCAGACTAGACTCAGAGACCAAGCACTTAGTCACTGGACCCCGTCCTGTTCACTGCATGTATGGGCAAGGGACACCCAACAGCACCCACCGATTGGTGATGGGTGTCGGGTTAAACAGTGGATCACTGCCAAATTACTGCCCAAGGAACAAGGGACAACATACACACGGAGGTCAGATGAGAGCCCTTGGGCTGACAGGACCACGGGAGGCAGGGCAGCAGGGAGAATGTGGGCTCGGCCTGGGCCTGCACCCCCACCCAGGGGGCGCCTTCAGGAACCCTACAAACCCCCCCGAGCCTCAGGCGCAGCAGGACACACAGCCGCCTGAGCACATCTAGGAGTGGACGCACAAACCCTCCTCTGTGACCCCACTGACAGCCACCGGGGGGAGCGCGTCTGCTGGACGAGTGTCCACCTCTTCCTGGCCCTCCCCACTCATAGCAGCACGGCGGTAGGACGCACCTGCTGTTTGGCCAGCATGGGGAGGATGATGTCAGCGACCTGTCGGGACAGCCGCTTCCACTTGTCTTCACTCTCCTTGTGGCACTGCTGTAGGACGAGGACGAACATCTCCAGCACCTGCAGGGCGTGGACAGCACGGTCACCTCCTCACTGCATGCCCCACCTGCCACCAAGGGGCTCAGTGGCAGGTGCCAGGACCATGCCACCGTGACCCCCAGCAAACCCTGGCCCAGCGACACACGAGACGGGGAGCCAGAGGACAACCCCGGAGCCCGGGAGGAGCTGCTCCTGGGCCACTGCAGGCATGCACCGTGGCAAGGCCCACCTCGCGACCACTCCTGTGGGGCGTGATGAGCTCCCCCGACCAGAGGGAAAGCACAGAAGGACACCGCACTGCCACCAGCCTTTGGCAAAGCCTGCACACAGCCTTGGCCACACCTTCTGCAGATGCCCTACGACCTGACCTTCATGGACAATGGCCACACCTGTGTTCTCCGCAAGGTGCCCCCCACCGAGCAGCACCGCCTCGCAGGAGTGTGACGGGCTCGGGCAGGCGCTTGCTCTCGGCCCTGTCTAGGCAGGGGGTCTGCAGGCCTGCAGCTGGAAGTGCAGCCGCATGGGCACACAACCTGACCCCGGGGAACACTCTGACCGGGACCTCCACACACAACAGCAGCCGTGGGTTGCAACAAATGCCACACAGCCTGCAAAGCTAAAACTACTCATCTGCTCGTTCAGAGAAAAGGAAAGAAGGGACTACACGAGAAGCAAGTGTGCTGGCCCGGGCTACTGCTCACGGGACTGCTGCGAAGGAAGAGCCGTGCCCGTGAGCCCACGCTGCATGGTGCCCCTCTGGGCACTGCCTCTCCCTTCGGGCCGTGTGGCCGTGCTCCTGCTGCCTGAGAATGTCTGCACATAAGCTGACCCTGCTGACCGAGGCTGGCAGACCTCTCTGTCCAGGCCCAGAGCTGACAAGCCCCCACCAGGCTTCCCACCCGGCGGCCCAGCGAGCTCGACCAGTCAGGAAGGCCCGCCAACCTCTCTACAGCAAGTGTGCTCATTATCAGCATAGGTATAGGGTTTAGTGAAACACCCAGCATTTAATTCAAAGTTACTAGACCAACCGAACGAGAATGCAGAGAACATGTTTCTGTGGGAAAGCTTGCAGCTTCACCAAGGGCCGACTGACGGATGGGGGTAACCGAGTGACACAGAGCATGAGGGCCAGCCCCGGAACAAGCGGAGAGGTCGGGGTCACGGACAGGGCCTGGCTGCAGTGCTCAGGCCTCGAACCACCTGCAATCTGAGACTCTGGCTCCACCCCAAGGAAAGCAGAACCAGACTCTGCTCAGAGAAACACGTCAGTACTGCTGGTCAGTTGTCCTCAGTCCTCGTTTTGGAGAAGAGGGCCTCCCCACATGGGGCTGCTGTCCAGGTGCCCTCTCCCGGCACCCCCAGCCCGAGTGCCCAGGCTGGCGTGGCCAGGGGGCCGTGGTGTCTCCCGGCCCTGCCTGGCAGCACAGGACAGAGCCACGCACGCAGCCACCTCTCACCTGGTGGTACTGGATGAGCCTCAGGAGCATCGACACCACCACTTCTTTCTGGGTTTCCAGCTCCTTTCCTGCGTCAGCCTTATTGGTTCCCCGTAACACAAAGAGGTCGTGGACGATGGGCTGCAGAGCCGGTATGGCTGGGGGGACAAAGGGCGGTGCTAAGAAGCCACGAAGCAGCACTTATGTTCGGAAGACAATGCGTTCACCCCCCGATGCGTTCGAAGGGAGAACGAAGCCTGGCCCACGCCTGGTCTACACGGCACCGAGACGCTACGGGAGGCGCGTCGGGAAGGCCGCCCGCCAGTCCTCGCCCAGCACTCGGGCTGCAGCTCCACAAGAGCTTGAAAACCAAACAAAAAGTAGGGTTTCTGCGATGCAACACCACTCCCCCAAAAAAAGAGAAACAAACTCAAGATAACGAAACCTCCTACCACCCGAAGCGATGCCAGTCAATGGGCCGGAGCAGCCTCCCTGAGTGAGTATCTGACAGGAGCCACTGGGGCCAGTGGCAGGCAGCCTCCCGCACGGGCGCCAGCGGCGAACCCACCCCCTCAGGCCAGAAAGGGCCTCCCCATCTGTCCTGACCCTAATATGCACCCTGGCATGTTCTCTGGTTCAAGACCACGTGAGGAACCCCTGAAAATGCCTCCCTGGGAAGGGTGCAGCCCAGCACGTCATCCAGAGCAATGAGAAGCCCTGCCTCCCCCGGGAACATGCACACAGCACACCTGCTGACTCCCCAAGATGACCGAGACTCCCCCCAGAAAGCAGTGGGGTTTGACTGCCCGACCACTTTCCACCACGACCCTCTGGCTCTGGAAGCCTGTCATCCATCCATCTGGCACCCGACATGTCACCCCACCATACACCATAGCCGTGCCCACACACACGTGACTGAGGCTTCGCTCAGGCTGGACCCTGGCCCGCCGTGCGGCTGGCCCTGCCGTGCGGCACACACGTGGGCTCGAGCAGGCTTCGCCGGCTCCAGTGCGGCAGCGCCACACGGCCCTCGTGCCTGTGTCTGCTGAGGTCTCGGAAGAGCTGCCCGCAGCTCGAAGGCCGGCATCTCCTGCCAATGGAGTTGGTCAGGAGCCAGCAGAGAGCGCTGAAGAGCAGCTTCCAAGTCCAAAGAAAGATCGCAGCGCACTGAACCGCCCGCCTCGCCCCACAGGTGGGGCACAGGCTGCGTGAGCAGCCGCCCATCCCCGGGGTCCTCAGAGAAGCTCCAACATCACCGGGCGAAGAGGGTCCCGAATCAGGGCCCCTGGCCTCGCAATACCGCACGTAACCACCAAACCCTCGCAGGAGGTCAACTTTCCCTTTTCTCCTGTCACACGACAGACAAGAGAACCCGGGTCAGAACCCACCTGAACCTTTCCTGCTGCTGCTCTACCTCTACCCAAGCAGTGAAGGTTAGAGCCCCCCACCACAGCGCAGGCCCTCACGCACGCGCACAGAGCAGCGGGGACGTGGAGGCAGGCCGTGAGGGCCGCTCTGCTGAGCAGCTCGAGGACAAAGGCCCCAAGGAAAGGCGCGTCCCATTACCGTGCGTCACCGCCTTCCTGCCGCTGGCCATGACGCCGTCACAGAGCTGGATGATCTTGGGGATGCCGATGATCTGCTTGGAGTGATAGCGTTCATACGACAGCAGGACCAGGAAGAAAAAGATGTTCGGGATGATGGCCTCGGACTCCCTAAGGACAGAAATGCCACTGAGACACCTCCCTCCCAACCCGAGGCAGGGCCAAAGGGACAGCATGGTGCTACTCAACGTGGCTCGAGAGCTCATCCGAGGGCAGGGGAGGGGGGCGCCCTGCAGCCCCTCATTCCATCAGGTGAAGGAGTGAGGCCAGGGGGACAAGGCGACCTGCCTGGTGCCCACCCGCAGGCACAGCTCCTCCCCGTGACAGCAGTGAGTCATGGGGTCTCCACGCTGCTTCCCCAGCAACCTGTGCGGCTGTTCGGAAACAGAAGGACTTTCCCTTCGGTGATAACATGCCGCTCCCCACACAGGAGGAAGCATAACCCCCTGTCCGGCAAGGACCCGCCCTCACTGATTCAGAGCGAGAGAAGGACCCCCTCCAAGGCAACCCCACCTGAGAACGGTTTCTTTAAGCAGAGGAAGGAGTAGCGCTCTACCAGATGAGGCTGTGTTTAGCACATTGCGTCAAAATTAAACGCTTGAAAAGTGAGACAGAAACTAATGACCCGTGTGAGCACCAGGTGCAGAGCAGCTTCTCAACATGCCTTTGAATGCTCAGCAATTGTAAAGAGGAACAAAAGCACACAGCATTAATCAGGTTTCCACCTTAAAACACTAGCAAAAATGCCTAACGTTCTCTAAAAGTACACTTGTGTTAATAACCTAAAATTACACGCACTCGCGTAACGAGGAGAAACATAAAAACCACGAAAAGCCGTTACCTGAACTGGCCGACTTCAATGTACTCAAACTGCTTCAGCACAAAGCCGATGAACACCTGCGACAAAAAGAACCTTCACGTCAGTACTAACAGTGCAGACAAGGCTACTTCCCCCGAACGTCTGTGTGCGTGTGGGACCAGTTTCCTGGGAGCACACAAATTTGCTGCGCTGCGTACAAGAGCTCAAACACGTTCTCCCGGAAACTTCGGGACTCAGCCGGAATCGCTCTGAGCACATTTCCTGAGCACTGAGGCGAGGCCCCTTTGGGAAAACGAGAAATAAACGCCAGGAGACCGTGGACAGGGCCCCAACTCCCTGGCTCGTCTGCCTGGTGGGAGAAGCCCAGCACCGAGGCCGAGGAGACGAGAGGGGCTGGGGCGGCCGGGGGTGTCAGGACTGCCTCGGGGCCAGCGGAGCCCAGCTCTGTTCCAAGCACTGTCCGCTCGCGCCGACCTGAGCAGGGAGCCCCGCATCCGCTGCTCCCCACCTCGGGCCTGGCACTACACCCACACACAGCAGCTGCTCAGGACAGCACCTGACTTGAGCTCAATCCTCTGTTGGCTCTGGTTCCCCCTCCTGTTGAGAAAAACGGTCACTGCCCTGACTCCTGAGAACTGGACAACCAGGATACTGAGTGACAAAAGCAAGTCAGAGCCAACACAGAGCGGGAAGGGCTCATGGTGAAAGCCCAGTGCTGCTGGGTGGCTGGAGGGGACTTCGCCGTGCTGGCCAAGGCACGCAGGGCCGGGGCCCCCAGGAGGCACATGAGCTCAGCCTGTCTGCCGAGAAGCACAACTGGAAGGTGCTCGGCTGCCCACCCAGCACCTGAGGATCAGACCGAGGTTTTAGGGAGACGGAGGAAACAGCACAGCTGTCCCATCTCTGAGCACAGGCCCAGCTGGAGGAAGTGTGATGAGGGTCCCGTCTACACGACAGGTCTGCATCAGCGCGGACAAGTGCTCCTGCTCCCCGTCTGCGGCAGAGAGCCCAGGAGAACAGCCTGGAACACGAGGGCATCTGTTCTAGCTGTGGAGTCAACTGGGGAGTCATCTACGGAGTCATCTGTTCTAGCTACACAGCCAGGTGGGCACACCCCTCGGACTGGATCGAACCAATGGCCCAGGCTTCCCCCGGGCAGGGCACAGGCTGTGGGCCCCGGGGGGCTCTGTCCTTGAGCCGGTCCGGGGCCCCACAGGCCTGGGCCCCCCAGCCCACCACCTCAGACTGCAGCTCCCCACCCCCAGGAGAAGGCACGACGGCCCCGACCGACCCCAAGAGCACCTCCTACAAAGGGAGAGACCGTGCTCTGCAATGCCGTTCTGGCAGCTGCTGCAGGACACGCGGCGTGGACAGGCCGTGGGCGTGAGGCCCCCACAGCCCCGCGTGGAGGCGGCCCCTCGCCTGCTCCTGACCGCACTTCCCACTCTCCCGAAGGTGCAGACCCTTTAAGGCGGGGGTTGGTGCAGATGAGAATCCACGTCTCAGAGAACCGTTATTTCTGACTAAAAAAGGTCTCGCCTCACAAAGGGAAGTGGTTAAGAGCGCAGCCAACGTCAATGCCAACTGTGATGGCCTGAAGTCACCGGGTCTGCAGTCGCCTCACTGGTGCGGGGCTTGGTTTCTGAGAGTCAGCACAGGCAGGTACACGGCACCCGCGGGAGGCGGGCTTGGCGGCCCTGCGCCACCCGGAGGGGGGGGGTGGGTGTGACCCGCGGGGACGGTCCCATTAGACCTCACTCCCTGTGAGAGGTGAGCTCAGGGCAGATGGCTGCAAACCGAATGTCATGACCGACTTTTCCAAGTAAGTCTCCGGCTTTGTAAAAATGTCCCCCAGACAACAAATCCTCAGTACACCTCAGAATTCAAATTCAAATTCACGCTGGAGTGCAGGAGGGTGTGTGGACAGGATGGAACTTTGGTGAAAAGGGACCGAGGGCAACCCTGACAGCCCGCACGGGCGGGGGAGCCTGGGGTGCGGGCGCCGGCGCTCTGCACGACCGCAGTCTGCACGACAGGCGTGTGGCCAGCCAGGCGGCGCGTCCCTTCCAGGCGGGCAGCCTCAGCGGCGTGCAGTGGCGACCAACCTGGTCCGAGTCCAGGAGACAGTAGTTGACCCGCAGCTGCACCAGCTGTGCCAACAGGTCGAGGACCTGCCGCTGCAGCTGCACGGACGTGGTGGTCGTGTACTGCTTCAGCGCCTTGATGACCAGGGGCTCGAACAGACGGATGTGGCTGTGGATCGCGTTCTGCGAGGAAGCGGAGGGGGCACCTGCGCTCAGTCCTCGGCTGGAAAGCGTCCCGCTGCCCCTGGAGGGCGTCAGGCCGACTGGACCCAGTTCCCCACCGGCTCTTTACCTTGTCTGCACGGTTCTTGGCAACACCGGTGAGGTTAGTCTTCAACTGGGTGGACACTTTCTGGAGGACATCAAACCACCTGTGGACGGGGACACGAGAAGGAACAAGGCCCTCCTGTGCTCCGCCACGTGCTCAGCGGGGCCGCGTCCCAGCCTCAAGCTGCCGCGTCAGGAGCACCCTCCCCGTGAGCGGAGGCGGCGGCGCACCCCACCGAGGGCCTGTGGCGGCACAGACCGCACTCCTGCCGCTTCGGGACACGGCCGCGCAGCCCGGCCCTGCGGGCTGGAAAGGCGACGTGACGGACGTTTGAGACGTCCAGGGGTTCACAAGACACCATGTCATTTTCTTGGAAAAACCTTTAGTTGAAGTATTTACATCCACTTCACTCTCTTCCTTTCGAGAAGCCCGCACGGAAGGACAGCAGTGCCCGCCCTCGCACACTGGCCTGGTGTCATTTGTCACTGCGAGCCTCCTCCCGACACGGGGACAGAGAGCAGGCAGGCCCCGCCGGAAAGCCCGCATCGCAGCGCCTCCCTGGGCTCCTAACTCTACTGCTCCACCGGACGCGGTTTCATCACTGCGCACGGGGAGGACAGGGAGAGCAAGGCATCCTACTGTTGCTACCCACGGAAGGAATTCAAGGATCTGCTCATCGTTGTGGTACCTTAGGAATCAACGACAGCCCTGGCTGGTTCAGCAAACTGGGCACCGGTCTGTGAACCAAAGGGTCGCCGGTTCGATTCCCAGTCAGGGCACATGCCTGGGTTGTAGGCCAGGTCTCCGTGTGGGGGGAGGGGGTGTGAGAGGCAACCACACATTGATGTTTCCCTTTCTTTCTCCTTCCCTTCCCCTCTCTCTAAAAAAATGAAGTTAAAAAAAAAAAGAAACTACAGTATTTCAGGCATCAAAACCACCACCACAGATTTAAGTCAGAAAAGACCTTCCTTAGCTACCCAATCACAAAACAAACTTCATCTGAGCCTCTCCCATGGCCCCCCAGCACCTCCGTGCTCTACGCCACTGTGACACCGCAGAGGTGCCCTTTCACCTTAAGCCCAGAAAGTGCCACCGACACGAGCCTCTCAGCAGGAGAACACCCATGGCCATCCCTGGGACGTGATGCAGTGCCCCGTCCCCATACAAGGACACAACACCCCGTCGTACTGGCTTGTGGCTGCTCACTCTCCCCCTCCTCCGGGCCAGCCCCTGAGACCGCCCGACCCAATCCCCCCTCCCTGGACCACGCGCTCTCTGTGGCCGGGCTGGGCCCTCAGCCTGCCAGTAACAGCCCCGTTCCCCACAGCTCTCTGAACACGCCCTGCCCACTCCCCCGTGTCTCCACCTCAGACCAAACCTGCACGGTACCCGCAACACAGGAGTGCCGTTACCCCGAGGCGCCGTGGTCCTGCTCCGCTTGCACTGTGGTCCGTAGGCCGGCGTCCGCCAGGGCCTGGGTGAAGTGGGTGTAGGGAGCCATGAAGCAGTAGTGGTACAGGCCCGGCCTCACGCTGGACGAGCCAAGGCGCTGGGCTCGGCCTTGGAACTTGCTGGGGTTGGACGAGGAGCCGTCAAACTGGGAGGCCAAGTTCGTCCCGAAGAGCGTCTTCAACAACTAGAGTGAAAGAACTAGAGTGAAGCCACCAGCGTGCCACCTGGCACGGCACGAGCAAATGCCCACACCAATGCCAGGCCGTCGGCGGTGAGCGCAGGGCAGCACTCAGCGGGTTCTCGGTGGGTGAGCATTGGTGCACACGCCTGTGAGGGGCGGTTTTCACCTTCAGAACCACCCTGGCTTTGAGCTGCTGTGTGGTCCTAACCAGGCCACACATTCGAACACCCGCAGGGACACTGGGATGCCAGGCACATACAGGAGGTGTAGCGGGCCTCCAAGACCCTGTGCCCTCCCTGGTCACAGGCCTCCTGTTCCGGGACACGTCACCAGCCCCGCCTTCGAAAGGACAGGGAGCATGACGTCATCAAGCCTGGAGCGACGGGCCGAAAAGGACAAGAAACTGCTTTCTCACCTGCTGCACACACACCGTGGCCATCATCGGCTCCCGGCTGAAGCAGGACTTCAGGTACCCCAGGATCTCCTCCACACACTGTGGGAGAAGCAGCGAGACGCTGGAGGAGGTGACGGAGGTGACGTGCTCGTGCTGACGCCCAGTCTGAAAGCCCCTAACCTGACTGCTGACACGGACACCTACTCGTGCGCCCGTGGGGAGCTCGGGCCCCAGGCACGACGGCAGACGCTAAGCAGACAAAGAAGCAAGAGGAGTGGGTAGCCTGCCTGCTGAGGCTGCGGGTCGGGGGCAGAGAGGACAGCCCTGGGACAGATGCCACTGTAGACGCAGTGACGAGTCTCACTGTGAGGAGACAACAACTGAGCACTAGCAGAACAGAAGACGGTCAAACCATTGGCAGCAAGTGTGAGCACCCAGCTGACACATGGAAAAAGGCACAAGAATAACGGAGAAGATAAAATATACAAATGTAAATATAAAATAGGAACATAAAATAACGCATTCAGCAACTAAAGCTTTTCGGCCCACCACAGAGAGGGTTCAGAGACATGCACACTGGTGAACCCCAGCAGGTACCCTGTGTACCGCTCAAGGAGCCGCATGTTTAAAGGGGGCTGTCAGGAACTCGCTCTGAAATTTCTCTGGAAATAAGGTGTCAGGAGCCAGACAGGTGGACACACACGACAGAGCAGAGCCAGCTGTGCGACATCCAGCACATCTGTGTCGTGCGCAGGACACGGGTGGCCCCGCAAACTCCCAACAGTCCCAGGCATTGGGCGTTTCCTTACGGAATGGGCGCAGGGGGACAGCGGACGTGGAACCCCCGCGTCCCCCAGGCTCTGCTGCACCCCGTGGCACTGCGGGGCACGTGCTGTGCCCTCGCCAGGTCTGCCTCTGCACCTTCCACTCGTGAAGGTCAAGTGGGAAAACAAAGGGCTCTGCCAGCACAGGGCTGAACCCATCGATGTTCCAGACTGAGAGGGGGCTAAGCTAACACACAGCAAATAACTGGAAAGGATGCAAACGGCCACCCCCGCCCCGACAACTAGAGGCTCAGACTAGATCAGATTCGGGGGCCGAGACACAGCAGTGGGGGGCGCAGAGGCTGCTCCCCAAGCTGTTACCACTCTCTGAATGTGTCAGGTTGCGAGCTACCTAAGCTCAGTGAGAAGACAAGAAACTCGAACCTTCCCGATGTCCTGCAGTGTTGCCAACTCGAGAATCTGGGAGAGCACGTCCAGGGCTGAGCGCAGAAAGCCCCCGAACTTCTCCGTGCTGTTCTGCAGATCCAAGGTGACCTTGGGAGGGGAGAGCACCGGGTTACTGCACGGCTGTGTCGGGCTGAGGCAGGGATGTGCCGTCTGCTGGGGTGCAGCCCGGACACTTGCCACTGGGGCCCCACCTGCCGCCTGCCCGTTCTTAGCACTGGGAACACGCACAGGAAGGAAAATCCAGAGACAGCTACAGAGAGACTGCGTCTCTCAAAGGCACCTTCCAGCCGACACCGACTCTACTGCCGGGAACTGTCCCTAACCTGCCTTCGTCACAGGTCAGGGCTTTAAGTGGCCGTCAGAGCCAGTACCTGGGCAGCGGCGTGCCACGAGTGCAAAGCACGCGTCCTGTTCCACACACACTGGGGTCTGTGGGAACACGGTTATCAAACTCAGACCCAGCCTTTCAGTGTGGCCACAGCAAGACACCAGTCTTAGGGAGAATTAAGATTCTAAAGACCTCAGCTCAAATCACGTAGCAGTAACCCTGCTTAGTAAACAGAGAATGGGTCGGGCCCAAAGATATATCATGTGAGAACAAGGTCAAGGGGAAGAGACTGACCCTGAAAACAAAAACTAGCTGCTCCATGAAGCAGGACCTGACCACCCTGCCTGGAAGAGGAAGCGGGTAAGGACACGTGGGACAGAACTATAAGAGGCCCCAACACTGGAGTCACACTCCTGCCCCCAATGGTGTTTCCAATAGGCCGAGGGGGGCACAGTGGTAAGGGGCCCACTTCCCCCAGGCGCTGGGGTGGGGGTGGGGCAAGGAGGGGGAACCCTGAGACCCAAGGGCTCTGAGGACAGCTGTGCAAGGACCTGAAAGCTCTGAACTACACCACAGAGGCCCCATGAGGCCCTTGGGCACGGGCGCATGGTGACAAGGGCGGCGGCACCTTGTAGTTGGCGTGCGTGGCTTTCAGGACGTCATGCAATCTGAGGTATGAAGGAAGGTGGTAGAAACTCCCCAGCGACGAGGATTTACTTGCTGTGACAGGTCCTGAGCCTTCTGACTGGCGGGAGGCTGCACATACACACACACATACACACACACACACACATTTAGATCACAAGTGAGCATAGCCAAGTTCAAAACAGATCACTGGCAATAATGGTTTTTACAAGTATTCTAGCAGAATAAAATACAAACCTCTCTCTGACTTTTACTTAATGAGAAGTAATAAGCAACTGAATAAACAGCCTAAGTGCAATCTGAGTGCCTCCCCCCAAAATAACAACAAAACAACACAACAGAAGGCAAGGAAAGACAATGGTGTGACGCCGTCCCAGCTCGTTCCCGGCTGGCGGCCTGTCTGCAAATCGGAGCAGCAGCAACTCGTTCAGTGGCCTCAGCCAGTCACCTGGGCTCTCGGAGCCCAAGGCCGGCCTGACCTGGCAGGACAGGGTTGAGCCCGGCCAGGTTAGGCCACGGCCTTTTCCGCATCAAACCAGGATGAGGTGTGAACACACTCTGAGCACTGTACGGGGACACAGCTCGTCACTGAAGTGGCATTAACGTGTAAATGCCCAGCACTACATAAAGCTACTTGAGCTCAATCTTTAAAGAAGCTCGACTTGGAGTCCTCAGCCTGTTCAGCGACCAGGAGGGAGGGCACACAACACTGCCAACGCTGCGCGTGGGGAGTCCGAGCGCTGGTCCCCGCGGCGCTGCAGTCTGTGCCCCTGGGAAACCAGTGCTGTCAGCCCTCGCATGCAGGCTTTATCCGTGGGAGGAGAGGGAGGGTGGTGACCGGCCCCACGCGTGGGCAGAGGGTGCTGGGGCCACCTGCTCTGCCTGGTGCCCATCGAGCACAGGCCCCACAGCTGCAGCCCGGAACCCCAGGCCCCTCTTGCTCGGACGACTACACCCCCATGTGTCCCACCAGGCACTCCCCACTGTACACTTCCCACTTCCTCCTTCAGAACCCTCCCCTGTGGGGACCCCTCTTCCCCATGACCTCTATCTCCAGCCACTGACCCCCCGGACCCCTGCACCCCGCTCTGCAGCAGGGAGGAGGGGGCACACGGGAAAGGAGGCAGCAAGCGAGGCTCCCTGTTATGGTGACAGCACCTCAGTGACACTCAGAGATGCTCCTGACTGAATGTGGTCTGTACACACTCAGCAATTAGCATTCGCTCTCTGGACCACACCTGGGGAAGCCATTTCTCCAGCTTCACTGCTGCGTATTTCCAAAGAGTGCGGGGTCGTCGGCCCCATCTCTGCGGCAGGGCCGAGCTTCCTACCTGGACTGGCCTCGCCGCCTCTCTTGGGGCTCAGCGGCACGGACGCCTGCTCGCTAGGCTCCTTCTCCTTCCCCTTCCGTCGAATGGGGCTCAGCGAAGGGGGGTTCGCCAGGGACGGCAGGGCCGCCTAGGACAGAGAGCAGGAATCGGGAGTGTGGCGACACAGAGACTGAAGCCCACAGCGCCTGGTTTCGCCACCTGCTGGGGAGAACGCCGTGGCCTCTTCGACCCCACGTTTCCAGGGCCCAGGCACCGCTCGCACCCCGTGCACTGTGGGGGCTGCCCAGAACCCCTGACCGGGCGCCTCGAGTGTCAGGGATGGAAGGGGCCCTGCAGCCCCAGGCAGATCGCCTCCAGGCACAGCAACCAGTGTCCCCCGGGAGCCGCGACACCGAGGAGGGCGCAAAGTCACGTCTCAAACTCAGTCTTCCAGAGGGGCACCCGGCCCAGAGACGCAGGGACCTATCAGAGCCAGAGCTGACGGGCAGCAGAGCCTGCAGACTGCAGTGCGCCGGGCCCCCACACTCGTGCTGGGCCCCCACACTCGGGGAGACAGCCAGCAGAGGGGAGAGGGTGGCAGAGACGGACTTCAGGCCCCAGTGCCGCCACTCACTCACTTGCGCTCTCAGGGAAGTCACCTCATACATCGGGGCCCAGTCTGCCGAGGGGACGTCCTGGCTGCAGTCAGGGGGCTGGGGGCAGCTCTGTGGCTGCCGCCCCTGGGAACGCGCTCTGGGGAGGGGCCGGCGTGCAGCACAGGCCCCACTTACTTCTGAACAGGCGCATCCATAGGAACAAAGGGGCGGCCGGTGGTGGCCTGGAGCCGGGGGGCATGGCAGGCTGAGGGGTGACAGCTAAAGGACACTGCGTTCCCTCCTGGGCCCTAGATCTGACTGGGTATGGCTGACTGGCCCCGTGGATGCAGAGCCCCGAGGGAGCCGTCCGCTCTGACCGGGGTGCGGTGTGGTGCGTGGGTTAAGTCCTCACTGTCATGTGTCAGTACTGCTGCTCCACAAGATAAAGCCAGAGGCCGCCCCAGTCATCCAGAGTGAACTCTCCATCTGTCTGGACCAGCGGAGTGGCCGAGGACACAAAGAAAGCTGGGTCTGTGCGCCCGTGTGCACGTGTGTGTGCGCACGCATCGGTACACATACATGTACACATACATGTATGTGTACATGGTTGTTGCATGACAGTCAGCAGGGAAAACGAAGGACTGGGGAGCAAGGATGAAGCGCTGTGATGATTTGTGCGTCTCCAACTTCACAGGACACGCAGTGAGAGAAGTGGGGCGGCTGAGACCGTGTCTGCCAGCCCCTGGCAGAGAGGCCATGCAGCACTGTCCACAGCGGACCGGCACCCTGAAGACAGGCCTGGGGCCTCTGCGGTTTGGGTTCTGAAGATGCAAGAGTGGGCCTGCCCCCTGGCACTGCCCGGCCCTGCCCGGCCCTGCACGAGAGCCACCACCGACACGTGGCTACCAGAATCTGAGTCACGACACACAGAGCAGCTTGGTCCCCTCGGAACCGCTGCAGCCACTGTGGAAACCAGTACGGCGCTTCCTCAGAAAATTAACACTGGGGCTGCCCTGGGACCCAGCAATTCCCCTCGGGGCACGGGGCGTACAAAGAAAGTCCAACACCAATCTGGAAAGAGGCAGCCTCTGCATCCACCGCAGCCCAGTTTACAGCAGCCGAGGTGGGCAAGCGGCCCAAGTGCCCATGGGGGATGAGTGCGCAAAAGCAGGCAAGGTGAATACACACGTGCGGGCGTGTGTGACAGAATGACAGAAGGAGTGGCGGTGGCCGTCTGCAACATGGAGCAGGGGCCCCCACCTCTGGGCCACAGACGGGCACCGCTCGGGCCCGTGAGCAGCAGGAGAGAGGCTGGAAAGTGATGTGCCTCCGTCATCCTGAAACCACCCCCACCCCGATCTGCAGAGGGACTGTCTGCCACAAAACTGGTCCCTGGTGAAAAAAGGCTAGGGACCGCTGTGTGAAGTCAGTCAGACAAAGGACAAGTACTATGGTTTCACTTATGTGGAGAATTAGAAAAAAAACAGAATAAACGAACAAACAAAACCAGACTCACAGACACAGAGACAAGCCGACGGCTGCCAGAGGGGGAGGCTAGGCAGCTGGGCGGAGAGGGGGACGGGATGGGCCCTGGGAACAGCCAGGGGGCGCGAGGCCCAGCACAGGGGATCCCACCAGGGATCCCACAGGCGCCAGACTCACCAGGGACCACTCGACTAGTTACGCACGCGTCTCGCTGCTATGCTGCACACCTGCTACAACTCTGAATGCCAATTGTAACAGAACAAAGTAATAATTAGAAAAGAGATTTAGGCCCTCAGTCGCAGGCACAGGAGAGGAGGGGGCGCTGCTGTCCGACGGGTGCACAGAGACCTGGACTGGCCGGCGCTGGCCCAGGACGAAGCAGGACAGAGCCTGGAAAGCACTCACGGTGGACCGATGACCACACCCGGGAAGCACCGGGAGCAGAAGTGGTCGGCGGAAATGAGAGATAATCCGAACGTCCCTGAGCAAGAGGGTGGCACCGAGTGACACGGGGGCAGTGAGACAGGGCCCGAGACGCACCCACGAGACTCAAAGACCGAGCTGGGCAGGAAGCGCTGCTGCTGCAGCAGGTGGTGCTAGAAACCAGACCTGTGAGGTGAGAGAGTGGGGACAGATGCCACGGGCAGAGGCCAGGCCTAGGCTGCGGGCCAGTGGCAGGGCAGCGGGAGGCACGTGGGGTCGAGCAGCAGACAGGCCTGCTGGGGGAGCGGGCGGACAGGGAGAGGCCACTGGGCAGCGGCAGCGACAGGAGAACGTGAAGTGAGACGAGCCTGTCTGAGACTGAAGGTGCGGGAGGAGGGGACAGTCAATCAGCAGTGAGCACTCGTCCACCCTGAGCCCGCGGTGCCAAGAGCTTCCTGTCTGTCCGGATGCTGGCCCTCTTCCGTAAAATCTCACTGTACTTCACGGAAAAGCAAGACCACGCGCCAACGTGTCAGGATGCAGCAAGCGTGCAACCCAGCCAGCATCGCACACCTGAACTTCTGGGCTCAGGCGAGAGCCGGGGAACGGAGCCCACCTTTCCCTCTCGGAGGCAGCGACAGGAACTGAGGACGCACAGGAGAGCTACCGACTAGAGGGTGGCGTTTCGGGGCGAGTCAGGGTTACGACAGGAGCGCCTCTGCTCGCCTAAAGCCGAGGACGTGAGGGAAGACGAGGGGAAGCTGGGGCGCTGGCGGTCACCTTTGCGGCGGGCCCGGGAGCCACCTCGTCCAGCACGTGTGCACAGATGTTGACCACCTTCAGCAGGTGGGAGAAGAGCTGCTCCACCATGGGCACCAGGCTGCGGTCCCCCAGCGCCGGCCACACCTCCTCCTGCTTGCTGGCGGCTGGGCCGGCCTCCTCTTCCGTGGCCCACGAACTCCTCAGAGACTTGGGGGCGCTGGCTGTGAGACAGGCACATGAGTTACCTCCCACCTCTGTGGTGCCTGGGGAAGACGCTGCTTAGGAGACACGCGTCCTTAAGACCCAGCCACACTGGACACCTCCGCCTGAAAGCCGGCTGAGACCTGACACTCAACAGGAAACCGACGCTTTCCCCAAACACGGCGGTCCCAACTTCCGGGACCGCCACCACCGCACAGCCACCCAGGAAGTTGCAGTCGCCCGGGCCCCTCCTTCGTCTTTACCGCCCAAGGTCGGCTGCCGACCCAGGCCTGCTGTTCTCCTCTCACGTGCCCCTCCAGCGGTCTCCGCCCCCACGACCACACAGCCGCGCTCCTGTTCGGACGCCCCCCTCCCTCCAGTACGCGTCTCCTTCCCCACCCCGACCCGCCTGTCCGTTCCCTTCCTGACCTCCAGGACAAACAGGACAAGTCCTGCTGACGCAGACGGACCACACCCGCACCCGTCGCTCACCACGGTCCCCTCCTGCCTCACCAGCCATGTTCTCCATCTGTGCCCTGGGCCTCGTGTGACATCAAAATGACTTACAGTTCTCGAATGTCACACAAGTTTCTAGCTCTCCCTGCCTTGGCGGGTGCCCTGCCCTGCGCCTGGTGGGCCCTCCCTGCCGGCCCCTAAGGCTTGCTCCCCTGCTGCCGGGAGTCCAGGCCCACGCTGCCCTCAGATGGAAGGAGCAGTGAGCTGGCCGCACCTAACTGAGGGCCAGCCTGGGAAAGAACCCCGTTCGAATGCCGGACACGGACCAGCCGCCTGGCGCCGTCCTGCGGGTGCTCGCCACCCCACCCTCCCGGTGTCTAAAGGCGGGGTCTCTGTTTCAAGGAGGCACTGATACCTGCCAGCAGGTTTCCGGCCAGGATCAGAGCGTCCTGGTGGGCCGAGAGGTCCAGCGGGAACCACGCCGACGAGAGCAGGGTGAGGACCGTCGTGACCATGCCGACCGTGCAGCTCTTCCGGCACTCGTCCGAGGCGCCCAGGGGGGGCACCCTGCAAGCAGACACTGGTGGTCAGGCTGCGGGCCAATGCTGAGGCGAGCTGTCTCACCTTCCCTCTGAACCAGGAGCGCGGCCCATCACTGTGCACTTTCCACAAACTCATGCAGCTGTTGTACAGCATCCCCGTAAACCCAGCTCCATAAACGTCATCTGAGGGATATCAGGCAGCCAATGTGATTTAACAATATTACACGTTTATTTCGATGACCCTTAAACACTCTCTAACTTTCGAGTTAGCACATTTTACTCAACGGCAAGTCACTCAGGAGTCCGGTGCTGCACCTGCGACCAGAAGCTGCAGGCACAGAGTGAGCAAGTGTCTGTTCAGAGGAAACCACCTCTCCAAGGGGGGATGCGGGCCACGTCAGCACACGCTCCTGGCCACACGCTCACGCACACACGACAGCTGCAGATGACGTCCTAGTGTGGCTGTCATCGGTGTCGGCACACACGACAACAGCGTACTTGCTCCCCGGAGCCGAGGAAGACACGAAGTCATTCCGCAGGCGCCACGAGGCCACTCACTGCTGAACGTCATTTTTTTTTGCTGAACGTTACATACAAACCACTCCTAAATCTCACTGCTGTGGTTCCTCACAGTTTCATGGGGTAGGTCACATTTGATTTTAAACAACAGATGTTTCTAAACTTTTAATTTCAGAGTGAAGCAAGCTGGTCAGAAGCCTTGGCCAGCACGCGCAGATCCTCGCACGGAAGTCGCCCGCCACGCCGCAGAGGGAGCATAAGATGCCGGTGACTTTTGACCGGCTCGGTATTTCCCCGCAGCCCCCACCCCCTGCCCCAGTCCCCACACAGCTAACCGCGTGGAAGCAAGCATCCCTGGGGTATTTAACAAGAAGGAAAAACGGGATTCCAGTGAGTGCGTTTGTATCACACAACTGCACACAACCACAAGGCGAGAAAAACACTTACCCACAATGCCAACCCAAACTCCAGATGCAAACTGGAAAAGCCGTGGAGAGAAGACACAAAGCTTCGCAGCATCCAAACTACAGAGGGAAGAAATAAATCATTCCCAAACACCAAGCAGCAGGGATTAAACGCAACCTCCTCCACCCATCACAGAAAGGAACCATGACGGAGGCTGTGTCTGGCCCCGGGACACCTGGCCAGGGCGGGTCCTCCAGCCCAGAGCCGCCAGGGCCCTGTGCCACCCACCCCTCGGCCTGCAGTGCACCCTGCCCCACCCCTGCCTTCCAGGTGTGCCGGGTCCCTCCCCCGCCCAGACGGCCACAACCCCAAGGGCAGCGGCCCCGTCTCTGCATCCATGCCTAGCACAGTGCCCAACAGGTAGCAACCAGTGCAAACACTGAGGTGACCTGCACGGTGCCCAACCAGCTGAGCTGAACAGCCTCCAGGCTGGACAGGCGCACGGACCCCCTGGGACGGCCCACCCGTCAGCGAGCACTCCGCTGTGGGGTGTGTGCCTCCCATCACAGGGAGGAGCGGCAGGTCCCATGGGCGCTCAGCAAATAACTCTACTGCGTGCGACACTTTCTGATTGTGAAAGATAAACCCGTTCATTTTAGAAATCTGTGGATATCTAAAAATATAAAACAAAAATCACTCATCCTGAAACGAATTTTGAAAACGCTGCCATTTTCCTGAGCATGTGAGGAATGTATATGTAAACATTACTAATTTTTTATTTTATTTAGTTTTTAGAGAGAAGGGAAGGGAGGGAAAATGAGAGAGACACATCAATTGGTTGCCTGGTCGCACGCCCCCAGCTGGGCACCAGGCCCAAACCCTGGCATGTGCACCGACTGGGAATCGAACCAGCGACCGTTCAGTTCACAGACCAGCGCTCAATCCACTGAGCCACACCAGCCAGGGTGCAAGTGTTATTTTTCATAACTGAGATTTGACTACACAGAAGCATACAGTTTCCCATTATGTCTTTTTTTACTCAACATTATAATTCAGAGTATATCTCGATATTGTTACAAACTCTCCCAGCACCGTACTAACAGGTGCATAACGGACTCACTCACTCCCACACGTACTAAGCTTGTCGTCAGAACTCACTCACTGTTCAATTCCTGGATATAATGGTTCATTTCCGATTTTAGCATCGTAAATAACAATAAAAATAATTATACAAAAATCTTTGTTCCGCTCTGGCTGGTGTGGCTCAGTGGACTGAGCACTGGCCTGCAAACCAAAGGGCCACCGGTTCGATTCCCAGTCAGGGCACAGGCCTGGGTTGCAGGCCAGGTCCCAAGTGGGGGTTGCATGAGAGGCAACCACACACTGACGTTTCTCTCCCTCTTTTTCTCCCTCCCTTCTGCTCTCTAAAATTAAATAAAATATAAAAAAGGAAACTCTGTCAGTGTCTTTGGTTTTCACTCCTTAGCACATATTAGCCACTGAGATGGTTTAAACTTCTGACCAACCGAGTCAGACACTGTCAGTTTGTACTTTCTTTCACGTCCCCGTGTCGGCTGATTTCTTTGACAATGAACATGTGTCACGTTAACAGTAAGAGAAGAAAGTCGTCGCACTCCTCCTGGAACAAACCGGGCTTCAGCTGCGGGAGCACAACTGCCCAGCGCCCTGCATACGGGCGTCTGACCTCACCGCCAGCTGAGAACGAGCTCGCTGTGGCCAGCAGAGGGGGCTCACCGTGAGCGCACGTGTGGTGGCCGTGACGAGCTGCTGCAACACGGCGGCAATGACTCTGGACAGGTTGTTCTCCATGGTGACATCGGTTATGCTTGGTAGCAAGTTGTAGCCTCTGTATATTCTGATAAGAAAACGCAGAAACTTAAAATCTACCACTAAAGCTGAGGACGTTTCAGAAATTCAAATGGCATCTCAAAGTTTAAGATTACAGGCTACAGAAAGTTAGGGAAGTCTTGACTTTTAAGTTAAACACTTTAAGAAAACGGGTCGTACCCCAAGGGCCCCCGAGCTCCCAGTCGGTGGGTGCCACCGGCATTACGACCCTCACCCCGCCTCCGCTCTCCCACTGCCTGCCCTCGTCCGTGGGAAACTGTCTTCAACAAAACCAGTCCCCGTGGCCAAAGGGGTGGGGGCCACCGCACCATAAAAGCGGCCGAGACCACCCTCCCGCCCCCAGGCCGCCCACCAGCCGCACGGCGGGGCAGGGCGGCGCTCTCCTCCCGGCGCCTCCCCGCCAGCCCTCTGCACGCCCAAGCCGCCCACGTGGACGTCCGTCACGGAGCTCCTCCCGACTCCAGCCACGGAAAACACCCTCCCCACAGGACCACAGGACCGCCGGCCCACCCCACACACATACACACACACACGCCGCCCGAGGCCTGCGGCCACGTCCCCCTCCTTGCAGTCACACAGACTCCAGCTCTCTGACTCCGTGAATGAGCCCACCAGGCCAGCACTGGTGTCCTCTCGGACCAGCCAGTGTCCTGCCCACGGCGGCGCTCCATTACAGACCAAGGGGACCATCGGACACCTGCTCACATGGAGCCCAAACCAGCGGGGCGGGGGGGCGAGGCTGTGGGCACAGCTGCACAGTGTGTACTCGTGCTCTTAAGGGACCCGGCCAGACGCCGGGAGGCAACCTGGGCTTGGAACTGGGGATTCCTCAGAGTCGCGGTTAAGAACGGACGAGAACGAGATACTGTACTTGTGTCTGGTGGCATTGTGGGTAAGTGTTTCCCCCACACTCGCCACTGCCCGACCATGAAGCAGCCGGCGGGAACCCCGCTCGTCTTAGAGGAGCATTTACCCCAAATCTGTCCAGAGAGAGAGAGCGCCAGTTCTGAGGTTAACAAAAGGACACGCTCTGGGGAGACTAGTTCACATGTGTATTCCGGCAGCTCGCACATGGGAGAGATCTGACTTAGGAGTAACGACTTCAAAATCTGACAAGCCAAGTTCAGAACAAAGGCATCACGTGAACATTCAGCCGCGATGTCGCCCAAGTTTTTTAAAAAATGCCACTCAGCAAAAAGAGTTAAGCACATAAAACTATTTTTAAAACAGCATTTAAAATACAGAGAGCTAAAATAGCATAGTCTCCTCACATCTGCAGTCTCCTTCGTGAAGTCAAGTTCTAAGAAAATGATAACCCCACGAAAGCGTTTTGCTCAAGCTACTCGCACAGCAAGGCCGCTCGCCTGGGCGCCAGGGCAGGGCGCCCGGCCGCCCGGAGCTGCGCTGGGGAGCTTCTCCCAACGAGCGGGCGCCGCTGCGAACCACGAACCACGGGGCCAGCGGCCCGAGGCGCTTGAAGAGCCCACGCACCTGGAAATGAACAGGCGCAGCGTAACCAGACCCGTCCCGGGCAACACAAATGAGAGCGAGAGGCGGGACGGACAGGTTCTTAGGAAGGGCCCGAACACCGGAGCCACACGGAAAACACACAGAACAACTCGGCCGCCCGGTCTCCGCTGTGGGACTGGGCGGACGCGTGTGCAGAGGTGGGGGGCACTAAGTCCTGAGACAGAGAAACGTCCTACCCACGGAAGGCCACCCGCCCAACACCCTCACCGGAAGGTTTTCCCCAGAAAGCCCATCTCGGACGAAAGCCCCGAAGCCAGGTATCCAGGCCCGGGCGCACTCCCCCGACGTGGCCGCGCACCTGGTGATGGTGCTGACGGAGAAGTGGGACGCCGGCTGCGCCTCGTGCATGAGGAGCTTCAGGTAGACGCTGCTTTGGTCTCTGGCCACAGCCACGACTGGATCCGCCTGTCCTTGGTCACATTTGTAAAACAGCTTTGGGACAAGCCTAAGACAAAAGTATGGTTTATTTACGTGAGGAGGCGCGGGGTCTCCCCTGTGGGCCTCCGACGCCCGCTGCCCACACGAGGCCACCCCCCTTTTCCGGGCACGGCGTTCCTCAGCACGTTACTGTCGGGGCTCCAGTCCCAGGGCCGCTCCCCACTCTGAAATAACCAGGTGCCGTACTTTCTTTTTGCCTATTGCAGAATGAAGCACCTTTCTCTACACGTATTAAACACTCTAGTTAAAGAGCCGCCTTAAACCCTGGCTGGTGTGGCTCAGTTGGCTGGGGCGCCGTCCTGCAGACCACGAGGGTGCAGGTTCAGTCCCTGGGCAGAGCACACATGGAAAGGGAGCCAATCAGCGTCTGTCTCACATCCATGTTTCTCTCCTGCTCTTCCTCCCTCCCTTCCCCTCTTTCTAAAAATCAATAAAAATCTTAAAGAAAACCAACTTCTGCCTAAACAAGTGACACACCATTAAGGTTTTCTGAAGTGACCCGTGTGGTGACCGGGGTCAGGCCCAGCCACAGGCGGGTAGTGGTGCCTTTCAGGACGGCCACTCCACAGTGAGCACCGAAGCCCCGACAGAACCAATCCTGAGGGTCTGCCTATCTCGTGGGCCAGCAACCAGTCACCGAGGAGCAGACGTGACAACCGCTGTCCTCTGGTGAACAGGGGACAGAACGAGCCAGGGCACGGCACCCCCTCAGTGACAGCGGGGGCAGACTCCCGACACCCCTGCCACCCCGGCTTCCCTCCCAGACCCTCGGGGACAGAACTGGGACAAAGGTCCACGACTGCACGGTCCTGCTTAGAGAAAAGGTCCACAGGAGGCGAAGCTCTGGGCACCAAAGGGGGTTCCTGGCTGCCGGGGCGCCGGGTGGGGACAGGGAGCCTGTGAATGGGCACAAGGGCTCTCTGTGGGGAATGGGAAGGTTCCAGAACGGAGCTGTGGTAATGCTGACACAGTCTATCAACGCACTGAAAGCCACTTAATTGTCACTGGAGATGTGTACATTTTAAGGGATGTAAATTACACCTCCAAAAAAGCTCTTAAAATATTTTACAAGTTCTACTTATTTATTTTTAGACAGAGGGGAAGGGAAACAGAAGGAGAAGAGAAACATCATTGTGTGGTTGCCTCTTGCACACCCACCACTAGGGACCTGGCCCACGGCCCAGGCTGGTGCCCTGACTGGGGATTGAACCGGCGACTCCTGGGTTCACAGGCATCATGGCACTCAGTCCACTGAGCCACAGCAGCCAGGGTTCTTAATTTTTTTTTAAAAAATTGAAAAGCTTGTCTTAGCAACTCAACTTCCAAAAGTGATTTTAAAGGAGAACAAAAAAACCGTACATAAACATTTACGTGTTAACAATGTTGACTGGAGCATTATTCATTATTTAGGTCAAAGACAACTTTATATCCAAATGATGTTGATATGAGAGCTTATCACAACCACATAGTAAAAAACGGCACTGGTTGAAACGTCCTTCTAGAAGAGCGTCTGGTCACAGGAAGACACCGTCACTAACTGGAGACGACCGGCCCCCAAAGCTGTGTGTGTTCTGTCCCAGCTGGGAACAGCCACTTGCGTGCGGGACACGCAGCGCAGCGGTCCCAGCTGTCCCCACCTCCAGGCGGCACGGATGGAGGCCGGTCCCCGAGCAGGCCCCACGTGGCCCCCGGAGTGCGTGCAGGTGAGCAGTGGCCAGAAGCGCCTCCCTGCCGCCCCCCATCGGTTCCCTCCTGCCGGTCCCACAGAGCCTGGCGCTTAAGCAGCGCAAGTGGCTACGAGGAAAGCTGCCGGGCTCCGCACCTCATCAGCGAAGCGGCAGCGACGTGCCGCACCCTGGGGTCCTCATCCCCAAGCAGGTAGATGACCACGTTATTGAGCACTCGCTCTTGCAGCTTCAAGAGCTTTGGAGAGAAAAAGAAAAAGAGACACCACCTCTGTGTGTAGCTGAATTCTCGGTGAAGTGTTAAGTTCACCAGTCTGGAGTTCACACCACACAATCCCAACTTGCATGCTTCATCGGAAATCAGTCTACACAGCGTGCTTTCAGTAAGACCCCAAGCCAGGACAGTGCAGCCGCAGTGCGGACGCAGCCGGGCGAAGCAGAGGCTCACCCCTGTGTAATGGTGCGCCCCTCTGTGCAGGTGTTCTGCTTTTGCTTCCAGAAAGCTCACCAACCTAAAGAGAGAACACATTTCCCGATGAGACGGTTCATCACCTCACAAGCACCCCCGCTGGCCTGCAGGACGCAGACAGACAAGCCGCTGGGGCAGGCCACCCGGGGCAGGGTGGTCCAGGGCCAGGGACGCCTGGAGGCAGCACTGACTTGAAGTGACGGGAAGAACTACTGTGTTCCAGCAAGATTTTACATCCTCTCATCACTCCAGACTCTGCTAATCAGGGCTACCGAGAAAACCACCTTTCTTCCAAATAAATTCAAATGTGTATATTACTTGGAAAGGCTCCAAGTGCCCCGAAAATCAGCTCAAACACGTAGGCAGAGGGCAGGGCAGCTGCGAACAGAAGGCTGCAGCTTCCTAGCCCGCTGGGTGCAGCCCAGGAGGTGCTCAGCCCCACGTCCAGAGCCCCATCTGGGGGTAGAGGTGACACACTCCCGAATACTCAAAGATGTTCTGAGGATAAGAGCAATAACCCTGGCACATGGCCAGCCTCAATAAACATTGCTTAAAAACCCCGACTAAGGGAGGACTGAAAGAAAGCGACTCCGACCAGAACCCACGCCGAGACGGTGGAAAGCTGCAGCACACCCAGGTCAGTTCTGCACTGGGGCCGAACGCAGACCAGCCCTCTCAGCGGGTCCCAGCGGGGCCAAGAGCACACCCTGCTTTCAAGGAGGCAGACCTGGTACGGGCCACAGACACCAGAGCCCTGCACCCCCCACCCCCAGCAAGGAAGCGCCCAGAGCACTTCCACAGCTCAGACCGCCAGGACCACACACTCCTCTGCCGCCTGGAAGACTCACGAGCAGGGGGTTAGGAAAGCACATCGGCGATGGAGCCGTCAGGTGTCTGCCGCACGGGTGACCACCACCACCTGCACCACGCAGCCCAGACCTCTCCCCGCTCGGTGCCCGGTGCGAAGCTGATGCGCGCACCTGAAGTCCACCTCTGCGAGCGTCTCCAGCAGCTCCGTCCGCACCAGCCAGTAGGAGCTGTTCCGCAGGCTCAGCACGTCGGTGATCAGCTGCAGCCCCAGGTCACTGTAGCTGCTGCTGCAGAGGCTCGTGATGCAGAGCTGAAAGGAGAGCCGCCGCCTTGGCAACCCCGCGCATCGCCAGCACAGGCCTGTTCCTCTCATCTTGGCCGCACTGGCCATGCGTGCCTTACCTCAGAAAACCCAAGTTCGAAGTGTGCTGCTGCCACTTCATGTAATTTCCTCCTCCCACTTCTGCCGAGGTCCTGGTCTCTGCCCCGACACACCCACCTCTCAAGCGTTTTATCAGCACTGAAGACAGGGACCAGGCCACACCACCCACCCCTTCTAAAGCGGCCTCGGCGCCAGGGTGAAGGATGGGACTCAAGTGGCGGCACGGTTCCCGGCACCCCGAGCCCTCACCAGCCTCGGCACACACAGCCCGGCCTGGGGCCGGCACCAGACCTGCTGCCAGCACACACCTGTGCTCGACCGAGAGCACACACTGGGGGCGAGGGCAAAGCTCTGGCCAGGCCGTGAAACTGTAAAAAGGGAAGGCATCCTACAAATGGATAGTGACGAAGTTTTGTGGGTATTTTTTTAAATCTTTACTGGTTAGGTTTTCCTGCTGATGACTGGTCAGGGGGATCTATGGCCCAGGGGGCACAAGGGCTGAACATCCACCGTGTGAAGGTCAGGGGCCCCGCCACCGACCAGAGCAGAGGCGGCGAGTCCCCTGAGCCGCACGCTCTCAGCCTCTCATGGCTTAATGGAGTTACTGGTCAAACTCAACAAGTTTGACACTTGATATTAGCAAATACACTCTTTAGAAAAAGGGATATTTCAAACAACTATTCTGAGAATCAAAACTCAGGTCTATGAATCCTTTATGGAAATGATTTCTTTCTAAAGACTTAATACTGTAATCGCAACAACGGCCAAGCCCCTGGTACCCGAGGACACGCGTCCCGTGGGGCTCACCCGCACAGCTGTGCACGCCAGCTTGCACGTAACGGAAGACTCATCCTTCAAAGTTCTCTGCAGCAGAGGGACGCAGTCCGCCAGAGAAAACGCGTTCCCTGACCGGAAGAGCAAGAACAAATGCCTTCATACAAACTTGACCTTGGCAATGACACTCAGAAAGAGCAGTTCTCCAAGCCGGTCATTACCTGTCTGAGTCCGGACAGACCCCAGCCAGCCTCCCACCTGGAAGCGCGAGTGGCTGAGGGCGGAGCAGAGGAGCGTCCCGCAGAGCACGGCCGTGGCTCCTCGGACCTGCGGGTCTCCATGGCCAATGTAGTTCACCACGTCCGAGATGCACTGTTCCTCTGTGGGACAGATTGCCCGGATCTGAGGAAAGTCCCCCATCACCTCTCGAACCCCAAGGGAGAGCTCCATTCTCAGGGAAGAAAGAGGGGGCAGGGGCGACCAGAACCTAGACAAGACCTGACTAGAATAACCAACAGTGGAGAAGCACGTGGGGGCTTTAAGACTCTAGAGTCAGTATATCCCTGGTGTCACTCAACGCAACAGGTTGTAATTCCAGGCTGATCTTTTCCAAAAAAGATCAGAAGCTCTCAAACAAGCCCACATCTACCTAACATAAACATAACAGCACAAGTCTGGCCTTGGCCCAAAGACAGAAGAAGGGGGGGAAGAATCCCAGAAGTGCAGCTCTTCCCACCACTCAGCTCCCTCTGTAAGCAGGCTTGTCCCCAAGGGTGTGCAAAGGGGACCACCTGTGGCCTTGGCCGACAAAACACGCATGAACAGGGCGCCCATGCAGCACCACAGGGTGTCCGTGCTGGGTGCACAGCTGCGACCCGAGACCAGGCGCTGCTCTGGGATGAGGCGGCCCGGGGGCGCAGAGACTCTCCGAGAGGAGGGCGAGCGCCGCGCCGACATACCAGGCTGCTCCTCGGTGTCGGGAGGGGCTTTGTACAGCTTGCAGAAGAGAGACTCAGGGTGGAGGGCCACGGCAGCCCCGAGGCAGCTGAGTGCCAGCGCCTTCACGCTGACCCGCACGTCCCGGTCCGGAACCAGGGCTGCAACGAAACCACCCGAGCCGCCGTCGACTTCAGAGCTGCACACGTTCAGCGTTTGGCGAGCCAAACCCCGGCAGCCGCTGCCCCATCACTCCCCCGCTCCTCCCGGCAGCTGGGGAAGCGAACGCTCGAGCTGGACTCCCTCGGCGGCAAGAACCAGGCGCGGGACCGGCCACCGGGCTGACTCTGAAAGCTGGTGACTCCTCCAGCCTGGCACCGGCCCCTCCCACACTCACCATTTTTCTCCCCAGTCAGCAGAAATGAAGCAGAGAGAAGGCGGACGCAATGGATCAGGGGAGCAGAATCTTCGTCGGTAGACTGTCCGATGTCACCTTTGATCCGGCAAGGCTAGAACAGAGAAACTGAGGCTTGCTTCTCTGATAATCAGAGAGAACATTCACCCATCAGCTCATTCAACAGAGTTCCCAGCAGCCACGGGGCCGCGTGCTGGGATACCAGGATGCTATGTCTGCCCACGTTCACGCCTGCCCTCACTGACCACGGCGGGGCAGGCTGAACGTGGGGAGAGGCAGGTCCGGCCCAGTCCCACGGGCTCTGGCAGGGATGAGCTGTGTGTAGAGGCACAGCCCACTGGAGAGGGAGGCTGCTGGGGAAGCACAGCGCTGGCCGCCAACGATGGGACAGACGAACTAGAGCTGGGGAAGGCCCAGCACTGGGAGGGGGGCGGGCTGCTGCTCGGGGCCTGGGAAGAACACCTGTGTGGGACTGAGTGCCACACACCAGGTCTCGCCCTACGCCGGAGGCCAGTCAATCCCTTAAACATGGAACTGCCATGTGACCCAGCCACCCCACCCCAGGGGCAGAAATCAGGGCCTCTGCACACTCGTGCTCACGGGAGACTCTTCGCCAAAGAGTGGAAGTGACTCAAGCGCCTGTCAGTGAGTGGGAGACAAAACGTGGTGTGTACATGCAGTGGAACATCAACAGCCTTCAAAAGAAAGGAAATCGTGACACCTGCTGCAACATGGGTGACCCTTGGGGACAGTATGCCAAGTGAAACAAGCCCGTCACACATAAAGACAAACACCGTACGATTCTCCTTACCTGAGGCCCCAGCACTGAAACCCACAGACAGAAAGGAGTGACGGGTGCCAGAGGATGGGGCAGGCAGTTCTGATTAATGGGGGCAGAGTCCCAGTTTGGGGAGATGAGGAACTTCTGGAGATGGGTGCAGTGGTGGCCACAACAATGTGGGTGCACTTAAAACCACTGAGTTGGCAGATCTTGTTACGTGTATTTTACCACAAGACACAAACCAATTCAATGGGCCAAAACCAAGAAATACCGCAGAGCCGTGCAGACCCTCAAACAAACAACCTGAGAGATCGGGTGGGGCAGACAGTGTGTCTGGGGGTGGTTTCCAGGGCATGGCGGGGCCTGCAGAGGCGGGACAGAAGCCCGGCCCAGGAAGGGCCAGCGGGCACAGCCCGGCACCCGAGAGCCAGAGCCTGGGCACGGACGGCCCGGAGCGACCTGAAACACTCGGGAGCCCACAGTGCTGCAGGGCCTGAATCCTGCACCTTGTTTTCCTGATCTCCTGGGTCAGCAGATTCGTCTCGGGACACAAATCTATCCACACTGCTGTCAGACGGCTGCCTGCGGTGGCCCATGCTCTCCAGTACATGCGCTTGCTGAAGGGCTTCTGGAAACGGAGAATCTGTGATTAAGCGACAAGTTTCCCAGGAAAATACAAATACAGACATTTATACAGACGACAAAAAAGGAGGAGTTAGATCAAGAGGTCGGTCATTCCTTAGTTTCCTCGTTTACACCCCAGAAAACAAAGATATCAAGAGACCGAGAGATGTCTTCTGGGAAGCTAAGGCAGACCTCAGGTGCCCGCTTGAAACAGGAGCCCACCAGGCGCGCACGGGCCGAGCCAGCGTACCAACTGAGGAGTGCGGGAAGGCGTCCGCGTCCTCGTCCGCCAGGAGGCCCGAGGGCTCCTCCTCCTCCTCCTGCGGAGGGCCGAGCTGCAGCCCCGAGTACTGGCCGTCAGCGCCGTCCAGCACCTGCAGGTGCAGAGGGGTGGTGAGGGTTCAGAAGTATCACCCCCAGGGCAAACCCCCTGGGCCAAGCGGAAACCGAAAGTGGGGCAGACTACGTCTTACATACCAACACAGACGTCATGGGTCAAATGCACGCAGGCAAGTGTGCATGCATGTCACGAGTTTGCTGACCAGCTGACTACTACCCCGTAGAGAGCTTTAACTCTGACAATTCCCAAATATTGCCGATCTGGGAATTTCTCTCTTTGGTATATTATTTTTAAAAATCCAAACAGAATCTCTGTCTTCAGAAGCGAGTTTCACAGTATGTCAAAAATGAGGGAAAACCTTCAGACAAAAACCTCGTGATACAACAGGTTATCTCCTCAGGTGTCAGGACCGAACTGGCCGAGCGCTGGACACGGGGTTCCGCGCATGCAGCCACCAAGTGGGCCACAGTTCTCTGCCACAAAATGCCCCACGTCTGCTCGAAACCCCACAGTCAGCCCTCAGTGTGTGGGCAAATGATAACTGAATTTTTTAAAAAGCAATCCAAATCCTTCCCATTAGTTTTTGAAGAATCAAACTACATAATTAAAAACCAGAAAAAATTATATTCTTCATTCTTCATCTTCCAGGTTAGTGTACCAAAAACAAAACAAAACCCACTTAAAAAGAGAAGTCCGCCACAGTGAGGGACGTGTCCTGAGTGCCCGAGCACCACCGCGCACCCACGAGCCCGCAGCAAGGGCGCAGCAGCCGTCCTCGCTGTGCGGGCCAGAGAGCTGCGGGGGGGAGGGCCATCTGCTCGAGGCTGTGCAGCCAAAAGGCAGAGCCCCGATCCTCACCCTGGTGGGCCCCCCCGAGCCAACCCCGGACCCCACTCTGAGCTGGCTCGTGAGGAAATTTCCTACCTCTTTCAATTTGCTTATTTCTCTCGGTGGTGCTTACAATCATCTGACTGTGTACTTCCTTGTGGATTGATTACTGGCTTATTACCCACCACACACAGTGCACACGTGTAGAATGGCCCACTACCTGTGCCTGTCGACAAGGTTGTAGGGGACACAGTGATGCTCATTTGTCTACGGCTCACCCTGCACTGACTCAGAGGTCACAGTACTCAAATCCCTGTTCTATGAAGACGGAAGATGCTGGAAACGTGAAAAGGCGTTAAAGTAATGCGCAGTGTTAATGTTATTAATCACATCGCATTAAGCCCACAGATCTGTTAATAACAAGTTCCTTACAGATTTTTTAAAATAAGGATTTTCACCTCTGCCCAACTAGTTCTTGAAGAATTTTAAATGTAGTCCTGGCTGGTGTGGCTCAGAGAACTGAGTGCTGGCCTTTGAATCAAAGGATCACCAGTTCGATTCCCAGTCAGGGCACATGTCTGGGTTGCCAGCCAGGTCCCCAGTAGGGGGCATGTGATGGGTTACAACACACTGATGTTTCTCTCTCTCTAAAAATAAATAAAAAAAAGCCCTGGCTGGTGTGGCTCAGTAGACTGAGCACCAGCCTGAGAACCAAAATGTCAGCAGTTCAATTCCCAGTCAGGGCACACACCTGGCTTGTGGGCCAAGCCCCCCACGAGGGGTGTGCAAGAGGCAACCGGTTACTGTACCTCGCACACCGATGTTCCCTTTTTTTATACTTCGTAACCGTTTATTTATCGAGAGAAGCTTTTCCGAAGCTCAAACACGCATGTGTCACAGTCCAGGAACATGGGTCAGTGAGAGGCTTCCACGAAGTTCACCCGGAACTACTCTGCACTCTCAGAGACACCAGCCCTCCTCGTCTCCTCAGAACCTCTCCTGGAGCCATCATTCCTGGGAACTCTGCGCAGGCCTCCCTTCACTCCCCAGCAGCACCGGACTCAGAGGAAGCCGCAGCCCCCAGGACACACGGACGGCTCCGACAGGATGAGACCGCGGACCCCCGGCCAGGAGGCCGTGCGGCGGGGTGTCGTCAGAGCGCTGGAAGACGCGGTCACTGTGTTCTCAACACCAACGTCCCCAGGTGGAGGAGTGGGCCCGAGGTGTCTTCTCTCCCTCCTTCTCGCTCCATCCCCCCTCTAATAATAAACAAACAAAATCTTTACTAAAAAAAAAAATTAAAGTGCTCTCCGCCTTGGCAGAGCCCTCATCACGCACTAATCTAATTTCTGGCCTAACCACCCCCCGGTGAAGGGCTCGGACGGGGGCCTCCAGGAAAGAGCCCCTGCGGAGACCAGGCCACCCCCACACTCACAATCTCAGAGCTGTCTGAAGGGGTCACGGCCGAATCGGGGCCCTCAGTAGAGGTCTGGGAGCTGTCGCTGACGGGGGAGGAGGCCTGCGTCCCATCATTCAGGTCCACAGCTGCGTCGGACGGGACAGCACTGATCTGGCTGGAACTGTGGCTCAGGATGTCCTCCTCGTCCCCGTCGGTGGCGGCGCTCGTCAAGTCGCAGTCGGCCAGGTCCACTGCGTCCGGCTGCAGCGTGTGCTGCGCCCGGGGCTGCTCGGTGATGATGTCGCGATCCGAGGCGGCCGCGGCTGAGCCGGCAGGGCCGGGAGTGGAGAGCCTGGGAGGGGCGGCCAGCTCCCCACAGATCTCACCCTTGACCGAGGCTGAAGACAAAGAGATGTTCATTCTCAAAGGGCTGGGAAACACTCAACAGTGATGACATGTTTGCAAAACACCTGAAATTCACTGTTTTAACAGCAAAACCGCTGAACGGCAGTGAGACTACGAACTAGCGCATCTCAAAAGTAAGGCGCCGGGCGCCCTCCACACATGACCACAGATGCTCTCCACTGTGCTGACCCACCTTTCACCACGTGACTCCGTGGACAATAAGGTCAGGGTTGGCAGCAGGTACCTGTCCCGGTCTACGAACCAGAACCTGACCTGGGCCCAGAAGCATCGCCCCTTCCAGGCCTCTGCAGCGGCTGCAGCCTTCGCTCCAGGTCACAGGGCAAGGCCTGCAGCTCGCAGGCAGGGCCCAGAGCCGCAACCACACGTGCCTGGTGCTCCGGGCAAGCCATGCTCAGAAGTCGTCATCACTTTGAGGTGGGATTTCCTTCTTCCCAGACCCTGTTCAAGACCCCTAAGCTGTTCTCGGTCTCCTGGAGCACAAATTTGCACATTTCCTTCATATGGTTTTTATATTCCCATTTAAAAAAAAACACTACATGTAAAACCACTACAAATAGATTTACAAAACCTATCCACAAGAAGTCCAGCCATTATTAAAACAATGAGAACAGTTTACGTGACACTGATGTCACCTGGCAGCCTAGGAGAGGGACTGGAGTGTGCACACGTCCCAGTGCTGAACCGCACTGGTCAGCGGGGGCAGTACAGCCGCTGAGTGAGCACGGGCACTGTGTGGCCACTGCAGTCAAAATGACCGAGCGAGTAGACCAACGAAGCTGCATGAAATTTCACGTTAAGCTTGAACGTTCCTCCGTGGAAACTATTTGTATGACTCAGAGGCCGCAGCCACGGGCCACTGGGGACTGGCAGCTTCATCACAACAATGTGTCTGCTCATGTACCAAGTCTCATGCAGAATTTTTTGGTGAAACATCGAATCACCCAAGTGACTCAGCCCCCCTACAGCCCAGATTTGGTGCCCTGGGACTTTTGGCTTTTCCCAAAACTAAAATCACCTTTGAGAGGGAAGAGATTTCAGACCAACAATGAGATTCAGGAAAATACGGCGGGGCAGCTGATGGTAAAATGGAGAACTATGCGAGTCCCACAGTGCCTACTTTGAGGGGGCCTGAGGCATCACCGTCCTCTGTACAATGTTTACTGTAGTTTGTATCTTCTTCAGTAAATGCCTCCATTCTTCACAGTGCACAGCTAGATACCTTCTGGACAGACTGAGCATGCTAAGCTATTAGCAGGAGTCACCCCTGGAAACCACTGGGCCAAAGAGCACTTAAGGTTTATTGTTATAGCTAAAATTTTGTTGTTTTAACTTTGTTTTTGTAATTAGAAAATCAATTGCTATTGTGTAAATGAATGAAATAAAGAGCCACCACTGTGATTACGCAGACCTTCCTTCCTAAATAAGCCGTTCTTTGGAGCAGGGCTACGCGGACAAGCCGCTCTCACTGAACTCGGGCACCATTGCCCGGGTCAGTGCGCCCCTGCCGGGTGGGGGAGCACGCACAGCTTGCCACCTTACACCGTCCACAGGCGACTTTGAACCCCACTTCCCTCGCAGCCCATGCAGTTCGCCTTCACCCACCATCCCCCACTCAGAAAGATTTGTGCCCACACAGTACAGACCTAATTGTAAAACAGCCTAAACCAAGGAAAAGAGCAAATATCTAAAGCCAGAAAACACACGGACGTTTCAGAGTGAACATTACAGAGAAGCCAGAATTCTCCACGAGGAGCAAACGGCCTCCCTCCAGAGAGCTACCTGGGAAGGCCGGGCTGCTGCCCTCCGACCTCGGCTCCGAGTCGTCCTCCAGGGCGGCCGCTTCCCCGAAGAGCTCCTTCCCTAGAAGCAGTGCAGCGGGAGCTCGTTTCAGCTGAAAGGAAGGACTAGGGGGGCCAAGCAAGCGCTCGGTCCAGGTGGGCGGCCCCCACACCCGGGCCGAGCCCCTCCCGGTCTGTCCGCACAGGCAGCGTTTTTCTGCCTGGAGAGCGCGGAGCACGAGCAGCACAGGGTGTCACAGGGTGGCAATCGCACCGGCCCATCGACATGGACGGAAGTCCCACACAACGATTCTCAGACGCTGCTGCAAAGGGCTCTCGTGCCTGATGACTATTTGTTGGTTTAGATTACAGTTGAAGTTACACAGCTTCTATTACTTTTTAATCTTAAAATGGTGCATTAGGGCTGGGACCCATTCTGCCAGCCCCTGGGGTACTCAGGTCCAACGGCAGAACAGAACTCGTATATGAAGCACCTGACACCTAAAGGTCACTTTTAAAGGTCAACAATCAGAACTCAAGCAATGTATAATCGGAGAGGTTAGTATAATATTTCATCTTTTGCAAAGTTCAAAAATACATGTTATAGTTCGTGGTTTCCAGACTATATTAATAAGAAAAAAAATGCAAAAGTCATAACGCAATTGAAGTGGACTCATTGAACCGTACGGTTACATTACACATACATGTCATTAAATGACAGTAACAAAGTAGTTTTTGGCAACCCATAATCTATAATTTCACTGATTTTCAAAAACCAGATCATGGGTGTGACAACTTCCCGAAACCCACACTGGTATGACATTAAAGGCAAAGTAAAAAAAAACAAAGCAAAGGAACCCAAGACTTTAGATGAAACTGACTCAGCTCATCTACTAAATAACAGGCCCTCACCCCTCAGCAAGTACTGCGCCTGGAAGAAGCCAGGAAAATCCCGCCCTGCGAGCTCAGCTCCTAAGGAAAGCAGTCCGTCCCTGGAGTCAGCGGTTTGCACATCCGCCGCCAGGAGGCCTTGCCAAGGGCAGCCCCCCGCCCGCCTCATCCTGCATCCTGCAGTAACTCCACTTTTCTCTCTCGTAGAGCGGCAGACTTCCATTGAAAAAGCAAATTTGAGGGAAAACACGGAAGTTTATAACCACAGCTCTGAAGGAAAAGACAAAAGAAAACAAAGTATGCCGGAAAAATAAAAAAGAGACAGCAGACATGTCCCGTGGTGCAGCCAGAAGAAAACAAAGCAACTCCTGTCGGCCAGGGGACTCGGCCGTCCTTCTGTCCTCGCTGGGAAGGGCGGCCGAGCCAAATGCAGCATCGGAGCAACGGCACAGGCCCAAAAAGCTCCAAACACAAGCATGATAGACTAACTTTCCTAGGATCCTTGGGCTTTCAAGCAACCTCAGCATTTCAGTCTAAGTTTGATGAAGCATCCCTCATTATGACGGCCCAAAGACCACCACTCCTAACTTCTAGGAAATGTTCGCTTAACTCAGAGGCAGCCAGAATATCACTCCCGTTACGACCCCATGCGATGCTGCAAATATTAGGCACCAGGCTCCCAAGGAAACGTTCAACTCATGGCTCAGAAAAGGATTAATTAGTGTGCTGTGTGCCACCCTGTAACTAAGAACAAGAACGTCGTTTTAAGGTTTCACAATTAAAACACAACAGCAATTACTTCCTACAGAAATCTAGACTGGAGAAAAATAACTGGTGTTGTCCTAAAAATAATTAACTGTATCACCTTGAACACTGTGTGGCCTCTGCAAAGCCAAACATGGCTGGAAAATGACAAGCAGCCCAAATTAACAAAAGAGTCAACAAACGCCATTGCTGACTAACACTGAACGAAGCTGACTGGGAAGGCGAGTCACTCTGACAGAGCGTAACATGCTCCCTCACGCCTGTTCTAAGGATGTCGGCCAGAACAGCCCCGCCCGCCAGTGCCGTCTGCGGCGCCCTCCCTGCCACAGGACAGAGCAGCAGTCACAAGAGGCGGGACGGCCCCCAGGACTGCACCGCGCACCACCTGGCCTGTCACAGAAAGAGTCCCCAACCCCCACCCGGGGGCATCACAAATGTGAGGCAAAGCAATTGGGGGACACAGCGGCTTTCGAGCCGCCCGCTAGGCCGAGGCAGGTCCCGCCACACACGTGCAGCCCTTGCAAGTGCAAAGCACAGGCAGGCGGCAGAGGGACACGGGACAATCGGCGGGGCTCCAGACTCTGGTTTCTGAAATGATCACCTTTCTGTTTCCTTGGAAGGACAGGGCTGCACGAAGAACCCCCTCCAGCTGCAGATCACAAAAAAAAAAAAAAAAAAAAAGACAGATATGAAAGTAAGGTAACAAGTGGCTAAAATTCAGAAGGAATTCAAAAATTTTCAAAAAGCCTGACTCAACTCGAAAACCGGAGAACATGTGAGCACGTTTACGTAGGCGGTGCCTAAGCACCACATTACTACGCTTCGATTCTGACGTGAAAACTCCATCACCACTAAAGCACGTAGTTCCAAAGACGTGACCTGGCGTCAGAGGAACACATACAGAAATGCCTTTGAAAGGCCAAATTGAGAACGTCAGAAATCTCAGATGAGCTCATCAACTCACAATCAAATTTTCATTAGAAACACTGGTTTCTGAGTATTCTGGGCCACACATTACTCAGAAAAGGGGATTTCTAGGTTCAGGCACACGACCGCGTGCTGCTCCTGCTGCAGAAACGCGTGTTAAACAAAGCTCTGCGGACGCAGCGAGTCAGGGCCACACCACACCCGTGCGGCACTCGGCCGGCCAGAGTGGCAAGGCCAGGGAGAGGCTGGAGGCACCGAAGCCCCCCCTGTGCCTGCCTCGGCTCTAGGAGCCGCAGTGCAGGGCGCCCCGTCTCTTCCAGCTTCCCCAGGGCGTCTCCGTGTCAGACGCGGCCCGTGGTCCGCAAGGAAACAACCGTGTGTGTGTGTGTGTGTGTGTGTGCGTGCGGCAGCAGCGGGAGGCTCTTGCTAAGGCAGCCGGGGCGGCCAACAGGGACCCAGAGGGCAGACAAACAACAGCCCCTAAAGTCCTCTCCCTCAGGTTTTCGCTTCCCAACAGATGAAAGGCCACGGGGAGGCGGCCAAGTCAGAGAGCGGGTCCCCCGTGTGCACCCCACCTTCCCCCACTTCAGCCCTCCCTTTGTAAAGTGGGATGACATCGCACGGAACGTTGGGGGAGAACCTGAGACCTCCCGGGCTCAGCCCAGAACTCACCTATCAGCTCCACAATACTCCCGCTGCGGCTCCGCCCGCCAGGCTCCCGGCTGGGGGCTCCAAGCTGTGCCAGGCCACCAGGCGTGGTCAGGGCCCGCAGCAGGGCGGGAGGCGGGGTCCGGAGAAGCTGCTGCAGGAGCTCCAGAGCCCCGGTCACCACGTTGTGGTCTGGGTGCTGTGCGTAATGCAGGGTCAGCTCGTACACCTATGGGCGGAGAGCAAGCACTGCCATCAGGGCTCTCCCAGGCACGCTAGGTTTGCCTTTGGTTTCTGACAGCAACACGTGTGCCTTAATTTCTGCCTTTGGCTTCTGACAGCAACACGTGTGCCTTAATTTCTGCCTTTGGCTTCTGACAGCAACACGTGTGCCTTAATTTCTGCCTTTGGCTTCTGATAGCAACACGTGTGCCTTAATTTCTGCCGCTTCTAGCAACACGTGCCTCAATTCTGCCTTTGGCTTCTGATAGCAACACGTGTGCCTCAATTCTGCCTTTCTTATAGCAAACTGCCTCATTCTGCCTTTGGCTTCTGATAGCAACACGTGTGCCTTAATTTCTGCCTTTGGCTTCTGATAGCAACACGTGTGCCTTAATTTCTGCCCCGAAACTTTCTCTGACGCTTCTACCAGGGTGATCAGTAGCTTCCACATGGTTTTCTAAATTCCCACAATCTCTCTCACTATGGTGTTAACTCCCTAAAAGAAAGGATAGCCATCCTCAAGAGCAAAGGAGCATGAGCTCTTGCCCGCCAGCCTGCAGCTGGCTGCCGGCGTGGGAGGGGGCTCGGTCTGCAGCAGTGACCCCGCCGTGCGTGCGGCAGGCGAGAGCCACGGTGGCCAGGGCGCCAAGACACAGCTCCCAGCTGGTGGAGAGTCAGGTCGGACGTTACCCGCCCTCCAATGCTCTGCCTTGTCATACAGAGAAAAGGGCGTTATTCTCCCCCCTCTGCTGGAGAGGCCACACACACACAGAGCACCAGCGGAGTCTGTTCCCATAAACGACCAGCAGGTTCACAGTATGGACGTGAGGTTTCAGGCAGCCTTATGCCACAAAGTGAGTCACGATTCATCTGAAGTTCAAGAGTGACTGGCGCTCTACTTCCACTGCGGAGTTGGGAAGCCTCATCATCAACAAAAGTCACACACGGCCTGGGAACACACAGGGCCGCCCAGAAGGGCACAAAATGAAAAGCCTCAGAGGCAGCGCCTTGTGGTCACTGGGCTGCAGACCTTCCGGATGGACCCTCCGTCCCTCCGGGTTGCAGCTCCGCAAACAGTAGTCCACAGGCGACCTGGCCCACCGCCGTGTCTGTGTGTCCAGTGCCTCGTGCTCTGGTCACCTTGTGAAGTGTGCCTTTGTTTCCCTCAGATGTGACTGGGAGTCACGTGGCTAGGGGTTATGACCTCAGGCCACAAACCAGGTGGCCTGGCTGCAGAGTCCAAGCTCTTAGCTGGCCCCGCGGCTCCCTGTCCCGAGGACCTGCCTGTCCACACGGAGTCATCTCCGCATCTGCACTCCAGTGAACCCAGGCCCTACCTGCACCAGCTGCTCTGTCGAGGGGGACACCTCCGTCTCTTTCCGCGTGACCCCGAAGCTGCCCTTCAGGCTGGTGTCCTGGACCTGCTGCTGCAGCAAAGGCACCAAGCACCTCAGTGCGAGCAGCACGCCCAGGACCAGCAGGGGCGGGTGCTCGTCCGCGACGGGAGCCAGCAGGCCTGGAAGACAGCACGGGGTCCCTCAGACGGGCTCGCTACTGGGGGCATCGGAGCTCGGTCTGGGACGGAGAAGAGGCTACAGGAGCACCCACCCCTGAGGCTGGCAGTGGGGGATGAAGTGGGCACAGACATCACTGTGGAGAAACACAGCGTGTCGCAGCGTGGGCAGAGACCTCAGAGCACAACGGGCGGCCCTCCCTCCCTCGCACTGGGCTCTGCTGCACCAGGAAGTCAGGCGGTTGTCACTCATGACGAATGTCCACAAGCCACCTGCAGCGTGTGCTGGTGCTGACTCCCACAGTCGCCCCACGAACTCGGGACACACTCAGCAGACCCACGCGGTGACGAGGCCCCCAGGGCCCTAAGGCTCGGCTTCAGCCCTTGGGGATGCCCCACACTCATGGAGCCACGTCCGCCAGCTGTGCAGTCAGGCTGCATGGAGGGCTAGACCTGGGAGTCATGTGGGGTGGCACACCAGCCCGCGCCCCTCCCCACTGGCTGTCCTTGCACACGGCTGCACCCACACTTCTGCAGGGAAGAGGAGCAGCCTTTCTGAACCCCCACATGGGCTCACTGCAGCCCCAACCTAGCTCCCATTTCCCAGCCAGCCAGGGCCCGAGGGTCTGGTCCACAGGCCGAGGGCTGCCTGATTGCAGAGGTCACCTCTACACTGGGAAAAGCACCTGGGGACCCTGCCTTACCCAGGAGCACATTGAGCAGCCAGCTGTAGAAGTACTGCGTCCTCCTGGAGTGCTGGCAGATGCTCACCGCGGAGCTGGCCGCCGTCCGCCGAACAGTCGGGGAGCTGGACTTCAGGTTCGCCAGGAAAGCCTTCAGCAGAACCTGCAGGAGCAAGAGGCCACCTGGCTGGAGGAGGGAGCTCCGAGGAAGCCTGCCGTGCATTTCAGAAACTCGACTTGCTCCAGGTCCTTGTAGAGCGTAAATCATCAACAATTCCAGACTTTCTTAAGCCGCATGGATGCACCCAAATTTGGGGTGTTCCAGAGCAGCTTGCAAATATGTAGTCTATTCGAGTGCAAGCCGGGACATGAACGTGGAAGCCTTAGCTCTGGAAAAGCTGTACCCACAGTATTCGGAGACAGGGTCAGAAAACAACACTATGTAAAATAAATGCAGTTTAAAAAAGCCCGACAAATAATGAAGTCAAAGCAAAAAGAGCATGAGCCACTACAGCAACGCCCGGCCTCAGAGAGGCTTTGTCCACATGCTGCCTCAGTGATGGCCACCGAGGATGTCCTGGGCCTAGAGGACGGCAGCCCGACTGCGCTGGGACAGGACCCTACACACACTGCTCCAAGGAAACAGGGAGCAGACCTGTCACTGGACCTTCGGAGTAAGCGACAGAGGCGCCGAGATGCTAACCACGGCCACTGAACCGTTACCAACAGCCGGAGAGTGAAGGGCAACCATCCAGCAGCCTGCACTTGCTTGTCCGACGGCAGTCCTGGTGGGGATGCTGCCTGAGAACGCCCACTCACCATGACTCTACACGGGGCTCTGAACGAGAGACTATCCCTGCTGCTGGTCAGTGAGTGCTGGGCACTGCTGACTGGGTCAGGGAAGCCACTGGGGCCCTGCACGGGAGGTACGACTCCAGGAGAACAAGCTGCAAACAGACAGACTGGTGCCTGACTTCTGCACAGCTTTCTCCCCACAGGGGTTGGCCCCCTGGTTCTCAGAGGTGCGTCAGCTCCCAGTGAACCTACAGATCAGACCCTGGGATCAGACGGGTGAAGGAGCCACACCTGGCCACAGGAGGTCCCAGCAGTCTGTGGCCTCCAGTGCCCCAGAGATACCACCTCGTCAACTTATCTCTGACCAACTTTTTCAACTCCAAGAAAAAAGTGTCAGCACCTTAAAGAGCTCCTTTGAGAGAAAATACACACGAACGTATCACTGAAACATCACATCAGGACATGAGCACAGGGAAAGGTCAGCGTTATTATGAAGGGTCAGCCCACTGCGAGTTTGGAAGAGTAAATACAACTGAATATGAGAGCTCGGGGGCCTTCTCAGGTCTGAAGCCCCCAGTGCCAAGAACGCTCGGGAGAGGCGGCGGCTGGGGACACAGAGACCCAAGAAGGTTGTGAGCCAGGGAGGAGAGAGACAAGCATCCAGGTGCTGGGAGTCCAACAGGAGAGCAGCGAAGGTGGCTCCCAGGGTAACGGCCAGGAAAAGCCCTGGGCTGAGACTGTGTAGCAGCCCAGCCTGACTGGGGTGTGTCACCAGAGTCTGGGTAGGCGACTCTAGTTGGCACAACGACCCAGCAAAGCAACTGCCCTGTGGGAACCACTGGGGTGCACTTTACCAAGCCGCTAAAAGGTGTGAGAAGACAGAAATGGCCAAAGAGCAATAAGCACATAAGAAAGAGGCGGTTATCAATGGCATGTACACCAGGGAGCTGTGCAGAGAAGCAGAACCATGGGGCAGAGCACAGTGAGCATCACACACACCGACATGGCCACAGCACAAAACTGGGCGAAGGCGGAGCCAGGCCCACGTCTCCCACAGCAGAACACCCAGAGCCAGCCGCACCGGCAGGCTGTTTGGAAACACGCGGGAACACTGAGCCACAGCAGCAGATCGAGAACCTGTCATCCTCAGACCCTGCGACAGTGCCACGATTCCTGGACATTGCAAATGGCACAGAAAAGCAGGTATGGAGGCAGCTTGCCAGGGCGCAGAATGAACAGGAGGTCAAGGGGTCCCTGACAGCTGTGGGGCCCTCCATGCCCCACTCCCCACTCACAGGCCCGGACAGCTGCCCCTCCCCACCTCGCCCCGACCAATACAAGAGCCAGCCCCGTGCACCAGAACCCAATCTGCTCAGAACAGTGCCCCCTGAATCTGCGTGGGTGCACTGCCCTGACTCGGCTCTGCACCCACAGGAGAGAGCAGGAGAGGAAAGAAGCTCTTAGTGGACCTCAGGGGTCTTGACCTGAGCTGGAAGCACAGCAGAACTCCCAAAGTGCCCTCGAACGACCCCCCACCAGAAGCGCTCACAATTTTGGGACATGAGGTGCCAATCATACCTTAATTTCATTGTCATTTGCAAAGTTGCCGAATGAAGCCATTATTTTGGGGATAGCTGCAGCCAAGGTCTCCTGAACAGATTCCTCGGGTCTCTTGCTTGTCCGAGTCAGGCAAGGCAGAAGGTTCACCAAGTAAGGCCTGCAGAGGTGAGGGAACATTGACTGCTCCAGCGGCTCCATCCCGTGAGACAGAAGCAGTGAGTGTGGAGCAGACCGCCGCCAAAGGGGCAGGGAGAAGACCTGCGCAGGGAGCTCTGATGTGGGAGACGCGCGCCCTGCGTTTCCCCTATGACTGTGGAGACTCTCCAAAGCTCTTTTTCCAAAGTTATTTGCAGTGAATTATAATCATTACTGAAATATTCACAGTTTAAGTTAGAAAACAAGAGATAACATAAGAAAATACAATTTCAAAAATAAAAGGTAAGAAATGACAACCCAATTTTCTTGGGAAAAACACATTACAAAAAGCATTTCTAACTTTCCCACCTAAGAAAAGCCTTAGTGATAAGAAGGCCTGGAACTCTCAAGACAAAGGCCCACCCTGCAGGAAGGGGCCACAGGCCTGAGGAACCAGGACCACCGAACCTCCCCCAGCGAGGCGGGCCGGACAGGTCCGCGTCCAGGACCCCACTAGGGAGGCGAGGCTCCCCTTTCTAAGGAGACAGGTTTTTCACAGACCCCAGGGGAAAAAAAACCAGCCATGGAGAGGAAGAGAAACCTGACTTTCTGAAGAAGTAAAATCAGCCCAATGAGTCAACAGAGAGTATGTGAGGTGTAGGGGCCCTTGGGGCAAGATTCCCCTGGGGCTTGCAAGCCAGGGAACCTGGGTTCCATCTGAACAGCTCCAGCAAGTGAACCCTGAGTTCCAGGCAGGACACACCGATACCCCGTCCTGCCTCCTTGAGGTCCCTTTGGTTGCCATGTGAACTGGGGATGCGCCGCTTAGAAATGTAACAAATGACTCAAAACAAGAACAGTAAAGCAGGTGGTTGAGCAAAGAGAAGTGTTCTCGGCGACTGCAGCTCCACGGCCGCGCTGTGCAGCCCTCGCTGAACTCCCGCGCAGTGGCACGGGCCATCGTCTCACACTCACGGTGAGGGTCTGGGCCCCTTCACCACCTCCTCGGGGGCGCGGTCTAGGGTCTGCGGACGTGTTGCCGGTTAGGGCCACGAGGGTGGAGTTGCAAACTGTAGTCCCTCTTTTGTTTCCACCCCAGGACTGTCTCCACTGGCTGCACGTGACTCACAGTTTCAAGTCCACGTTGTAGCCGCGTCACCGAGCAAGGTGCCTATTTCCCTGACTCCCATGGTGAGCACCAGTGAGGGCAGGACCTGGCCTCCGCCCTGACAGGTGTCTTTCGGCAGCCACCAGGTACAGACGCTGCCCTCAGTGCTGGGCTACAGCAGAGGACAGATGGGGGACCTCTGCCGTCTCAGACGCACCCCACCCAGAAGGGACGGTGGGAAGTGACCAGGCGTGCTGACAAAGTGTGCAAGAACATTCCTGAGAGCAGCGAGTGCTGGGAAGGAAGAATAAGCGGGACATGGACCACAATTTGGAGGGACAGAGGTGGGCAAGTCCAGACAGAGTGCGCAGGAAAGATCTCTAAAGTGGTGACATTCAAGCCGAGATGTGAAGACTCCATCCAAGGAGCTGGCCCTCCACCCAAATAATAATAATAATAGTAATCATCACCATCACCCAGAGGGTAGGACGTACCTGCATTTCTGGGGCCGAACCAGGTGAGCCAGCTCAGCAAACCTCCACAGGGCAGCACGCAGGCTTCGAGGAGCACCGTTCTGAGTGGGTTTAATGAGCGCATTACGTTCGAACACCACAGGCGCGGCCTGGCCCGTGGCCCGGCCTGACCCGTGGCCCAGCTGGCTAGAGCGCCGTCCCGAGGAACCAAGGCTGCGCGTCTGACCCCAGTCAGGGGAGTGCACAAAAAGCAGCCGATGAAGGCAGATGCGTGCAACAGCCGATTAGTGTCTCCCTCCCTCCCTCCCTCTCAGAGGAAAAAATCCATAAATTAAAAAGGAATTTAAAAAATAAATACAAGTCACAGACGCTAGTACCAAGAGGACTTCATATAAACAAAAGCATTTTCTTCAATGTTAACTTCTGTTTTTAGAGAAAAGGCCATGTAAATGTTTAATCGCTTTAGAAAGTTTATGGTTTGGTGAACCGAATTATAAAGAAATAAAAGTAAGTTACCATTTCAAATTCTCATGTCATCTAAAAAGAAGAGTAACTTTTTGCCCTTGCTGGTGTGGCTCACTGGATTGAGTACCAGCCTATGAGCCAAAGGGTTGCTGGTTTGATTCCCAGTCAGAGCACATGCCTGGGTTGCGAGCCAGGTCCCCAGTAGGGGGCGCACACTGATGTTTCTCTCCCTCTCTTTCTCCCTCCCCCGTCTCTAAAAATAAATAAATAAAACCTTTAAAAAAATTACGTTTTGAAGAAAACTAAACCATATAACAATCTACCAAACAGATTTTCCTTCTAACATTTTTACTTATGAAATATGAGATAAAATTTCACCAAACTACTCAATATGGCGAAAGAGGACTGTTGTTTCAACGACGGAAAACAAAAAACTACCTTTTTAATTTCTTTGTAGAGCTCCAACTGCAGCCTCGGGAGACTGGAGTCCATCAGAGCCTAGGACAAGACACGGGGTGTGTTCGGGGCGAGGGCCACGAGCTCCCCGGGGAGCTGACTGGCCACACGAATTCCCACCTCGGGGCAGAGCGGGTTTAACAGCAACTAAACTGAGAGCCTGTTCGTTAAGGAAAAAGTAATACATATGCCGAAGGCTACTGGATGAACTGGATTCAGGTGCCTGAATGAAAACGGAAGAGAAAGAATTTCACCTTTACTATAAGCAAATACTACACAGTATCGAACTTACTGGCAGACGACTGAATCCGATCTCCACTCTCATCCGGCAACCTCCACAGCCAAGCGTGAAGGCCGCCCGGGCAGGCCCCTCTGTGGGGCGCACTCTGCTGGGTGCCCCCCATCAGAGCAAGGCCCCCAGTCCGAGAGTCAGCACGTGGCGGTGCGCCTGCCAGGTCAGAGCCGCGGCGACCCCAAAGCGACCCCGCTTCCTTTCTGAAGACCTGGTCCTCCCTTGATGCCCAGACACTCCCAGCCGCAGGGCCCCAGGAACCCTGAGGTCCCCGAGGACCCCAGGCACCAAGCCCCTTTCCTGGCCCACCAGCCGCCTGCAGACCCCCAGCCCAGGGCCCTTCCCCCCTCTGAGACAGGCTGCCGTTGTCACCCGGGTCCACGTGCCACTCCTCCAAGCCAACAACCTCTGAGAGCTGCTCATTCTCCACTGAACGAAGTATGACCCCTGACTGGCCTCAGCACCTCCCACCAAGGGCCCCTGGCACCCCTAGGGCTGGACGCCACAGTGCTGAAGAAGGCCTCAAGTCTCCTGGCTCACCCAGCAGCCACCACTCCCCTGGACGGGAGCCCCGAGCCTTCTGACTGCCACCCAGGCCACCCGCCCCTCAGAACTGGGGGCATGCCACCTCACACAGCCTGTGCGTGATGGGGGCAGAGTACATGGTCAGGCTGTCCAGGGTCCCCAGGGCCCTTCCCTACAGAAATGAAGAGCAGGACGTGCCCCGACACCTGGGCCACAGAGTCTGGGCCTGGTCGCGGGCATGCAACAGTCCTCACTAAAAGACAAGAGTCCATCCCTGACCCCGGGCGTAGGGCGTCCACAAGCTCCCACCCTGTCCCTCCTCTGTCATGGGGGAGCGAGCCCAGCCAGACCCAGACCCCACTGCCAGCCCAGGATGAGCACTAGGCGAGGAAGCCGGCTGCAGTGCAGCCGCACCACTGTGCCTGGTGTGCAGCACAAAGGAGCAGCTGGGAGCGGCAGACCTCATCTTGCATCCAGGTCATAACATCATGAATCATGATCGGAGACGCTGGCTTCATGCACCGGGAGGGGCAGGCAGTTCCTGCAGGTGTGGCCAGGGTGCCGCAGACGGGCGCCTCCGACCTCACACCACAGAGGCGCCCATGCAGACACCTCGGGGGACAACGCTGCTCCAAACAAAAGGGTCCCGGTCCGGCGCGTGCACCCTAAGCTCTTACTTTTATGACTTTGTTGAGGCACTCGTCGGCCACCATCCTGACGTCCGACTCGGCATCGTCACTGCACAGCAGGAAGAGTTCCATAGCGATGCCCAGGAGTTTCTGGAATTCTGGGGAATTTCTGAGTGAAGAAGAAGAAGAGAATGTCACAGCCAGGAAGACCCCAGGAGACGTGACGATGAATGTGGCACGGTTGGTGCCTGACATCCACGGGGGACTCTGGAACAGGAGGGGATGTCGCACGGGCTAGCGGCCCGCCACGCAGACCCACTGCCTGAGAAACAGGCTCCGTGGGGGTGGCGGACACCGGTATGTGGGGTGGCCGACTCGGCGCGTGGGAAGCCTGTGCTCTCTCTGCGGCTTTTCTGTAAGTTCAAAACCACTTCAACATTTTAACACTTGTTTTTAAAAAAGAGGAGCACTTGCAAGACAAATCTCGGTTTAAGTTTTAATTAAAAACTCTTTAAAAGACACTGCTTTTTGTGTATTTTAACTCAATTTTTAAAAAACACTGCTTGGAATACCTAAATACCAGATAGCTCTTTGCCAACAAGTTACTCTTACTTGCAACATTCTTATTTTTTATTGTTTATGCTATTACAGTTGTCCCAATCCTGCCGTGTCCCCCTCCGCCCAGCCCACCCCCACGCCGTGGTCCACGTCCATGGGTGATATACGCTCTCTGTCTAGACCCTGCACCTTCTTTTACCCAGCCTCCCCCGCCCCCGACAGCTGTCAGTCTGTTCCTTGTTTCTGTGCCTCTGATTCTATTTTGCTCATTAGATTCCAGTTATAAGTGAGCTCATATGGTATTCATCTTTCCTTGGCTGGCTTACTTCACTTTGCCTAATAGTCTCCAGGTCCATCCGTGCTGTCACTTGCCACGTCCTTGATACCTTGAATCGGAACACCCGTTTGACTCTCTACTCCCCCAGAGTCTGGCTTTCCACGTGTGTCCCACAGCCCAGCCGCACCTCACGCAGAACCCCAGACCGCGATGGGGCGGTGCCTGTGCTCCACCGCAGCCTCACAGATGCTCGAGTCCCTGCCGTGACTGCGAGTGGCTTTAACACACTACACGGAGGGCCTGCATGGCTTGTGGTGATGCGGTTGGCTGGACAAGCTGAGACGGGCCGGCAGGCCACAGGCCTGAAGCCGCGGTCACGGCCCTGGGAAGTGCACCAAGCGGACAGTGCAGCCTCTGAATAATGCTGCCGCCCCTCCAGGACCAAAGTCAGGGGCCATTTCCTGACCTCGATCTGGAGCGCTCACACGTGCAGGGGTCCCCAACCCACCGTCTACGTTGGCCTTCCTACCGACGGAGCCTGGGCGGAGCAAAGGGCTGCACTCACAGTGACCACCGCACAAACACAATAGGCGAAGCCTGCCACTCAGCAGGCTCCAGACCTCCCCCCAGAGGACTGCAGGGAAGAGGCCCAAGAGCAGGCCCCACACTCCGAGGAGTGCTGTCCACAGAGACGGTGCGAGCTACATGGGCCACTTCACACTTTCTAACAGACACGTCAGGAATCCAAACAAACCACCCTGGCTGGTGTGGCTCAGTGGATTGAGCACCGGCCTGCGGACCAAAGGGTCCCCCGTTCAATTCCCAGTCAGGGAACGTACATGGGTTGTGGGCCAGGTCCCTGGTGCAGGCCACGAGAGAGGCAACCACATGTGATGTTTCTCTCCCTCTCTTTCTCCCTCCCTGCCCCCTCTTTAAAATAAATAAAATCTTAAAAAGGAAAAAAAAGAAATCCAAAGAAACTGGGTTAATACCACATTTCACCTGACCCCAATACATCAAAAATACGTAATATTTCAATATGTAGCCAATATGAATAAGAGCATGACCATTTTACACCTCGACTCAGACACAACATTTGGATCCGTCATTAGCCTTCATGAAATTCACAGCTACGGCAGGTTCCCCGAGCGTAGACGAGTGGGCCTGGCGGCCTGACGCACACCTGGCAGCGACAGTCGGGCCCTACGCGGTGTTGTAAGCCACAATGTCACTGAGAGGCCCCCTCGTAACTGCTCCCGGCACACTAAGGGACAACCAGTGGGTGGCCCGATGACAGGCGCTCAGCAACACTGCTGTGACAGTCGCACCGCAGTGGACAAACACGTCAGACCGACACGCAGTGCACCTCAGACCCACACAGTGTCATCTGTCACTTGTATCTCAATTCAGAAAAAAGAAGGATTACGTCACTTCCAACCATGCTAAACTTTCTCCAATAACTAAATCAAACACTGATTTTTTAAGTGGTAGTTTAATAAGATAGGTACCAGGGGTAACGAGGTCACCGGTTTCTTGAGAGCTTCGGAAGTCCTGTCAAGAAACCCAGCCACCTAACTGGGCAAGTCTGTGGGCGCGGCGCTGCCCACCTCCCTTCCCACCCCTTCCACAGCCGCACCCGGATGTCAGGAGTCTGACTTCGCCTCGTTCAGCGTCACTGACGTCCTGCTGTTTTCAAAGAACACACTTTCCTGCTCTCTACTAGGGACTTCCCCCTGACGCTTGTTCTCCTGCTACATTTGGGTTCCGAGTTCCCTGGGGTGGAGGGATGGAGGCGCTGACTTGAATCCCTTCTCTTCTACGGTGAGCTCAGTGCTGAGTCCCCTTTGTGTTCTCAGTCACCTCAAAACACCTCCCAATTCCCCGCTGACTTCTCTAGCCCACGGGCAACGTGGAAAGGTGCGACTCCCCTGTATCTGGGGCTTTTCCAGACTGTCTTTCTGCGAGAACCCACTTAATCCCACTGAGATCAAGGAGCACCCCGCGTGTGCTTCGGTCCCCTTACGTGTGGAACCTGGTTTGGTGGCCAGCACATGGTCCCGCTGGGCAAACGTGCTGTGAGCACGTGAGAAGAACGCGTCCCCTGCTGCTCTGCAGGGAGTGTCCATAAATGCCCCTCGGGCCGCGGGGTGGGCGGGGTTTTCAGGTCTCCTACCTCCAGGCTTTCTGTCCACGTGTTCTAAGAGTAGCGGACACAGGCTGTTGGAATCTGATCAAGTGTGGACTTGTCCCTCCCTCCGCAGTGCTACTGGTTTCTGACACGTGTTTTGGAAGCTCCTCACCAAGGTCGCTCCCCATGCCAGACTGCCGTGCCCACGAGCTGGAAGGACGCGTTCCTCACTGTGCCAGGACCGCGCCGTCCCTGCTCCTGGCCTTTGACGAGAACGCCAACGTGGGAACTGACATTCTTGCTTTCTTCTGACCAGTATCGGCGTGCGGAAGCTCTTTCCATTTACTTTTTAACCTGCTTTTGCCTTAATGTTAAAACAGTTTTCTCCCCAGGGGCATATAACATGTCTTGCTTTTTCATCCAATCTAGAAAATCTTACACATTTAATAGCATCACTGACGTAACAAGATTTCAATCTACTGCTGTACTATTCCTTTCCTATGGGTCCCACATGCTCTGTGTTTGCCTTTTTGCCTACATCTGCCTTTTTCTGGGTTGAGTATTTTTATGATTCCACTTTCCTCCTTTTCTGGTTTATTAGCAATAACTTTGTTGTGCTTGTAATCAGTTTCATAGGGTTTTTGTGAAGATTTTTATTTCTTTTTAGAGAGAGGGGAAGGGAGGGAGAAAGAGAGGAAGAAAAAAACATCAGTGTGTGGCTGTCTCTCATCCCCCCCCCCCCCACTAGGGACCTGGCCCACAACCCAGGCATGTGCCCTGACTGGGAATCCAACCAGCAACCCTCTGCTCTGCAGGCTGACTCTCAATCCACTGAGCCACACCAGCCAGGGCCAGCTGCACAGTTTTTATGCCAGTTGTTTTAAAGCCAGCTGCCCATCTTTAATGTATCACAATTTACTTAGTGATGTACACCACCTCACACACAGTGTAAGAAACTAACGACCCTATTGTACCAGTTTGCTGTAGCTTCTATAACAAACTACGAGAAACTGAGGGGCTTAAAACCCAGAAATGATCCCCTCTCAGCTCTGGAGGCCAGAAGTCCAAATCGCTACCTCCAGGCCCCAGCCGAGGCCCTGGCAGTGCTGCGCCCCCTCCAGACTCGGAGGGAGAATGGCTCCCTGCCGCCCCCTGCCCGCTGGCTGCCAGCACCCCAGAGCTCGGGCCGCATCGCCCGGTCTTCACAGCTGCGTCATATCCCTTTGTTCCGTGTTCGCATCACCTCTGTGAGCGTGTGAAGTCCTTGCTCTGCCTCCTTTTTATAAGGATACACGGGGCTGCACTTAGGGCCCACCTGGGTGTGACCCAGGGTAACCTGCCCGTCTCCAGATCCTTAATCCCATCCGTGAAGACCCGTCCCTGAGACGGTCCCATTTACACAGAAGGCCCGCGCCAAGGACTCAGCCTCTGCGGGGAGAGGGCACGGCGCTTGCCTACCGCAGACACTGCACGTTTATTTCCACGTCTGCTCCTCTGTGCGCTGCTGTCACCACACACTGTACTTCTAGTGTCACAGCCCCCCATGCCTCGTTGCTGCTGCCAACAACCGATGACACTGTAAAGACTCCGAGGCGGGGGGGCTGCTGGTCACCCTGCACGGTCGCCACTCCCACTGCCCCCCAGCCCTGGGCGATGCCGCTTCCCAGCCGCACACCTCCTTCTACCTGGAACACACACCCTCCAACGCTCCTTCCAGTGGCTGCGTGCTGGCATAATCAGTCTTATCTCCCCTCTGGCATGACAGAGGGGAGGAGGCCGAAGACCCTGGGCCCCCCTCTCGGCACTCGGCGACGGTGCTCCGCCGCGTCCCACAGACGCTGTTTCCACCGAGAAGCCCCTGGCGCTCTCGCCCTTCGTGAGCTCTGCACCCGCTCGGTGAGGAGCTCTCTCGTGACTCGTCTCTACGTGATTCACTCAACCTTTTCTCCAGCTTCCTGGACACACGACCCGAAGTTACAGTGACTACTCGAATGTGTTGTGTATAAATTGTACCACCTGTGCAAGTTCTGGGTCAGCTTCGATTCGTTTTCTTACTGTGACTCCCATCTTCCTGCCTCTTTGCATTCCTGATAGTTTCCAGCTGAACGGCAGACCTTGTCATTTTGAGCCTGCAGACTGCTATATACTTCTGAATTCCTGTAAGTGTTCTTGACCTCTGCTCTAGAATGCAGTTTGTGACTCTGAA